ACCATGACCATCGTCATCATCCCCATCCAGATCCTGCGCGATCATAGCGGCGCCCTCGCCGGCACTGTCCACACTGTGCCTCCCGTTGGCGCCAGCATCGTCGTCCTCGTCCAGCGCACTAACTCTCGAGCGCTCGCCGATGCCGCGATAACCCTTGGCGCGGGCGCGGTTGTGCTCCCAGCGCAGATAGAAGGGCTTGAGGAACAGGAGTATGGGCACCTGGACGAGGGCGAGGAGCAGCAGACCGACCTGGACGTATTTCTGGCCGCGGTACAGCGGCACGTCGATGAAGCCGGGCTGGAGGAACATGTAGATGAGCATGTTAAGCAAGCCGGGGGGTTGCTGGCCGATGGCGAACCAATCGACGGTCCACTTGTAGATGATGCAGATTACCAAATAACCGAAGATGGCCTGAAAGAAGATCATGCCGGGGAGGAAGTTGCCCCAGATGTCGACGGGCCGCTTGAAGTGGCGGGCATTGATGTAGGCGAAGCAGAGGGAGTAGGTCATGTGGGCCCAGCCGAGGATGATACTCATCTTCATCTTGTAGCTGTTGCTGAACAGCAGGTCGTTCTCGGTGCCGTGCCAGCGCCAGTCCAGGCCGAAGGGGTAGCGATAGTTGGGGTCCCGGATCCGCGCGGTGACCGTCTGGCCGGTGGTGAAGCCCTCTGGAACGTCCCACTCCCACGAACTCTTGAATAGCGTCATGGACTTGGAGAAAATGTCGTTGTAGATGAGACCAGTGTAGATGGAGAAGACAGCCATGACCAGGGCGATGTAACGGCCGTAGTAGACCATGGCGAAAAGCTCAAAGGTGACCTTCTTGAGCGGCTTTTCCCAGTAGATCATGGCCAACGAGGCGCAAAGCATGATGATGGCGTGGCCAAGATCACCAAACATGACGGCGAACAGGAACGGGAAGGTGACGATGACAGGGATGGCCGGGTTGACTTCCTGGTACGTGGCCGTGCCGTAGGCATTGACGATGGTCTGGAAGGCCTCGGTAAACTTGTTGGTCTTGAGGTACGTGGGCGGCTTCTTGTTGGTGCGAATCTCGTTGATGATGGACGGCACCGACAAGCCAGCTCGGTTGGTCACGTCCTGCAGGGTCGACCGGATGAGCGGCAGATCGTGGGTCGGGCACCAGCCCTCGGCGATCAGGGTGCGGCGGGCACGGTCGTAGGAGAAGTTGTTGAGTGAGTTGTAGACGGCCTTCTCCTTGCCCACGAGAATCATCCAGGCTGACAGAGACCGCGAGATCTGGGTGAGCTCGGCCTCGAGGGTTTGCTGGGTGTTGCGGAGGACGCTCTGGACGTCGTTGAGGCGGGCGTTGACCTCGTGCACCTGGTCCCTCCGCAGATCGCTGTTCTCGTCGACATTGTACACCTCGGCGCCCATAGACTCGGAGATCTTCCGGATCTTGGCCAGGATCTCCTTGCCATGGGCGAAGATGACAAACACGTTCTTCTGTACGGGCTCGTTGGTGGTGGGATCGACGAGCGGATCGGGGATCTCGGCCTGGTTCATGTACAAGTTGCCGCGCAGGGTGCGCCACAAGATGCGCTCGAAAGCAGCCACACGGTCACGGGCAATCACACCGGCAACGAAGCCAATGTTCATGCCGGAGAAGGACCGCTCGACCTCCGGGGCCGAGAGGTGGTGCTCCACGTCTTGCAGCAGCGGGGCGTCGTCGTTGTCGGTGGAGGCGCGGATCTCCTCAACATTGCCGTGGGCGCGGTCGAAGAAGCCGCCGGCCTCCCGCAGCACCCAGCGCCATTCGGTCAGCTCGACCTCGCGCTTCTTCAGGGTCTCGTAGCTCTCGTTCAGGGAGGACACGCGCTGCTCCAGGCTCTGACTGCGCTCGGCGAGCTCGTCGATCTCGGTGGTGGTAGGCGGGGCGAGGGTGTCGACATCCAAATCGAGCTTGCGAAGAGCGATGCCGGCCTTGTCCATCTGGGCGTGGAAGTAGCCTGCATGCATGCGTGCCAGCGGTTAGCGAGGGACTTGAAGGAGGGGGGGGGGTCCAATTGCTGTGAGGCGACGTACGCAGCTGGCGCTCGACATTGTCAAGACGGCGAATGTCCTGAGTAAATGCACGCTGAAAGGCGCTCATCTCCCCATTGAGATCTCGGAACTGCACCAAGCCGAGTTCGCCAAGGGCATTGACGACTTCGCGACCGATTTCGTTGGAAATGTAGAGCTGCACCATGCTCATGTCCGCCGAGCGGAACGGCGTATCTCGTGCCGGTGCCATCGCGACGGTCGGGCGGGGGCGTTAACCGTGGCGATGGTAGTTGGTGATGATGGGTGTCGTGGTGGTGGAAGGGTTGTTGATGGGAGGATGGGGAGTCGGTTCCAGGTTCCAACAACCAACCAACTTGGGGCGGCGTAGGGGGTCGGAGCTGGCCTGAGGCTGGCTTGGCTCCAATTGTTGGCTTGAGCTCACTGTCTGCCTTGTTTGAGCCGCGCGTCGGCAAAGCCTCGGCGGGAGTTGACCCCTATAGTGCAAATACTGTACTGCACACGGAGTCGCACAAGATAGGTACCTCCCGTATAAGTGCCCCCGACAGTCTGTCGAACTGCTGTACGCACCCCAACCACGTCCAGTAGTGTTGGTGTTTTACATCTAGCTGAGTTTTGATACTAACCGTCTTGATGTTTGAACATCAAATTCAACCTTTGTCAGGATCGCATTCTCAACGCTTCCCACACCACACCCCCGTCTTAAGACACACCCTTCACCAGTCGTTGCCACGACATTCCTTCAAAAAGAACTTGCCGCTTTAGTTTTGGAGATAGTCTGCACTGCAAGTCTTGGAGGCAGAACTTTTACGGAGAGTCTGTGACGTCCTCGTCCATTTACTGCGATATCTCAAGAGACAGGCAAGAGGAGGCCTTCCATTGATGTCTACGCCATAACGTCTTAACCTTACAGCGGGCCCCCATGCCCACGTAAAACGATATAATCCTTTACTTGTTTTCTCGTGGTTTATGCCGTGTTTCGGCGTCCGGCGACTCACGTTACAAGAAACATCCATATTTAGCTTACCTCAGGGCCCTTAGACGGTTCATTCCGCATGCACCAAAGCCTCTGTCGAAAGTGCGATTTCTTCAAATATGTCCCCAATCGTATTATTCGGGCATGTGGGAGGGCGACAATGGTGTGCATCGGAGAACAAGTATCAGATTGGAGCCGCATCGGGGTCTAGAAGTTGGAACCGATGTTCGTGATCCCTTGGCGAGTGAAACAGGGATATATATCGGTCGTTGCACCAGTGGTATGGGGAGTCCTGTTGCTAAGATTATTGTTTTAGGGGTCGGTTTGTCGTGTTTTGATAGGAGAAGGGAATTGCACTTCCTGTGGATATGGCCAACACCTTAGCGAGCCATGGAACATTGGAATATCAGGCATACCCTAAAACCATAACCTTCCGCTCTGCAGACAGGTTTGTTTAAGGACATGAAGGATGATCAAAGTTAAAGTGACGTTAAGTGGGCGAGAGGGAGCAACCGGAGTGAGAACAACACAAGGACGGGTGAAACTGGGTATCGAAAATATACGTACCTTTGTATTGTAGGCCAGGGTATAGATGGCGAAATTGATCTTGCAAATGCAATCGTGTAAATGGTTCCTTGCTTCGGCCACTTTGTTGTTCCATGTTCGTGCACCTCCCCGTCTTATCCGGACATGAACAACTGCCAAGCTCGGCATGGTTGTTTTGACCCAATCCCAGGGAACCCCCAATCACCCGCGTGACCTCTCTCCCACCTCGAAACCGGACTTCCGCGTGGGCTGTGGACGGCGAGCTTTTCAGGGGCGCCGGCGGGATGCAGTGCCTCTCAAGAGAGACATTGACCCCTGCTGAGGGTTGGTCAGTGACCTACCCACCCTCCATTACCAGGTTGGTTGGTGACACTCGGGACTGGTAATTAACTGGAAGACCTCACAGAAACCATCGTCGAACAAGAAGCCGGTACACATTGGAGCTGGTTGCCCGATGGGGTGATACACAAAACCCCTCCCCAAAAGAAAGTCACACCGCTTGTCATCCCCTGCCGTCGAAACTTGCAACGGTGGGTAGCCCAAACAAATCTGACCATCCAAAGCGAAAACACGAGTAGGGATTCAAAGGATTTCATGCACCAGCGCCAAAATCGCCAAAATCGCCAACTGCCGTCCAACACGGGAGGGACCAAGTCGTTAATCGTTCCTTTTTGACCCGTAGCCACCCCCGCTCTCACCTGCATGCCGAGCTTCCCTTATCCGAGTGGGGGTGATTCCGTAATCCTGACCGCTAAAACCTCCCATCTTTCGGTTTCAAGGTTTCACATGCGCGATATAAAGAGGACCCCAGTTCCCTCGGGACTTTCTTCAACTAGCTGAGATGAGACAAACAACCATGGATGGCTTCTGGCAATTACTCTGACTTACTCAATTTCACTATCGACCAAACAATACAGTGTCGCAAAAACAAAACACAGACAAGACTTTCAAGACGTCATCCACCCATCATCATCAGTCCCTAGCAGGATTCGTTCTCTCAACCAGAGCGCAACAATGGCAATAATCAAACAATTACAATCAACTTCTCGCGTTCCCGTTCCTCGCCCCCTCATATGCACACACGTACGCGATTTGCCTTTGCCGTCCATCCTTGCGCCATGTGCTTCTCCCTCACTTTTTTTCCCAACGTTTTGTGCTCCATGATATACTCCCGGTTTCCGACTTCTCTCTTTCTCTCTCCAGAAACTCCATGCAGATGCAATCAAAAGTCAACCAGAAGTCGATGAAGGAAGAAGCACAACGACAGACCGCTCCCCCAAACTCCGTTCCCGTTCATCCAGTCTCGGTGTAATAAAAGGAAAGAAAACGCCAAGAAGAAACGCCGCCCCGTTCGCTTGCCATGGTATCGAAAATCCCCGGACCGAAGACGAACAATGCTGCAGCGACTACGCTGAAAGGGAAAGAGAAATGAGCAGAAAATGCAATCCTCGACGGATCAGAGCTTCCGCGAAAACATGAAGTTGCCGTACATGCCTCCCACCTCGGCATGAGCAACGGGTATCTTCCTCATCCCCCACGACTCGGCCCCCATCTTCCAGCCACGGCGGCCGTCGTCTCGCGGCCCCGTGGCGTTCTTGTTGGGCTGTCGCACCATCCAGCCACGGCTTCCGCACTCGGACAGCTGCCAGCCGATGCGCTGCAGCGCGGTAGAGGACTTGCTAACGCGGCGACAGACATCTTCGGCGAGCTCGACGACCTCCAGCGGCTCTGAGAACGACTTGAGGATGGCGCACGCGCTGCCGAACAGATAGACGAGATCGAGCTCCTGGCCCCAAAAGTCCGACAGGTCGATGTACCGGAGGCTATGCGGTACCCAGTCGACCTCCATCGTCACATCGCCGTCCTCGTCCGGCACAAACAGCCGGTTGACATCCCGCAGCGATAGAGACCGACCGACCGCAAGTTCTTCCAGGTGCTTCGTCAGCGGCCGCAGAAGATCGATGTGAGAGGCCGCCATCTTGCTGCCCTTCAGATTGAGCGACTTAAGCGTCTTGGGGAGAATCGGAAGCAGCTCCGTGACATGCTCGGCATCAAAGGCCTGGTGGCTTCTGGCGTCCGTTGCCAGGCTCAGAAACTGCAGCCCCTTCACGGCCGGATGGTTTGCCAAGAAGTCGATCACGTTCCTGGCCGAGAGCAATGTGCATTTGCTCAGGTTCAAGTGTGTGATCGTGGCGGTCGGGGGGATCGAGGACAGAGCGGTGTCTGTGATGCGGGTGCCGGCTACGTCAAGGTGCGTGAGCCGGGTCAGTCGCGGGAGAATCACCTCGAAGACCGACGACGGCAGCGTCAGGCACTTGTGCAGCGACAGCCGTTGCACCATCAACTCCCTGGGCCAGTTGGGGGAGAGGACGGACAAAAACGACTCCTTGAATGAGTTCGAGGTGCAACCGCAAAAGTCGATGGCCTTTAACAGGGGTAGCCCCAGGAACAGCTTTTGCAGCACTGCCGCATCGAGATCATCATCGATGTACTCTTGGCCGAGGAACTCTTGGAGGTGGGGCGTCAGCTCCAAGCACTGCAGAAGCGTCTCCGACGTCAGGTTACGCGCCTTAGAGCGCTCGGCAGCAGTCAAGAATAACTGGGAGGGATTGAAGTGGCAAAAGTCAAGCCGGCGCACGATGGTGCCCAGGTTGGGGTGGGCTGAGATGTGGGCAAGGAATTTTTGAAAAATCCTCGAGTGGGGTATGGTGATCCTGCTGTACAGCGTGCTCAGGGTCGCAACATGCAACGTCCTGGACGTCAGCAGCAACGACATCAAATCGATATTGCGCCTCGTGATACCATTGGGAGGCACATCAAGAGCGAGGAGGTTGATGATGGCGCCTGGGGAGCCATGTTAGCCGACGCACAACGCACAACACACGACGCACAACGTGGACGTGGGGGCCACGCGCAACCGGGAAGAGCTTACTCAGTATCTCGGTGGGCAACCGCTCGATGGGGGCATCGCCGGATCTGTTCTGACCGCGCTTAGCGGGGCGAGGCGGGGGATTGCTAAAGACCTGGTGCAAGACCTGAAGATCACCAAAGCTCTTGCTCGCGAGCTTGCCCCTGACCTGGATGCCCTTCCAACCCTGGAAGCTGTCGGCTGGCGTCCAGTATCCGAGAAGTTTACTGTTGGGGTTGGTAACGGGAGGCTGGAACTGGGTCTGGATCATGTTGAGCGCCCGGGCCGACGAGGTGCTGGAGGCGCTGGGAGTGACGGGCGGGCTAGTCGTCGGGGTGTCGTCGAGGATGGCGACCTCGTCACTATCGGCGTTGAAATAGGACGAGACTTTAGACTGAGAGAAGGACTGGGGGAGGATGTTGTCGTGTTCGCGGATGGATGAGAAAGAAGAACGAGAGACCCGGTCCGGGGTCCCAGGTCGGGAATTCTCGTCGGCCAGCATGGCTTTGTAGTCCGGCGAGGGCCGAAGGGGTTGCAGGCGGCCTGGCTGCGGTCTTGGCTTGGAGACCGCCATCGGGGGGGGGGGAGGAGAGAGGAGAGGGCCAGGGGGGGTGCTGGCGGATGAGACGGGGCTTGGCGTGGCCCCCCGGGCAAAATTACAAGCGGTTGTTGCAGGGCAAGGCGGTCAGGTGCGCGATGCAGCAATGGGATGGCGACAGGTTGGCCGGAAGGGAAGGAGGAGCACACGGACGGACAATGAATCCGTGATTTGATGCGGAGCTTAAGCCTGGGTTTTTTGCTTTGGCCAGTCGGCAGGTGCGCTGGCGAAACGAGGTCCAGGCAATGGTCTGGTCTCACAAGGACCCGGAAGGAAGGCGGATGGCGCCGGTCTCTTTCTATTAGTCAAGGAACCGGTGTGTTAGGTAACAGGAAGGCTCGCGACGCCGCAGTGCGGGGAAGATGCGAGCGATGGAATTTGGATCCGCAAATTGAATTCGTGAACCTGCCCAGCTGCCGTCTGGAGATGCGATGAACCCTCGATTGAGGGCGTGGATTCGAGGGTCAACGGTCCCAGTCGTGCCAGTGAATAAAAAATCGCGGCCTTGCAGGGGTCCTGGGGTCGAGGTTGTGCGTCGCTGTCTGTCCAAATGCAATTCCTCGCGTTGCGGTTGGCTTGCGGGGTGCTGTCGAGCGGGCGAGACCGGGTTGAGGGAGTGGGCGGCACCCTTGGTGTGTGTGGGTGTGACACTGTGATTCGGGAAGCTCGATGTTTGAGTGAGTCAAACGACAAAAGGCCCCGCGGAGAACAACGGACGGGAATCGCTAGAATATTCGGCGGTGTTGTCGGACGGAAGCAAACAATATCAAAGGGCGAGTGCTGGACAATGTATGTGTACAATTCCGGGAGGTAGGAGTCATCGGTTTAAGCGGGCGTTCAGGAAGAAATACGTCAGGCGCAACTCCGATACAGGCCGAGAAATAACCTGGAAGCTGGCGAATTGACCATAACTGAGCCGCCCTCAGAAGCAGGACACGGATCAGCCCGAAGACACACAACGCAGTTCAGGCTGGCAAATCTCTAAACACATCAGCAGCACAGATGAGCTCCGACTGGGTGGCTGACCGCAGACGTGTTTGCCGCCTCCGCGGGGTTGCTGCACCCACGCACCGACGACAACCCTTTGACGCTGAAATGTGGGAATATCCTGGCATAGCAGATGGAGCTTTGAGAGAGCGGAGGCCAGTCACAGCGTCGGCCCGTTGAAAATTTTCGCCTCGTGCACCCCTCGCGTTTGTTGTCAGTCTCTCGGCGGCACGCACAGCCCATAGTGAGTGTATTGTATAAAGTACGTCCCTGCCCAACTGCCTGGCTTCATGTATGCTGCGCAGCTGTTGATCACAAGCGGCGGGAGCCCCGACGCGCGAAACGGCGCGGAGTTGACGAATTCGATGCCAAGTTCGATTAGCCCAGACCAGCCATTCGAGCTCCTCGGTACCCTTGCCACCCACCCCAAAATGAACCGAACTTCCATGGCACGCCACAAACATCATGTTGCATGGTGGCAGCTGAGAGCACAGGACTTCGAGATACGTAATGGGTTGCACCTCTCCTCCACCAACCACACACAATTGGGGCGTCGCATTGGGCAAGCTGCAAAATGCAGCATGTAAATTGCCCACTTGCGAAGATATGGCGATGATCACATTGATGGAGCACGACACGCGAAGGCTCGTTGCTCTCTTTCCGCAAATGTACCTCATCTGCTGCAGAGCTTGGGAGGTTTCGAAGCATTCATCTTACATAATCACTGAAACCTCAACCCGTTGTTCGGTATTCGTTTCTATCTCCTTGATCGCGGAGTTGCTCTTTGGGGTTCCTTGACTCGGCCCAACTCAGATATCCGAAAGACGAGACCGCACGAGGAGGGCTTGTTTCAATCTCTTTGGCGATAACCAGCTACTCGAGAACCACTCAGCCACTACTGCCGGGCGATGCTTGATGCTAACTAATGCTGAGACACGGCATGAAGGCAACGCCTCAACGCCGAGAAGCTGACGAGCTGACAAGCGGACAAGCTGACAGAGACCCCTTTTCCGATCAGTCCCCGACGCTGACATTGGCGATTCATCTGTTAAGCCAAGGCGAACATCAGGCGGCGTTGGCCATCCCGTCCTCACCAAGCCGTTCACGTGGTGTCTGATCACCTGGGCCATTGGAGCCCGGCCTAGCCCCGCCTCTGCGGCAAGGGTCACCGAAGTCCGGGGGAGCCGCTTGCAGCCGCGCTGCGCTAGCGAGGCTTTTCCCCTGCTGCTTGTTTTCGTGTCCCTGCACTGACTTTTTCCTTTTTGGCCTCTTTTGCTGGGCTGATCCCAGCACTTTTGGACCCCCAAGATTCGGTCGACCAATCTGGGCTCAGGGTCGTATCGTGGCTGGGTCGGGACCCGGGAGCTTACCGACCCGATCTCCGACTCCGGCCCGTTGATTGGGAGGCCTGGACCCTCAAAACATTTAACTTATCTGATCGGCTTGGAATGAGGCGAGCGGGTGGAATTCAAATTATCATTGAGCTCCAGCTTTGATCAAACGAACAAGGGAACACCTCCCGACCACCGTCTCTTCCCCTCAGAAGCCAGCTCAAAGTTCTCCGCCGGGGATGCTGAAACTGCAACGTGGTATTTCGAGGCTCACATGACTGCTTTCTGCATGCCACCTCAGCAAAACCGTTCGTCCCGCCCTTGCTGATCGCGTCTCGGCAGCATGCAGCAGCAAACGCCCAACAAATCCGACATCCTCTCGCCTCGGGGATTGCCAAGCGAACGGCCAGGGCCAGATGGATCCGGATTCGATGATCTCCATCTGAAATGCACAAGCTTCACAGCAGGGGAACCCGCAAGGTGCACAAGCTCGCGAAAATGATCAGAGCTCCTCAAAAAGGACACATAAACCAGCTGCCAAGCAACTACCGTGGCATCGAAATACAATCCGTGCACCACCAGCACATGGAAGAGGATAGAAGCTGCAGCACCTGCAAGCTGCAGGCAAGCTGCAAGGTGCAAAGCAACCCAACCCCAGCGGAACGAGGGGACAAGAAGGGGGGAAAAACAGGGTTCTGCCCACACGAGCCACACCACAGCTGCGGCCCCGATGTGCCGGACATCTTGTGTCACCACACCGTTAACCCAGAAAGGTAATCAACCACGGATCGGCGCCAGATAAAATATATTCAGACCCCTCAATGGATTACATAGTACATACATCCATCCATCCATCTATCCATCGAGCCAGCGCACCACGACGCAGCGTCCAAGCGCCGTTCTTGAAGCAGTCCCTAACTCCGAAATGGAAACAGCAGCACTAACTCCAGGTCAAGCGACTGCTACATCCCCCCAAAAAAGACCCCAACCAACAACACCGGAAGTATACGGACACGAAACGCTGTGACAGGGCAACAGAAGAGCGAGGGATACCGATATGAAGGACGGGCGGTGAAAGTGGATAAAACATGCCCAGCCGTTCACCTCCGCTCAGCGATCTTCAACCGCTTCTTGCAATCCTCGCAGTACCATTTCGCTGCAAGACACCGGATTGTTAGCGCTGACCGTGCATTACAAGCCAAGAGAAGGGGGGGTCAAGCGATGGGGAGGGTTTGGGGACGGGATTGATCGGGGATGGGGGGATGAATGAATGAACACCATCACCAATCCCCAAGCCAAGTCCAGTTCGACGCAAGGCAAGGCAAGCTCAGCTCGATCGGAAATGGTGGGGATCGGCTGCTGTAACCACCACCACCACCATCACCCCATACTGTGTAGACAGAATAAGAAAGAAAGCAAGAAAGAAAGAATAAACATACCATTCCCCTTCGGCGCGACCTTCAACCCCACACACTCAAGGTGGAACCACTCGCGGGGGCAACCATCACCATCGCACGCGACCATCTCGCCGTAGCTGACCTGGTTGCAGTAGCAATACAGGTCCTCGTCAGCCACCTCCTGTTCCTCTTCCTCCTCGTCGTCGTCATCAACGGCAGTGCCAGAGGCAGAGGCGCCGGCGGTGTTACCGCTGCTGCCGCCCTTCGCGTTGGCCGCTGCCGCGAGTCTTGCCGCCGCTGTCCTTCTTGGTGGTAGTGGCACCCCCGCCACTGCCGCCGACGCTGACGCTGTTGCCGGTTGGTGCTGAGTCTTTGTTATGGTCCTTTTCCTTTTCTTTGTCTTTGGCCGAGGTGGCTGGACTGTTAGAGGCTGCGGCGGCGGCGGCGGCGGCGGCGGCTTGCTGCTGGGCGTGTGCTGCGGCCGTGGCGGAGATGGAGGCGCCCTTTTTGTGGCTCCTCTTCGTTATCGGGGCGGTGGCGGTGGTTGCGTTGCTGGAGGGGCCGGTCCCGGCGGTGCCGTTGGCGCCTTCGGCGTTGATGTTGTTGTTGTTATTATTGTTGTTGCGTGACGGCCGGGAACGGGCTGTTGTGGGGGCAGCTGTTGACGATGCGGCCTCGGCGAAGGTTGCGGTCGCTGGGGTGGACGGCTTGCTTGCTCGCCCGCTCTTAGTCTTGACCATGGCCACCGAAGCAGGCTGGATGGCGAGGGGCGCCGTCTCCTTGACAGGTGGAGCAGGCTCGTCGCTTGGTTTGGCCGCCGTCTCCTTTTTGCTGCTGTTTTGTGCCGGCTCTGGCGCTGGTTGGGGTGCCTCGGTCTCCGGCTTTACAGGATTTGGTTTGTTCATGATGGGGACAGTGGCCTCCTTTTGAATCTTTGCATCTGTCGTTGTCCTCGCCCCGTTGCTCACTTGACCCAGGTCAGGTGTCCCTTGCGGGTTCGCGGTCGGCTTGTTAGATGCCGCGGTTGGTAGATGTTGCCGCATGCCCTCAACATTCGACTGTGTAGAGTTCTGACGCGCCCGAGAGGAGGCAGGCCTGGGTGCGGTAAGCGACGGCGCTGGTGAGCCGCGCCGGACGGGGTCGGGGAATGATCCGATTACCGGGGAAGATGTGACGGACGGCGACATCGCGGCTGTGGTCCTGCTGTTGAGTTGGTTAGCGATGTAGATAACCGAGAAGTGGTTAGAGTGAAGCCTACCTTTTCTTTGCCTAACCGCTCGATGAAGGAAGTGCCTTGCGTTTCTTGTTCCCGCTTTCTGGCGCAGGCGTCTCCCTCGGGCTCGTAGTCCTCTGCTTCGCGGCGTTTGTCCCGAATACTGACCCCATTGCGCGCTCCGTAGGGGCTCCTCCGTTAGGCTTTGCCTCCACTTTGCGTCTCTTACCGGCCGGGGCGGCCCCCGGAGGGCCAGGGGTAATGCCGAGGCCAACTGGTCCAGAGTCGGGCAGAGGTTTCCGCGACTTGCCCCCAGGGGCCTTCTTCCCGCCTTCCTGCGCTTTGTCGCCGTCCACATCGGCAGCCTGGTTCTTCGCGCTCTTCTTGGCAGCCATGGCCTGCTTCCTGTCGTTACTACGAGCAGCGGCCTCCTCGGCCAGGGCCTGGGCGGCTGCCGAGAGGGTAGCAGCGCCCTCACGGCGCGATCGCTCTGCTTGTTTATCGTTGGCCTTGGCTTGCCTGTTTTCGACATATGCCCAATGTGTAGCGCTGCCCCATTTTGCTTCCTCGCTGAACTCGGCCGCGAGGTGTGGCCAGATATTCTCGATGCGAGATAATTGTTTCTGTAGGGCGTCGTTGGCAGTAGGGATGACGTGATTCTTTTCCTCCAAGGACACTAGCATTTCTTGTATCTTTAACGCGGTGTCGCGAAAGATGGTACGGCGGGGGATGTTAGCGGGATCAAATACGCTGCTGGCCGCGCCATCGGAGGAGGGTGCCGACGGGTTTGCGGGCTCGGTGGTGCTGTTGTGGGCGCTAATGGACGCAGATACCGAGGCGACGGTGCTCGGCGCATCATTGAGCGGCCTAGCAAGGTCTAGGGCAGGCGTGTTGACAGCGCTGTGGAGAAGTTGGAGGAGAGCGGCTTCGGGCGCGAAAATCTTAGCGTCCACTTCCTTCAGTAAGGTAAAGTGGCGAACGAGTTCTTTCGGAAGGGCGGTGATAGCATCGGTAAAGTGGGTTACCCCCGGTAGAATATCGATGGGCTGTTCCGCCGCAGGAGCACTTGCCATCGAGTTGGCGCGATTGAGAGAGGATGTGCGTGGTGGGTTGACTCGTGTTTGGCGCACTGGTTGTCTGCGACTCGAACCGGTCGCGCCCTCCGACGCCGGTGGCTTTGCCGTCTTCATAACGAATCGACGAGGCCAGTGGAAATAGTGGTACGGTAAAGGGATTGCGAACTCGGGGAGGCTAACGGTGGGTTGTTCGAAAGGACGACGAGGATAGAGGGAGGAGGGCCGGGTTTGGCGTGGTCGCCGTCTCTGTCGGCTGCTTGTGAGCTGGGCTGGAAGGAATTAGAAATTCAAATTAGAGCAATGCCAATAGATGGAAATGTTGCAAGGGCATCTCTCAAAGCCGGCGGCACGCTAAAATCCACATTTGACACGCTGCTTTTCTGTGTTTTAAGAAGGCAGAGGAAAAAAAGGTGCTTTCGAAGCGCGGGATCTTTCCCACCAGCAACCGGGCCGGGCAGCACCACCAGCACCGCCCACCAACTAGCACCGGCTTTCTCCAGGCTGTGGGGAACAGTTTTGTGGGGCTGTCATAGACAGAGCGCTCTGATACGTCACCGCTCCTAGGGAAAGATAAGATAAGAGAGGGCAAGCACATGAACGCGCAGAGCGAGCTCGAGGGCCTACCAATTGGCTTGGCCATGTGCATCTTGACACTCGATTCTCTGCTGAAGATTTGGGGGGCGGTCTAACACGAGGGTCTCGAATATGCAAAATAATGAAGAACATCCGGCTTGTCGCTGTCCCGAACGCCTCGCCCAGTGCGATGTCTATCGTGACATTTCTATTACATTAAAAACCAACCCAAAGTTTCACGCCTCCTTCACCCGCCGCCGCGGCCTCTCGTCCCTCGCCTTCTGCTTCTGTCGCCATTGCCACTCCACCAGCACGGGGAAGGAAACTCCATAGATCGAACTCAGGCCAGAAACACTTGAGAAAGAAGATGTGGGTGTTCTGATGGCACTGCCACAGCATGAAGTCGCTCAGCCGTTCAACGCCGCTAGTCCTCACGAATATGTCGAGCGGAGGGCAGCCAGCTGTGTACATGTGACTGTCGATGGTTTCCGGGGTGATCGTCTCCGCGTTAGGGTATATGGCCACCGTTTCCTCGTCGCCGCCGCTCTTGACGGCCGTCGAGTCAGAGTGGAGGGTTGTCGCGGTCGATACGGCGTCATCCTGGTCGTCGGACGGCACCGAGGACGGGGTTGGGGACGGTGATTCCCTGATGGGCTCGAGCGGGTCCGGTTTGCCGGCTTGTTTGGACAGGATCTTCTGTGTTATCCTGCTCTGAGAAAACGGGGTGCTGTGCGGACGCGGGGTGGTCGAGTACTCCTGAACAGTAGTCCGGATCGCAGTCGTCATCTCCTCCCTGGACGTGTAGGGGAAGCAGATGTTGAGGACGCAACTACAAGGGATTGTCAGTTTGTGCGTGCGATGTCGGCGGCGCGTAATGGGTTTCCTACTCAGTGTTGTTTTTCGTCGTAGCGGCGGCCCTTTCGACAACCTCGAGGACATCTGGGGGGATTAAATCGAGACGCCCCAGCACCTTCACACGCGCGCCATATCGGTCTAGCAGCTCTCCATGTTGTATGAGCTGTTCTAGTTTGAGTTTGGCGAGCTGCATAAGCCCGTCGACCTCGTACTTGGGGCGGTGGAAGTTCTCGAGACTGAAAGCGTAAACCGTCACGACCTTGACACCGCACTTGTAACAGACCTCGAGCACCTGTCGATGCGAGTCAGTTAGCGCGTCGAAGGGGGCAGATGAGAGAGACAGGCGCACGCACCCGAGCAAGAGCTTCAAAGCCCAGATGATGGCCTTCGATCGTTTCTATCTTGTGGCTCCGCGCATACCGGCGGTTGCCGTCCATCTCAAAGGCGACATGTTGCGGGATGGGCCCTTGAGACAGAGCACCGATGAGGGTCGAGCGGAGGCGGTTGAGGGCCCATTCGGCGGGGGGCGAGCTCATAAACCAACTACGTATCCGAGAAAGATACAAGTCGGACATGGTGGCGTTGCGGTAGAGCGTGGTCTGACCAGGAAGATGCTGTGGTCGCGCGTGGTCTAATCAAGAAGAGGCAAGAAAGATGGGCGCAAATAATTCACCAAATCTATTTTTTCAGGAAAGCGTGTTGGGGTTTAAAGAACAGTCGCCATGATAAAAACCAAATCACTGAAAAGGAAAAACGAGAGAACGCCCAGACTCAGCCAGGATTACGAGCAGGTTGATGATGAGAAGGAGTGGCCAGCCAAGGGTGAAATTGTGGCTCTGCGAATGACGAACCTGGAACTGGCAGGTCAATTGCGTGTCGTGGAAGGTCGTGCGCCTCTGTCTGGTGCTTGGGTGGGTCTCAGATTTTCCATCTGATCGGCCGACGGATGTCATTGTGACCCACCCGAGCCGCCGTTTGATGCGTCCCTGACTGGCCTGCCCTGAAAAGGCCAGTGCATACGTTGCGGGTACGAATACTACAAGGCAAGTGTCAACATCAAGGCTGACTTGGCCGCAACTTCCGTCCCGCCATACCGGGACTCATCATTCGCAATCGCATTTTACCTCTTCCCGGCCCGAGACCGCTATCTAGAGGTCGAACTGCCTCTCAGTTCCCTCTTACGGCGGGTTCAATTATCCTCCACCGGGCGCGCTTCCATTGCTTTCGACATATATCATGTCCAAGTAGCAGGATCCCAAGTTCCGACCTGTCAAGGAAGAATTTAAAAGAAATCGGTAGCCATGTCGTTTTCGAGTACGCCCGTGACTCGCGTCCTGGTGATGGGGCTGATTGGGGCTTCGATCGGGGCCACCCTCTTCGATATCAAGCACTACTTCTATATCTCGGTCGGGACGCACATCTTGCAATACCGCCAAACATGGCGGGCGCTGATATGGCAACTGTGCTATACCAACTCGTCCGAAGTGCTCTTTGGAGCCATGGCGCTGTACAACCTCCGCATCGTTGAGATGCAGTGGGGTCCCAGGAAATACGCTGTAGGTTACGCAATCGGGCTGTGCAGTGAGTGTGGGACTGGGAAAAGGACAGTTTGCTAACAGCACCACAGTCATTTGTCCTGGTATCTGGACTCCTCACGTCCATCATCCCGCCGATCCTCTTGACGGGAATTCTTCGACCCTTGAGCTGGGGGGTCTTTGACTTCCTGCCGGCTGGGCCCACGCCGCTCATCTTTGCCATCCTAGCGCAGTACCATGCCATGGTTCCGCATACTTACCAGTACAAGATTGCACTCTCCACGGGCGCCCCGACTAACAACGACGAAGCGCCCGGGATGACGTTCTCGGACAAGTCGATCAAGTACTTCATGGCATTCCAGTTGGCGTTGTTCCAATGGCCAGGTTCGCTCCTCGGGGCGGGAGTCGGGTGGCTCGTGGGCCAAGCTTGGCGCAGCGAACTGCTACCGGGAGCCTTGACCGGCTGGCGTGTGCCTGGCTGGGTTGTGGGGATGAGAGGTCAAAAGGGCAGCGACAGGTTTGAGGGGATGCGCAGGAGGCTCGAGAGTGAAGGAGCAGCGACGGGGGCTACGTCGGGAGCCCAGCACCAGGCTGGGGGTGATGGGAACAGGCGGAGGACCATGGGGCAGCAGCTTTTCGACGAGGTGCGCGGTGCGTTCTGAGGCTGAAGGCAGCGTGATAAGGATAGTTGGCCATTTTTAGGATCCAATCAAGCCTACATCGGAATACATTATCTGGTTGTTTGAGAGGAGCCGAAGACAAACATCCTCCTCCGACGCCCTCACTCCCCCAAGGCATCATAGGATTCAGCCCGGGCCTCGAAATATGCGGCCCACAGCGAAGTTGGCCAGGCGGTTTCTTTTTATAAACCCGCACAACATGTCTCTTCTGAGTAGCTAGTATGCAAGTCAAGTCAACCAACTACGGGTTTCCAAAAGACGACGTGGAAGTCTAGAATTGCCGTTCCTCAAATGCCCTGCAGATGAGCTACTTTGATCCACTAATGTGTGACCTTGTCATCCGCGCCACCATCACGACGAACAAACAAGCGAATTACAGAAGCCAAGGCTTTCAAAACTGGCCCCGATTCGGTGGTGAATAGACACATGTACGCATGTTGGTTAGGTGAAGCTTGCCACGGCCGCATCATGTGCTGGCAGAAAGGCCGCATACCTTCACATCGGACTTGAGGGATGGAAGTGCACATGTCGACCGAACCTCGACGGTAACTGTATTTACTGGATCCGGTTTTTGTTTCTACTCGATTTAATTTACTAGTACTTAGCTTGGTCCTTTTGTATTCGGTTCCTTTTACGCAAAATACCTAGAGGCACCTAAAACACCTACTCGATCTTCTCTTTTGGTTGAAGACGGCCTGTGGTTAGAAAGCACCTCGGGACGGGAGCACTTCGGATGGACCTTCTTAACTAAAAATACAGAGGTCGACCTGCACAGCCCAGCACCGTTTCCCCCAGACGCCAAGGATTCGCGTCCACAGGTAGGTGCCATTGGCCCACGCATCGGGGGGTCAGGCTGCCGGCTCTCCCAACGCCCCGGATCGGCTGAGCCCGAGCATATCCACAGCGCCTCCCAACGCAATTTGATGAGGCGAGGTCGGCACCAACTCATCCATCCTGGTCCCTGCGGCATCCTCATCTTCTGCGACAGTCGTCGAAGTTGCCCAAAACCGGTGATTGTTACGAAGTACCCCGGTCTTTTATACAGCGGATCGGCCGTCTTTTTGCGCCCGGTTTGTCTCTTTGTCCTTTTTTACATCAGACGAGACTCCATCTCATCAACCAAACAGTTCGGCCCGCTTTCCCTCCATCCTGCAGGGCCTAATTTCCACGTGCGCGTGCGAGTCGAAGACATCCCTACTGAGTGTGACCTGGTTTCAGGGACCGATACCCACTTTCGCGCTGCATCCCCTTCTTTTGCCCCAGACAGAGTTCCTGTCGCGCGCTTGCTCCCGAAATTGAGAACTCGGTCCGCCCGTCACTTTGCCTAGCTGTCACTTTACCCGTCTCCCACGCCGGTCCCTCTCAGTCGCATCCACGAATATCCAAACTCCGACGACAACTCGAGCCCGGCCTTGCTGTGAACGCATGGATTCATAGTTGGAAGTGCTCCTCGGGTCCTGCTGCACACGAGTCGGGCTTCGAATTTCCTTAGGCCCGGATTTTTTCTTTGCATAATGCCTTTCTGGAAAATCCATTATTAATATTTAACCCACGCTTTCCATACACACACGATGAACGGCGCGACCATGAGGTTAGGCGGCCCGGCGGGAGGGGGGTTGGGTCAAAGGAGCAGTGGGAATAGTTTCGGCTCTCCAGGGAGGGTACCCCTTCCTGGAATGCCTCCTGTCGTGACGCCCACGGGAAAAGCACTGGTGGAGGGTTATAGGAAGGATATTCTCAATGGCTTTGAGAGGGAGAAGCCAAGATACAACCCCGTACGAGACTTCAAGCCCCACCCCCCGAATCAAGTGTCGTTGTCTAATCGCAACTTATTGTGCAGTCGAACGAGAGCCGGCCGCAGAGTTCCGCCCTGGTCGATCTAAAGGACCCGATCCAAGTCCACCTGCTGACCGAGACCGCCCTCTCTGACAGCAAAGCCTACGAGATCTTGTCGCAGGAAGAAGTGGATCATATCAAGAAGCAGATGCAATCGCTCTCGATGCGCATCGAGCAGGCCCGCGCGAACCTTGCGATCCAGTCCAAGTACCGCGATGCTGCGATTTCCATGGCCAGGCTGTATTCGCCATCCAAGACCGAAGGCAAGAGGAGGAGTCTGCTGGGCAACCGCATGAGCGATTCGGCCAAGGAGGCCGAGATGGAGAAGCTGGCGAGTGAGCGCCGCTGTGAGGAGCTTGCAACGGAACTGTTCTCGCTAGAGAAACGCCTCATGGAGCCCCAGAGGCGTCTCCTTCAGCACACGGCCGGTATATTGCAGATGACGCACCGCGCCTCTTCGAAGAAGTCAGGGCAGGTGCCGGTCGGACCTATGATGAACGGCATCCCTGGGAGCCCCGAAAGCCTTTACACCTACACCAACACTCGCAATAGCATGGAAATTCCCAACGGCGATCTCGACTTCGACAAGAACCTCTACTTGCATCTGGACCAAGCGGACGGACCGGCGACGCTTCCCCGCAAGAACGCCATCGAGATCCCGCTCAAATCGCCCATCCGGGAGCAGAACGCCCAGATGAGGGAGCTGCGCGAGGAAATCGAGAAGGTGAAGGAGGAGAATGAGCGCATCCTAGAAGAAAACATACAGCTGAAGACGACGGAACAGCAACTGAAAAAGGAGTTCTCCCAGGTTCAGGATCAACTCGCACAGCTAGCTGCTGCAGAAGAGCAACTCAAGCAGGATCATGCACGCTCCAGAGACGAGATTGCACAGCTCCAAGAAAGGGAACGGCAGCTCAGAGACGAACACGCCAAGGCCACAGACGAGAACGATCGCATCCGAGGCGAAACGTCGCGGATGATGGACGAGACTAACCGGTACAAGGACGCCGACTCGCGGCTGAAGGCTATCGAGCAGCAGATGAGTGCCGAGACCGACGCCCTCCGGGCCCAGAGCGCAGGCCAAATTCAGGTCCTCGCAGATACCGAGGCGAGATTGGAGGTCTTGAATCGTAAGCTCCGGGATATGGTCGTGGCCTCCAACCCGGCAAAGAAGGGCGGATTCGGCAGCCCAGAAGCCGTCGGCGGTTCTGGCGAAACGCTTACGGCCCAGCTAGAGTACATGGAACGGGGTCTTGCCACGGCCGCGGAAGAGCAGAAGTTGCTCGCAACCGAAGCATCGGCAACGTCAGCAGAAAACGCGACAATCGTATCCTCGCTTGGCCAGGCGGAGGCGTCCCTTGACCAGCTCAGCATGCGTGTCCAAGCACTCGCCCGAAAGGTACAAGACGTGCTGCAACAGTCAAACGCCAACTCACCGCCAGCTCCTGAAGGCACTTTGGACGAGCAACTCGACTACCTCGAAATTGCTCTCAAGACAGTTGGCTCGGAGCTCTCGCGGGCACTCGAGGCGTCGTCATCCGCGTCAGCCAAGAAGCAGGACATCGACCAAGTCGATGCGGTACTCATGGGCCTGTGGGAGATCATCCAATCGGGCTACGCCGAGATCGAGCAGCAGAAAGCAGCCCGCCGGCAAAACCGCGCCCTGGGACAAGGCGGCGCAGATGACGACGACGAGCTGTCGAGCAACGAGTTCGACGGCGACACCAACGAACCGTACTCCTTGCAAGCCTTCTCGACCAAGGTTCAGTGGATGTACGCGCAGGCGACCGGTCTCCGGGAGCAGAAATACATCCTCCAGCGGCAGATCAAGCAACAACGCGAGCTCAACAACCGCAGCGAGTCGGAGAAGGACCGCGAACTCCAAGCCAAATCCGAAGAGCTCGAGCAGACCCACCACATCCTCGACGAAGCCGAGCGCGCCGCCGCCGACGCCCAAGCCCAGCTCCAGAAGGTCCTCGCCGACATGGACACGCTCCAAAAGACCACGGCCGCCAACGAAGCCGCCTCGGTCTCCTCCACCAAATCCGCCCAAGACCAGCTCCAAGCCCGCACCGCCCGCATCACGGCGCTCGAAGCCGAAGTCCGCGAAGCCCAGTCCCGCCTCGCCCAGGCCGAAGCCTCCATCGCCGCGACGCAGACCCAGCTCGCCGACTCCCACACAGCGCGGGCAGCCGCGGAAGCCGAGCTGGCCACCCTCCAAAAACAACTCAGCTCAGCCTCGGACGCGTCCGCGTCCGCCTCGGCCGACGCCTCGGAGCTCCAGCGCGCACTGCAGGCCAAGGACGACGAGCTGGACCGCATGAACATGATGGTGGTGGAGCTCAAGACCGAGGTCGCCTTCGCCAAGGCCGAGCTCGACGGCGCGTACGGGTCGCGCAAGCAGCGCGCCGCCGAGGCCGCCGCCCTCTCCAACTCGTCCCAGTCCGAGGAGCTCAACAACACCATCGTGCGCCTGCGCGCCGAGCTCGAGAACGCCCTGCGCGATCTCGAGGATATCACGCGCGAGTCGATCGCCGCGGAGCGCGAGCGCCTCGAGATTGAGGGGAAGTTGGATGAGGTTATGGGCTTGAAGGGGGAGCTGGAGGTGGAGGTGGGGAGGCTGGGCGAGAGGCTGAGTCGCGTGCAGGAGGAGCTGGACGTCGAGAGGTTGAAGGTGCCTAGTCCGGGCGGTGCTGCTGGTGGCGGTGCGAGCAGGGCGGGCGCGGGGGCTAGTGAGTTGAGTAAACAGTTTAGGGGGGTGATGAAGGAGGAGAGGAAGAAATTCCAGGAGGAGATGAGGGTGAGTCTTTTTCTTTTTTTCTTTTTTTTCCCCGACTCTGCCCCAGCCAGGGACGGCCATTTTTATATTGGGGACCCCAAAACTAACCATATCACAGGAGGAACAAGCGAAACGGCGGAAACTGGAGGAGGAGCTCCGGGCGCTGAAGAGGGGTCAGAACAGTACTGCTTCGACGGCCAGGGGGGGCGCGCTGAGCCCGAGGTGACGGGGGTTGGGCGGCTAACGAAGACGAGGTTAGGGGATGGGTTGGATGATTTACGAAGCGAGTCTATACGGAACCGTATTTTTTTTCTTTTTCTTTGGGGTGGATTTGAGGTTTCAAGGGGAATTTGGGAAGTTTGCGGCGTGCTTCAAGGTGGGATGGCCTGCCGGTACTTTTTCTACTGGGACATTCGAGACTTGCTTTCTCAAGGGTGTTTGGATTCGAATTTCTGGAGGAGGATGAACATTTTCTCAGGAAAAGGTTTGCTCATGTTGAGTATTTCAGGGTGGTTCCCGGTTTATAATTCGCTTGATTTACGGAGGCCTGCATGTTGAAGGGGATGTCATATATAGATAGATACCTTGTCGAATTGACGGATGATTTGGTTTGGAGACGTAACGATCTAGCCGCTGGCCGTGAAGTTGACGTAGCTGCCGTCCACTCAGAGAGAAGTGCCGAGTGGGAAGAAAATCAGAGCGACGATACCATGCATCAGGGAGCGTCCAGTGGCGGGATCCCTAGCAACAACATACTTTCGCCTCGAGCTAACTGACCACCTCGCTCAGAATAAGTAGGTAGGAATAATCAAGATACAACAACATATGGTGTAGCGAAATACCTCCAAATAGAAAAACGCCCGCCACCCACGCTCCGTCCCCCTCTTCATCTCATCAGCCTCATCAACCCCATCAACCCCTCATCCAGCTCTCTTCTCGCTCCCCCCCCCCTCAACTCAACCCAACACAAACCACAACCACAACCACAGGTACCCACCCCTCCCCAATCACCCCCAAAGCGGCGCGGTAACCTCCACAGCCCGCTCCACCACCGCACGCACACGGTCCGCAAACACACGGTTCCCGCACTCCACCTCGAGCGCCTCCAACCACACGCGCGCCTCCATCTTGTCGACCTTGACGCGCACCCCGGGCACGGGGATCCCCAACTTGTGCAGCCGCGCCAGCTCGGCCTGCTGGCGCTGCGCCTCGCGCTTCTCGTTGTTTTCGTTGCTGTTTTCGTCGTCGGACGAGGCCGAGGAGACGTCCATTGAGGAGCCGCCGTCGTTGGTGTTGGTGTTGGGGTTGGGGTTGGGGTTTTCGGCTGCGGGGGAGAGTGGTGGGAGCTTGGGCTCGGCGATGGGGGAGACGTTGTCGGCGCCGAATTGCGCTTCGAGGAACATCATGAGGCGCTCGAGGCGTTCTTCGGGGGAGAGCGTGGCGTGCAGGTTGCGATGAGGGAGGGTGATGATGTCGCCGTCGGCGGAGTCCTGCCCGTGGGTGTGGGAGTGTTTGCTTGCGGAACCTGGTTGAGAGAGGTGATTGTTAGGCACAGTCTCGGAAGGTGGGATAGGATAGGCTTACGCTTAACTGCAGCAGGACTGCTTTCGATGCCGAGGAGAACAGCCATGACGGCGTCGGCGATGCCATCGTTGAGCATGTTACCCTCCCATTCAAGTTCCACCTCGCCGCTGATGCGGTAACGGACCGTCACACAGCCCATGACTAGGTAGGCGGCGACGACTTGGTCGATGGGGAATTCTTCGTCTGCGTCCTCCATCTTCGCGTCGTTATCTGCGTCGTCGCCCTTTTTGCCGTTCTTCTGGGGTTGTTTTGCCTCCGGCAGCTCCTCGATGCTGCCAAAAGTGCCCTCGAGGCCCCATTTGATCAAGTCAACCCCCGCCGCGCTCAGCTTGAGTCGCTGCTTGCAAGCAATGGTGGTGGTTGTGAGACCAGCGTACTCTCGGAGATCCTCGGGCGCCATCAGTGACATCTTGAAGTCGTTTTGGACCAGCACGCCAGTGATAAGCTGTGGTTCTTCCGAGTCGTCCGCGGCTATCTTCATGGGTTGTGGGATCGATGCTAATTTGCCGACAACCTTGGCCGTCTTGTCTGTCTTGAAAGGGATGCGGAGCTCTTCGCAATTGCGTGGGCTGAACACTTTTACCTTGTCCGTCTTGTTCGCATTGAGGGATAGCAGCTTTGATTTCAGGCGCATCATGTTGTGTACCTCGCCGTGAACAAGAATCTACGTTGCGTTGCGTCAGTCAACTTTGGATGAAATGAAAATTGTCAGTGCAGGGCACTTACCACCACCGGAGCGGAGACCTCCTCAATAAACTCCCTATTCTCGGTGCCATCAACGTGGGCGGCAAACGAATATTCTTGAACTGTGCAGCGACGCGGGATCATGACCTTTTCGGAATCACCACCAGGGGCCCGCCTCCCTCCGGCGGAGCTCCTTGTCATGACCGCCTGGATCTGTTCGGGCTCTTGCATAATCTGCTTGGCCATTGTGCCCTCAACGCTATAACCCGTTATAATGACGCCGTTCTTCTCGCTGGGCGCCCACCTCTCAAGCAGCTCTCGGCTCACGCCATTTTGCAGCATACCAGGGCTAGCAAGCATGACGCAGCCGCCGACATCTTCGAAACGATCAATACTCTTGAGTGAGCGGATGAACTTGAAATCCCAGGGCCCGCCCTTGCCGGCGCCGTCGCCGGACGCCTCGGCCTCGGCCATGCGTTCACGAAACAGCCGCTTGATGTTGTCGTTCATGGCGCCCACGTATGTCTGGTACACCAGCATGCACTTGCGGGCGAGGTTGCTGGCGTAGTAAATGGGGTATCTCTGGTAGTCCCTGTGTTTGCCCCAATACTCGTCGAGAATGAGCAGCAGCTCTTGGGCACGACCTAGAGCAAACACGGGCATGAGCACCCGACCGCCACGGTTCAGGACGCCGGTGATCGACTTCATCAACGCCTGCTCTCTCTCCAGTCGGGGGACGTGAGATGCGATACCGTAGGTCGACTCGGTAATGAGCACGTCGACCCTGACGCCTTTGGGCACTTCGGCCGACACCAGATGCCGGTCTTGCTCCCGAGAGTAGTCGCCAGTGAAGAGGATGTTGAGGCCAGCAATCTCGATCAGGAACATGGCGGCGCCAAGAACATGACCGGCCGGGTAGGGGGTGATGCGGATGGACGAGATGGTGTGGGTCGTGTGATAGTCAATGGCTTCGATCATTGGGAACGTGTTGAGATGATCCTGCTCAGTGTAGACGAGCTGGGTTGTCGGATTCGACGAGGTGTTGCCGACCCGCACGCTGTCTTGGATCAGCCACTTGTAGATGGCCTTGGTGGGATGCGTCATGAAGACACGGCCACGGAAATTCGTCTTGGCTAAGACGTAGGGCAGTGAGGCCGCATGGTCGATATGGAAACTGCCCCCGTCAGTCAGGATCGTCTTGAGGAGGGACGGAGATGATATATGGATTCAACGAGTGCTTCACATAGGGGCATGCAGCGGCGCGCGGCGGGCAGGCGGAGAGCAACGGTGGGCAAGGGCGACATGATATTGTATTTTGATATCTCTGAATACACACATGAAGGCATGGATGATACATGCTGCGGAGCGGCAAAGAAGCCTCGGGGCCTCTACGGCAGCCGCGGCGACTCGATAGTCCAACCTCTAGGTGAACCCGCCTCTCCCCGTGGCCGTTGCCCAAAGCCAAACGCCGCAAGACTCGTGCTAGTAGACATGGGAAGTCATACAAAATACTTACTGGCTGATGAGGAGCACGTCTACGGTGCTGAGGTCAAAGTCGTCAAAAAATGGGAGCGCCGCCAGACCATCGTAGGCAGGATGTTGGCCAGCATCGAGCTATGGAAGGGGACTTCATGTTAGCGGAACGAGACCAGCTGCTGTTTCTGAGATCATGGAGTGACAACAGGACCACGCACCATGACTGTCTTCCCTTTGTACTGGATGATATGGCAGGATCGGCCGACCTCGTTGCCGCCACCTAAACAGAGGAACATAAGCTCATCGGCAGGATCAACGGGCTCCTCCGGTGCGGCCGATGCCATAGCCGATGCCTTCCGTTTAGAAGCCATGGTGTGTGATGAAATGCCGGGGAAGGCGGGTTAGTTTGAGGATTAGATATCTAGTGGCGATCTGTGTTGGCCCAGTACACGGGCTCGACGGATCCGGTTAATCGATCAAACGGTCAATCAGCCAAGAAAGCGATCGCGTTTCTTTCATGCGACTTAGTGCCAGCGATGCAATGTTGGATGCTGCAACTTTCCAATAATTATTTTTTTTCCGGATGAATAGTGGAAATCGCAGTTCGAAACGCCGAAATTCAGATATCCACAATGGCAGAAATAGCGGTTGGTTCTGCCATTCAGTGAGCCTATTGAGAGTGGGAATCGATCAGAACAATAGGAAGGGAGAGTGATGCGGCAGGTTTGAGTCGAGGTCAAAAAGGCTGGCCGTTGCAACCCTGCGGCTCTTTCCCATTCCACAAACATGTTTGAAAGCCAAGACCAACAAAAGCCCCACCAGCAACTGACCAAACCCAGCAACAGAATAGCCTAGCCTTTCCACGTGACCAATCCGGACGCGACAGACTCGGCGTCGAGGCAGCTGTTTCTGATTTTGAACCCGACCGCAGCAAGAGCGATAGGCCCCGTTTCCGTCGCGCCTGCGCTCACAACTCCATCGATTCCACCGAGTCCGCAACCATCGCGTGACCAGAAATTCTACAACAATACCGTCGATTTGATTTGCGCCGATCAGCGAAGGGAAACCACCGGATGGGCTGAGCGGAGGGAACTTTGGCCGGCGAACGCAGGGTGTGCCCGCCTGGGTTAACTGACGGTTTTGGAGGCGGCCCGGTGACCGTTGGACCTTTCTAACGTTTAGAATCAAAATCTCGACTACTTCACCCGAGTTCGCCTTTTTTACATCACTCTCCGCAACCGAAATCATCGGCGTGTGCCTCGTTCCCCGTTCCTCCACCTACAAACCGACCGACATCGCCTTCTCTACCAACCTTTGCTTCCGCCATCTCACCTGCCCATAAAATAATAAAACGGCGAAATCCGATCGCGTATTGCCCACCATGGCACAACCACAATCGCAAGCGCCCCAGGCGCCACCCCACCAAGTTCCTCATTTACAACAAATGCAACAGATGCAGCAGATGCAGCAAATGCAGATGCCTCAAATGCAGCAGCGACCGTCCTACTCGCCGCCGCATCACTCGCCATCGCCCGCCGCAGCGCCTCAACCTCAGCCGGGTTACGCGATGCCTCCGAACAAGCGACCGCGCACTTCGCCGACTTCCCCTCCACCTCTTCAATCGCCATACGGCGCGACACCCTATGCCGCGAGCCCACAGATGCCCGCCGCATCCCCGACACCCGTCGCCTCGCCGGGCTACTCTAATCTTGCCGCGCCCGCAGCGACTCAGCAGTACAACAATGCCCCGTACTCGAATGGCAACGCTACGCAGGCACCCGCGCAGACACCGGTCCTATCGCTCCCGGAGACTCGGCCTTCGTACCCCACGTCGCCGGCGCCCCCGGGACCTGCGGCCGCACCGACCCCTCCTGGTTCTCAGCAGTACACGACCGCGACCATGGCGCCAATTGTGCCGCCGTCTCTCCCCACCCCCGGCACAATGGGGCCTCCGTCAAAACCCCCTGCTAAGGAAATAGAGTACGATGTGGCCGACTCGCTCGCCGGGACTGGCATCGATCTCCGCGCCGAAGAGCAATACCTAGCCGAGTTTTACGCCGGCACGTTCACCCAAGACGCGAGAACTGGCGCGCCCGCCAACGCTCCCGGGAATAAGGGCTCTTTCTACGGAGCGGGATTGGCGAATCAGCCCGGCGAAGCCGTCGCTACTCTCAGCCAGGAGGCTTATGAGGCCGAGGTGGCTCAGAAAGTTTGGGACGACGCAGCTCACAGGCTTGCTGCCCTGCGCACCGCTGAGATCATGAACCCTTTCCTCATGATCGCTAATCTGCACCACCGCGTCGAGAGGATTGCCAAAGAGCATGGGCTGGGCGTGAACCTCGACCTAAAGAACGCAAACCCTGCCGGCAAGCTCAGGCCTCCACAGGAGTTCCCCCCTCCCAAGGTTACCGTGAGCACGAAGCTCGGCCCCAACGGCGCGATGGTGGCAACCACGGGCTCGTTCATCCCCCACGACGCCTACCTCGTTGATCAGCTGGCGCTTTTGTCCGTCGCCACCAAGCATCGCGTGAGAGAGCTGATCGAGGATGCCGACACCGTCGCCATTCATCGCCAAACTACGTCCCATGGAGAGATACCCGCCGAATGGGCCGACGTCGCAGTGCCCCTCCGGACCGGACTAGATTCTCTTCCCGATGGCCCCGAAGGCGCTGCAGCCTTGAATCCACGAAAACGTACGGTCCAATTGTCTTGTTTTGTCTGTGCTCTTGTTAACGTGCTGTCATAGGTTCCTTTGACGCATATGCGTCCCATGGCTCGGCGTCGCATAAGGGTGCTAAGCATGGCCCAAGGAACCTCATGGAGGCTGTTCGTGACGGCGCAAAGACCGACCGCGATGCGGAAGAAGCAAGACTCCAGAAGCGTCAGAAGCGGCTCAATCCCGAGTCCGCACCTGCCGGATCTCGGGCCGGCTCTACGGCTCCCGGCACGCCCGGCGCTGGAGCGGCGCCCGAGGCCGATTCTGTGGCCAAGGCACCGTCTAAGAAGGAAATCAAGAAGGGCATGGCCGCCGCTAGATTGGCCGAGGCCTCTAGCACAGCCAGTACCAACCAGACCCTCAGCACTCTCATGGGCGGTTTCGGTCGGAAGAAGAAGGAGTACTCCTGGATGAAGAAGTCGGGCAGTGGCGCCAACACTCCGAGAGCCAGTGCGGGCGAGGCCAGCTCAGCTGCTGCAGGCGATGCCGCAAAGGCACCAGAGAAGACAACCCTCACATCCGACCCGAGATACCCCCGGCTCGGCACATGGCGCGAGGACAAAGAGAAGGGGAAGAACATACAGTTGAGGGACTGGGTCACAGCACTCGAGCTCGACGGCATCGAGGCCAAGGCAATACAAGAGGCGTACCTGAAACTGGACGCTTCAGGTCCAAGGGACAGGAGCTAGAACCCCCTCTTGTCCGTACCACGCGCCTTGGCCCAACTTCGGAACGCGTCAACACCGCGAACCGAGTTTTGCACATCACCCCCGGCACTCAACCCCTTTCTTGAATTGCCAATCCAAAAGAACGCAAACTTTCTCGTTCGCGTGTGACATGGGGGACGAACGATAGTTTTTTTGTCGGCATGTTGTCCTCAGCCACGCAACAACGAGAGACAGCCGAGTCTTCCATCTGCGGGATGAGACACGGCATGAAGAAAAAGAAAAGAGGTTGTCCTCTATCATGGGACACGGATAATGAATACAATTGGCGCGCTCCCGTCCCGGAATGCGACACGTGGGACGCCCACAGGCAGAAAATGCCGCTTTTTGAGAAAGGCTCGACCGGGAGGCTTGGGGACTGGGCATCGATGGCCCTCCGCTTTTGTTCTTTTCGATCCTGTTTTAATTTGAGTATTTACTCCCTTTTTTGATCTTTCATCAGCCAGGCGTTATGACACTGGGTTTTGAGGGGGTTTGGCACCCGGAAATGAAGGGCAAGGGAGGGGATAAGAGGCTTTTTACCATACATGGGAGGTTGCAATTGACATTTGCCTCGATTCCCCTGGTTCCCGATGAGATAACACCACGCCAGTCCCATATGCCCCGTCCCGCCATCTAGTTACTGGTGGTAGGCGTTACTTTCACGTTGCGCGCATATTTCGGGATGGTGGTTAGGGAGAGCGAGAATAAAATTTTGTTTGAGGCATCTTTTATAACTGGGCTCGTGCATTGTGAAGTGTCACATTGAAGTTGATGGGGGTTGTTATTAATCATTTTCTTCTGTCTTTGCTGGACTCGAGCTTCTGCGTCTTTGTATGAGGAATATCAACTCGAGGAACGTCGCAGCAGCATGTAAAATGATATGATGACGGCCTCCTACTTCTTATGAGACAACATCTTGTTAAGTACCTCCCCATCGACAACGCCATGGCGGAGGAAACATAACCGCACGCCGAGCTACCTGCAGGCTTTAAGCCTTCTATATAGTATTTAACATTCGACAACTCGCAAGCAGGTTTCCGCACTCGACACAGAGTCAGCAGCCCAAGATTAGTCAGCCACCGCCTTCATCGCCACAACTCTTGGAGAATGTAAATAAACAACAGGTCTTATCTCTCGCTCGCAACATCACAACCTAACCTATCACACAACCACTTCAGTGCTATCCAGCCTCATCCACCTTTACCTCGAATTCTTTCCACGCAGAGTAGACACAACGATACCTAAAATCCTTGTAATCAACGCCTAAACCTCAGGTTTTATCCTATCAACATGAAGAACAGGGCAGCTGGAAGGCGAGGCTACTACTAATTTTCTCCTGCCGCTGTTTTTGCCTGGAGGAACTCCAGGTTCCTTTTCCTTACGTCAAAAATGCCATGGCCTGCTCTAAGCACGAACCAGTTTTTTCTCCATAAAAAAAAACCCAAAAAACCCTACAAAACGGTGTCATTTCTAACCTGTACTGTCGACTTCTCACTATAGAATTTTGGCTTTTTTCTCCTTTTCGACTTCTCTCGATAGCATCTCGAAGTCTGGCGTCATCTGCATTTTGCTTCCTCGAATTGGCATCTCGCAGTTGTTCTTGGCGGTGGTGGTGCACGGACCGTTGTGCTTTGAACTGGCCCAATCAAATTGCCGGAAAAAAGCCGCTTACCCGCATTTTGGCATCAGGGCCCGTGTGACTCGCTGCTTCGCTCGTGCCTTTGCGTGCCTCCGTCGCGCAATCCTCGACAATCACGAACCAAGAAATCAAATTTCTGTCAAAAAGTGGCGAAAATGAGGTGTTCAGGGTCGACACCTATTATGGGTTGACTATTACTACTAGAGCGACGCAACCGCTTCTTCGTCAGCTGCTTCAGTGGCCTGCACTGATTCGGCCATGGCGTCCCATTCCTGAAACCACGGCTCGTGCCTGTGGTCTTGCTCGAACCGCCGTCTGGTCTTCTCACCCTGTCGTTCCAGCTTGAGGATGGCGTCCCTCATGTCTTTATCAAGCACGTTCTTCGGCTCGATGAAGTCACTGCTTGCCGGCTTCCGAAACAGATGCAGCCCGTCCCAGCTCTGCGCCCTCGACAGCTGCACGTACAGGCTCATGAAGCTGGGCCGCGTCGCCGTGCCACTCGAGTGGACGCCTTTGAGGTTGACGAGCACATCCGAGAACTGTTTGCCTTGGCTCTTCTGATCTGTCATGGCGAAGGCCGGCGTGCAGAGAGGCCCGGTTCTGTGGGTAACCCACCTGAAACCCGGCTTGCCCCTCCATCTGCCTTCTTTGCCCCGCATTTGGCTCGGGATGGCGACCGTCTTGCTCTTGACTAAGATGGTGCCGTTGGGGAGCCCGGGGATGAGGTCCGCGCTATCGTCCGAGTGGAGGAGGACGGCCACCGGCGGTCCGAGATGGAGAGTCACGTCACTAGTAAGGGCGATGGTGCCAAACGCGAGGTCGGGGAAGATGTCGACGGCCATGAAAGGTGCTCCGTTGACGACCTTCAGCCCGACAAACTGGTTGCGAGTCACCGCGACCGGCATGCCTTGGGCGTAAAAGAAGAGGCCAGGGGTCGGCAGCTGTGAGTCGTCTCCGTGGCGGAGTACGTCCCCCAGCTCTTCGACGCGCAGCCGCTTCCCCGATTCGGTGTCATGCTTAGCCACAAAGATGGAGATGTGTTTGCCGTGGGCACGAGCCCACTGGATGACGGCGGCCATGTTCAGGTCCCACCGGTCTTGGTTCAAGGGCGTGATGGCTCTCAGTCCATCTACGAAGGAGGACTTGCACGACGGTGTATAGAGGCGTTGGCTCAGCCGCTGGAAGTCCTGCTCGGTCTGCTCGCCATTGCGCAGGCGCCGAAGGAAGCCCCGCAGCCTTGGACAGCCGGCCGCGCGGACCTGTTCGCGGAGGATGACAACGGTGGTGAACTGGAGGAACAGCTTATGCGCAGCTAGGTGCCTTGCAGCGCTCTCTGGTCTCTGTCCGCTGCGGTCCCTAGGCGTTGGCAAGAGGAGGCTGGTCTGCAGGACGGGGTCGAACTGGAAGAAGTCACCAAAGAACATGACCGTTGGGATCCCGCCGAACGGTCGATGCTGGTCGTCCCTGTACTGCCGCAGACGGCTGTCTACCGCCGCGAGCGTGAGTCCGCCCACCTGGCTGATCTCGTCGACGATCAACATGACCATATTTTTCCAACGCAGCTTTTCTTCTTCCGATATGTTCCTTGCAACCTCGTTCTTGCCCTCGAATCCAATGTTGGTCGCCGAGTGCAGCGTCACCCCGCCGATCAGCGCGGCCGCGTTGCCGCTGGCGCCCGTCAGGAGCAGTGTATGGAGACCGTCCTTCAGCCGGAACATGTCGTGGATTGCGTGGATGACGCGAGATTTCCCCGTGCCGCCCTCGCCGCCAACGTACTGGAAGTGCTGCCAGCCCCCCTCTTCCTGCAGCCGCGTGCCGCGGTCGTCAAGGAACGCTGCTGGTATTAATACCGCCAGCGACTGGAGCTTGTTTAGGGTCCAGTGCCTCGTAAGCCCAAAGGCGACATCGACGTACGTCGCATAACCGCCGAACTCGAGCTGCATCTGTCCGCCCAGACCGACTTCATCCGCTGACCCTCCGTCTCTGTGAATGTGCCGTTGTGGGCTCCCATGAGGCCCATCGTCATGCGCAGAAGACAGATTCGCTTGCCTGCCCTGGATAGTTGCCGTCACGCTGCTGTCCTTCGTCTTTCCCGTTGAATAACAACCGTGGAAGTCGTTAGCCGGCTGGATGCGAACAGCTGTCAACCCATTTCCAAGAGGATCCTGGATCACATGCAGCGGTCGCCTTCTGGGAGTTCTCGATCGAAACCTCATCTAAGGCCCTCAGCTCGTCGACACAAGCGTTCGCATCCCAGTAGTTCTTCCAGACGACTGGGAGTCTATTCGACAAAGCAGTTTAACCGCTCACAACACGACATCCATACGACCTAGCACAGTGCCTACAACACCACGCTCAACCGGTCCACGAGGAATCACAAGCTGGAACCCATTTTCCTCACCCGTTGGCGGCCAAAACTCATTGGCAAATAAAGAAAAAGAACCGGCACAGCCCCGGAAGCATCCGGATCATGAGGCAACCGAGCCACCGGCCACCCTTGAAGCACCGCCGAACTCGACCACAACCCACGCCGAGCCAGTGCTTACAATTTCAAGCCCAGGTATGACTTCCTTCGAGCTGGCTAACTGGGCTAACCACCAACAAGATACCGACCACACCGACGACGGTTCAAACGCAGAGCAGTTGTTGGAAGATCAACTCGCTCCGGTGGACACCACTCCAACAAGAAAGAGAAAGAAGCAAACTTCTCCGGAGCCGATCCGAAGCAAAAGGTCTACAGCGGGAAAGAAGAGGGCGCGACTGGACGATTAGACGCTAGTCTGACTGGAGAAACCACCTTTCCTTACTTTCCCAGCATTCGTCAATAACCATCATGAAATGGAGAAAAAAAACAATTACATCGTTGACTCCGCTATGGGGCCTACCTGCAGCCGGCAAGTTCCTCCAGGCTCCTTTGGCGTGCCCGCGCGCAGCGGGCACGATCACTCCTGTTCAATAGGGAAACGGAGCTGAAGAGGCATCCAATCAGGAACCAGCGTCAGTGGTTTAGTGGTAAAATCCATCGTTGCCATCGATGGGCCCCGCGTTCGATTCGCGGCTGACGCAATTCTTTTGCTTTTGGCTCATTGTCGCTTTTGTTTTCGATGTTCTCAAGTTTGTTTGTTTGCGAGGAGGTGTTGAATGTTGGATTAATGGATGTGAAAGGAGGTGTATCAGAATCGAGGTTGGTTGAGGTGTGGTAGGTGGTCTAGTTAGCTTACCTGCATGGTTGGCAGGGAGGGTTGTCTATTTAGACTTTGGGCTCGGGAGATGGGAGAGGCTCGTACGAAGCAGAAGATGTTGATAGAGATGTTCTAGTGTTTCGTAGCGTCAAGACGATTTCTCATTAGTATGGCTAATCGAAATGTGGATTTCGATTCTCCCATGGCGTGACTCCTGATGTTTACAATGCACGAAGGTGTCACTGACAGAAATCCTGCAAGCCACTCGGCCTCGGAGTTCCATTCCTCCATGGAAACCGAACCCAGGAACTTCTGCTACTTGGGTCAGTCCATATCTGGCACCCGGTGGTTCCGAGAAGCCGGACCTGGCAGCAGCAAAGGTTTTCCCAAACCGTCACGACAAACAGCTATGACCTTCACCTCGGCCCATCCGCCCGGCAGCCGAGCACATACAATACAAGCAAGTGGTGTCATTCGCAGTCTGATCCCCCTCCGCCCCAGCAGTAGTGCCGTGCACACAGCACACAACCAGCAAACACGACCCTCTCGGAAAGCCCCCCGATTGCTCGTTCGGGCCGAGAAAAATCAACCGGCACATCGCAAATCACACGGCGGTTTTTTTTTTCTCACCGGTGCAGAATATTCACTCATCACCAAACACACAGACCCATCCATACACGGATCTCGTACCCAGGGCGAGGGCTCCGAGGGTGTTCAGCTGACCCGGCCGCACCGCACGGCCTTGACTATCGAGATGGGAAAATGCGCCGGTCAAGCTCGTTCGCCCAATGGGCGGTAATTAGTTCGCATGGCAGCCCACTCTTGGGAAGAAGAAGCCCGAGCGCCGCAGTAAAAATTTTCGTGCACTCGGATCAGCCATGTGGTTGACGCTATGGTTGGCGGAAACTCCCCAACGACACGACGGGGGGATGGGATTTTGGAAGGATGAACTGACAGCCAGGGGTTATGACTCGTTTCGGGCTACCGAGCGGACCGGGACAGGGCCTCGGCAATCGTCGTTGGTTTGTTGTTTGTTGGGCTCAACGGTGATCAGATAGTTATTCGTTTCGTACCCGCCCCAGCCGTCCGTCTTGGGCTTGCGGGGAGTGCGGGCTATTGGTAGCCCTGGCAACCCCCATGTCAACGGATACGTGCATCGTAGTTCTGTTACAAAAGCTAAAGAATATGAGCGTTTGCGCCTCGACCTTCTAAGGGGGTTTCCAAAAGCCCGAGGATACCAGGAGGGTTACCCTGCCGCCCGAATGGCAAGGCCGTGCGTGCTGGCGAGGTGATAAATGACGGAGAGAAAACAGAGGGAAAAAAGGAGGAAACAAAACGATTGCCAAAGCCAAAACACAGGGGTTATGGATAGATCTGCTGGGCTATCAGTTTTCCCCTGTTTTCCGCCGCCTTCCCGCCGAGGGCAACGACAAACTAACGGGCAAATTAGTGACATTAGGCGACCGGCAAGGCTGCCCGAGGAGATGATGAAGGGGATAATAAAACGTGGCCGGCGACCACGGCCCTTGGCACGGCAGCTGCTTTGGGCCTGAATCAGCCGAACCCCAGGTTTCCCGAGTATTCGGGCCTTTGGGCGGCCGGGAACGTATGGACGCTAGTTAGGAGGCGAGCTACACTAGTTAACGTCAACTAGTTAACGGAGGACGGTGAATGCTGCTGGACGCTCGGGAATGAAACGCGTCATGGGGGTGTCAATTTGTTGGGCTGGTAGGGTATGTAACCCGCCGAGCCGGGTGCTCGTTTCTCGCGTGTCATGGGCCAGCCGGCCCAGCAAAGAAAACATCCTTGGCGAAGTCGGGGAAAAAAAAGCAGAAAAGTTTAATGAACGAGCGACGAACGCAATGCTCGGCAGAATGTTCATGTGGGTTGACATGGTTGACAACTGAAAGCGGAATCCTTCCCCGGTCCCACGCGGCGCCGTTCGACGGTTGGGAACGTTCAGGATGCGACGTCAGGGGGTTGGTGGATTCGGTGAAGCAAGGTGAGGTCACAGTGCTTTGTTCATCAGAGGTTGCGTTTGGAAACTGTGACCGAATCATGATGGCTGGCTGGGCTGCTGGGGGACCCGACCGGTGAGGTGAGCCATGTGTGGCACAATCCCTGGGCCATCCTTCCACACCACGCAGGGGCGACAGGCTTCCAGAAATGTTCTCTGCGTTGCGCCGCACGGAGTACCTGCAGCGATTGGTACCCGTGGCAGCCCCTGTCAGTTCATCTCGTCCGGGCCGTGCGTGCCTGCGCTAGCGTGAACGGTGGGCAATGCGTCCAGCCGGAAGCTTCCCGTCACGCTCACTTGGGAATTTGCAAAACGCGCAGCAAGCTCTTTCTCTCGGGGCTCCGCAGTGGATTGGAGCAGTGCTGCAACGCCGCAGCGCCCGGGCCAGTTTCATCGATCCATGCAACACCACCCAGGCTCCCAAGGACGCTCCCACATCCCCTCAGGGCCGAAGCCACGTTGCAGACATGCCCCGGGACGGCGCCCCTAGTGGAGTTTTGGTCGCCGAGGGTTTGGGAGCGAGCTCCAATGAGCCTAGTCGCATCGCCGCGTGATGTTCCGTTGGGTTTTCTGGAAATTTGGATCTGAGTTTACCGAAGCGAAGCGGTGGGGTCCTGCTCATTACCCGGCTTCCGTTTCAAGTAAGGAACGAGAAACTCGTAACGGCCGTTAGCTCTGACGGATGACCGTGTCCCTGAAGGGGGTTTTGTTGATGGTAATGCGTGATAATTAGCATTGGGGGAACAGCCCTGCTCTTTGTTCGTCCATCCTTGCCTAAATTGGCAACAAAACTGATTGCCGGCATGCACGATCTGAGACGACAAGTTGGGGCCGCGATCGATCCATCGTTTTTTTGTCGCTGTCATATCTGACGGCGGCGATATCAGAGACATGGCTTGCCAAGCTCGGAAGCATCTTGCCGTTTTCGGGCTCGTCTTGCTGTTTGCTGAATCCGAAGCGCCTCTTGTGTGCGTGGCACGTTCCGGCCGCGAAGCCCAACACGCAGGCAGAGAAGAACAGCCTTGTGAGTGGCCGTTGGGCGAGAGACATCGAGCTGTCGGGCGACCGATTATTCGCAGATGCAACCGCTAACCGACTCGTCACATGATGTGATTCGAATGCGCCAGGGAAGCCTCACTGCACCTGCACGGTGACGACGGCCGTTTGTCAGTGGTTGGCAGTGGATCAATAAGAAGATCTCCCCAAGCGCCCGCCTCGCCTTCGCAACCTAGTCGGCTGGATCCGCACAGGGTGCCGGGCCGGCCTTGGGTTTCAGGGGAGCTGTTCGAGTTTTGCATCCAATGTCCTTACATGCCTGGACTGTACTGCCCCTGAGATTCAACAGACCGCAGCCAGCCCAACTCCCATTGGAGCTTGTCGCCACGATTTGCGCTTTTGGAAAAGAATAAGCAAGCTCTCAGCCTGCAGCGGTGTACTGGAACGTGAAAGGGGGACCAGAGTCGGGATCGGGTTGAGCTTCTGTTCCTGAGGTTCGGCTGCCGGTTGGGCCCCGAAGGGCTTTCGATTGGTACATGGTTCGTACGCATACGTAATGCAGATACTTCGTACGACTTTCTTTATTTCACCGGGCGATGTCGCGGCTCCGCCTGCAAGGTACGGCGTACCGTGCTCCGTCAGGCGACGGCCGAAAGACACATCGTTACCTGGAGTTCTGGACAAGCCGTTTCCGCCGAACAGGGAGTCACGAAGTGCCCTGAGCCCGTGATTCGAGATTAGCTAGCTGTGCCACGTCCTCCCTCGCCAAAACCTGCACGCGTGCCTCAACTCACCTTTTCGCTTCTTCTCTCAGCGGTGCATAACGCTTCAGAGTGGCACGATGGCACGTGGGGCATTACCAGGCCCGGAAGGTTGACCCGTGGGGCTTATGTCCAAGCACGTTTTCATGTGCCATTGCCCTTTAATTTACCACGCCGGCCGGGCTGCGAGGCAGTTCACTGGGCTGAGCTAGAGGCCTCGCGTGGATGGGAAGCGTGCCAGAAAACGATGCCATTGGGTTTATCGGTCGCCGCGTCATCCTCTGCCGTGCGCCGGGTGACAGTGAAGGGTCGTTGAGTTGAGGAACCGAGTCTCGAAGGCGATACTGCCTTCTTGTGTGGGTCGGATGAGTACCCGCTGCATGGCATAGCTAGAGGTGTCAGCTCTGCATCGGAAAGAATGCGGATGGCCCGACCGAGGGAACCGAGTCCAACGTTTCTCAGCAACATTGCACTGCAGCAGCTATTTCGAGACGCCCGACCAAACTTGTTCCATTGTCGCAAATACGGCGCCTTGCGACACGACACGAGAGGTTGACTACAGTAGAGATTGTCTGCATCTTAATGTGTCACTGTCGAGTTGTTCCAGGTTACCGCCCCTTCTCCTCGTGTGTGCTCGTTGATTGCATGCGGGGATGGGTGGCTAGGTGGTCCACTTCGGCTTTCCGATCACCTTGGGTTCTCCTGGATCGGTCAGGTTAGCCGGCTTCTGGAAGTTTTCTCCCGCTGCGGAGCGCGCCACTGGGGAGAGGGGGATCCTCCTTGGACGGAATAGGCTCCGTCTGCGCTTCAACTCGCCCCCGTCGACGCCTCCAGGCTTTAGTCAGATGAGTCCCACCAAAAGATTAACTATGCAAATTTAGCATGGGGATTTGTTTTGCGGTGCGAGGCCAGGTACGGATAGCTAGGCCCCTCCCTTTTTTTTTTTTCTTTTGTTTTCCGAAAGACGGAGGAGGGACGGTGTTGGCCCGTCCGCAATCCGGCATCAACCGCCTTTGCAACCGCGGATACCGACAGTCTGGGAAAGACGGGGAGGTCAAAGGAATTGCCGAGACTGAGGTTGAGGAGGAGCGCGTTTGCCGCAAGTCCCGCGGTCGACAGTCGCTGTCTCGGGCACGTGTTTACCTTTATAATATCGATAACTTCGGGTCCGTTCAGGAGCATGCCTGTTGCACAGCCCAAGTTCGGCCCAACGGCGGCGATGACCTCGTGAGACTTGGCGGTTGCGATCAACTCGGCCGGGGTGACTCAAAAAGCCCGGAGGACTCGCAGATACCCGGGCAAGAACCGGTCGGACAAACTTTCAGCTCGCCTCGTTTTCGTCGTGTGGATGTATGCGTACGGCCTCAACGCTCAAGCCCCGGCGAGAGAGAGTTCGCATGTGCTGAGAGGGAAGGCCTGGAAGACCTGTCGTGTACGGGCGCGACCCAGACGACTGCGTGCGTAGAGCCCGTAACACTATCGCCTGAAACACTACGCGGGGACCCCAATCGAAATGCCATTTTCGTGTGTCAATGTTGCTTCAATGGCCCGCTTGTTCGAGTTCTCTTTCGTCGGTCTGGGCCCTCAGCCGAGTTGCAGTGGGTTTCTGAGACGCGCAGGTATGCATCCCAATCGCCGCTTCTACCACCCTACATGCAAACGTGGGATATTGGGCATCATCGCATCGGCCTTGTCATGTAGCGTGCTTCTTTAGCATGCCTCCAGCCTCTTCACCTTGGCTGGACGGCGCCAGCAAATCGGTCGCATGCGGGGGCGGTTTAATCTGATTTGGCTCACCGCCGCCTTGCCGACGGCGATGTTGGCATCCGGCCTGGGCATCGGATGTCTGCCCCCACACCTCGGCCGCTGCCGCAAAAGCAGGTTTTCACTGTAACTGCCCAGCACATGGTAAAGTGTGTATTTGCATGACCACGAGCCTGATTCCGGGTCGAGTCCCGTTGCCGCCGCCCGACACATTCCTCGGGTTGCTAAACGTCGTGGAAAACGGACCATTAACTGTTAGCTGGCAGAGTTAAGACAATCCGGCCTCCGACGCATGTGACGTCTCGGTCGGGAACCAACCATTGTCTTTTTGTTTGGGCCTTTGGGTACTTGTTGAGACAACCCAGAGTCCAGTTGTACCATTCTTTCCGTTCGGTCCGCCCCGCACCGGCCATGGCCGGTGTTACTCGGAGCTCTGGGCAAGCCAATTGAGTGTTTCTGCTCAGAGGACTGCGGCTTTGACCTGGTGCTGTAGATCACGGCCTCGGTTGGATCATTAACTTTTGACTTTCCGGACGGGCATGTGTTGGGTTTAACTCTACGGATCCGGTCGAGGTTGTAAACCCGGGCATGTTTCAACATGTCGCGGGCGACGGCTTTCTCATATCCGCCAACAAGACGGCAGATGCATTCGATGAGGTGCCTATCACTGGCTGTGCACGATGCTATAGGGCAGAGTTGCCCCAGGAACGGACTAGTGGTCAGATCCGAGAGGCGATGCATGCAACATGGTGTCGGACGCCAGGAGGTTCGCGGCTGCGGGGCATGCAGACCGATGTTGACGATGTTTGGGTGGAGCCCGCTTGTTAGTTTGCCAACAATGCTAAGTGATGCATGGCCGTGCCGACTCTGATTTTCTGGCCCGAATCGAGGAAGGCCGTTCGAGTTGGGTAGATAACCTCGGTGCTCCCTCACTTGCGGGCGGAAACCCGAAGAGGCACCGACGACCCGGGGTCCATGTGGCTGACTGGCTTCCGTCGATGTTTGCGTACATGTACTTCGGAGCTACCGATCCGGAGGCCGGGCCAAGCCTCAGTGAGCCCCAACCGTGCGCGGCGGACAACAGAAGACGTGGACTCCAGTTAGCCAACACTGAGGCGGATGGGCGATTTTGCTATCAGGCGGGGCCCTAAGAATAGGAATACATTTGATGCAGTGCCACGACAGTCCTCAGAGGGATCCCTCTCATGTCGCACACAGATGCATGGATGGATCTTCCGGGCGATGCGCTCGGTGCGAGTGTATGTGTGGGACGGGGGGTGTCTCGAGTGGTTACGTCGTCGCACTTCCCGGTGTTTCGATGTCCGGAGCTGGCAGCACACCCGGCTTGGCCTTCCGAGGTCATGGCTCGTCGATCCGGCCGTGCAGAGGTGTCGTGATGTCTGGCGGATGCAGGACCAAAGGTTGCGGTGCCAGTTGGGCACCCAAATCACGGGAAGAGTCAGGAAAACGGACAGACGAGCTCCTTTTACACACCTACATGCCTGCAGTGGGATTCGGAACTGGGGGTGGAGTCGGATGCGAGTTATCTGTGACGCATGGGGGGGAAGCGAAGCCGTAAATGTGCGCCGGAACCTTCTTGTGTTTGCCCAAACCAAATTCAGAACCTTGGGGGGGGGGGGGGGGGGGGGGGGGGGGGGAAAATCGGAAAAATTCCCGGTTGAAATTTTTGGACCCCCCAAAAGTTAAAAGGTTTGTAAACCCCCCCCCCCTTTGGGGAACAAATTACTGAAACCCAAGTTTAGATAATATTCTGGGGACCCGAAAGTGTGTATGGCTGGGCGATGACGCTCGGGGGCCTTGTAATTTTTTTTATTTCATTTTTTAAGGTTAGGGTTACCACTCTCAACAATGCTGACGGATTGGGGGAATTGCGGCTCGTGTGTGGCCTATCTTAGACTTCGCATTGGTGATGCTTTCCGTTTTTATCGAACATGCCCTGCAGCTGCTTCCATTTTAGAGGTGTTTGGGGGCTGCCTGCCCTACACGTGTTTTTGCCAGTGGTGCCTGGTACTGCCTGTGCTGGGTCCCTTCCTCTTCCCTTCCCAGGTAGGTAGGTAGGTTCCTTCCGTACCAATTCCTCAGCACCTCGGTAGACGGAATAATGGAGGGTTGTGATTTACGCCTGTTCCCCGTCCCGTCCGCCCGCCCCATCTCCTTCATTAATCGCGCTGATCTGTTGCGAAAAATTTCTGTCTACCGCACGGGCGATATTGCGTCCACGGTCGGCTGTTCCGAAAAGAGAATCCGGGTCCCAGCGGCTTGGTTTTCACGTTGACACATGGACCCACTCCTGGGCACTCTCAACTGGGAAATCATTTTGGGACACCGGCACCCATTGCGAAAGGGATGCAAAGCTGGTACGATAGGGTTGGCCGAGCACCGAGCAGCAACGAGCAACCAATACCGTGCAGACGTGTTACCTGTCGGGTCCCGAGTTATGGTCGTCGCATCACAGAGAGCCCAAAGTTATCACAGAGCGTGGCTTTGACGCTCTGCCTGGCAGGTATTACCGTCTCATCGACACAGTGTGTATGCGTTAGATGCCTTGCTCACATCATCCGGCCTTCACCAAGGTCCAAGTCCTGTGCAAAGCTGAAGCTGAAGCGCACGCAGGTACCCAGAAACCCCGTCCAAAGCTCCGTTGTGGGACAAGCAGGCGGCCCATGCCCCGGTCAATCCGCCGAAGGCGTTCATCACCCTGCCTTGAAATGGAATCGCTCTGGTGGAACTCGACCAAACTGTGAGAGGAGCTGAGGAGGGCAGTTTGCTGCCCGTCCGGGCTTGGGCAAACGGTACCACCCCATGCCGCCAAGACGCATAACGGAGAGGTCTCCAGGGGTAAAGTACATTGCGGCTAGGTACCGTACCTGAGGACTCGACGCCAACACCAGGGTCCGGGGTGCAGGAGCAGGGGCAGGGTAAGAAAAAAGATCTCTGCCATTTCGTTTCCCTGGTCTCGCAGCAATCCCATCCCTTTATTATAAGCCCGACGGCTCCCCTTCCCCATCTTGTCCTTTTCCTTGGTTTCCCATCACAGCTCTTTCACCCTCTTCACCGGGTTCTTCCTCCCAGGCCTCTCTCCTAACAGTCTTTGGCATAATAGCCTCCTCGATCTAGCCTCTTGTGACGCTGTTCGACTCCTAGCACTGGACCTGAAACTACACACAGGACCAACACCCACGCTATAATTTCCGACCTTGAGAAGAATAGGCCCGAAGGTACATCAGACGCCTACACCCAGCGCCAGACTCTTTTACCTTCTGTCACATCGGCTGCGCCTCATTCCGCGGACCCCCAACTGTTGCAAGAATAATCCGTACGAGCGTCCATCACGGGATCCAAAACCCGGCTTGGTCACCCTCGGTATCGCCTTCAGCTCGATCCACAGCACTGTCAAAGTCGCGCTTATCGGGCCCTGCATACGATTTGGCAGCGCTATCCGCTCCCTTGCATCATCGCCTCGGCGTTTCACCAATCCCACATTTGTTCCGTCTCTACTTGTCGCCGGACGAGGTTCCTCGAAATGTGAGTCACGGTCGCGACCTGCTTAGCTGAGAAGTAATTTCGGCTTGATTACCGGTTCCCTTGGGTCCGGGAGATCACCGATTTGGCGCTTGTGCTATTGCATCCACATACTTATATATTAGCGTTGGGACTCGGTCGCTAACATGCATCCCTTTTGTCTTTAGCTCCATCACGCGAACATCCGTCACATCAGCCACCATGATTGTCACATCTACAGAACAATTCTTCAACTTTGGGCGGGGGGCGTACGACACAACCGGGGTCCCTAAGCCGCCGCCGCCCAAGCCTCGGTAAAACGTCTCGTCGAGTGCACCGCACTTCGCTTGATTTGCGCCGATGCGGATCATCGGCGCAAATAGACCAATCTCAGTGCGGACAGCAACACCAACACGACGCCCAGCCTGGCCGACTGATGGTCGACAACAAGCATCTCCTTTCAACCTCTTACGATACTCTGTTTTAATCACGGCTACAACACTGCGCCCCGATGGCGCGGATCCTCCGCATTCCGATACAACATTTTAATCACCATTCCTCGCACGATAAACATTTTGGCTCGCGGCCACTTGCTTCCCAGTAGCAAGGAAGGGAGGCTTCATTCCGGCGGTTTTGTTTTCCTTTTCGATTGCACGGCGTTCAAAGATATAGACGGGACGGATTTGGGAGGTCTTTTTTTCGGCGGGGTGACTTTAGTCATATGTCACTTGACATCCCGTTCCTGCGTGCCGCATCAACAGTGCGGTGCCAACACAACCTCGAGCTGGCACGACACCTGGATCTCGAAGCCATCGGCTCCCTGCCCCAACGATTCCGACCTCCTAATTTGCTTGGCTCGGTGCCACGGTCCCGGGGGCTCTGGTTACCGACGCCTCGCCACCATAATCGGTCTCAATCGATGCTTGTTTTGGGGCACGGGTCGTGTCTTGGCTACGATGAGGCAGCACACGTTTTTCTTTTTTGTGATTCAAAGGTTGTGGGATGTCGGCTCTATGGGAAAGACTTGGGCGAGCAAAAAAGAACTGATTTGATTTGAAATAAAGACTCTTTTCCCTTATCTTGTTTTTACTCCTGATAACACCTTTTCTTTTCTCGGGTGACTCCGTCTCCTCGCGGAGAGGAACCACCAACACCACGGCAACGACCCTTTTCCTTTTTCACCCAATGTTTTCAATACTGTACACAAGATGGTTGGAGCGGAGGAGTTTTACCATTCAGGCCACGAAGGGTGCTGGGCTGGATCCAGGTACAACGAAGATACCCCCTGGTGTTTAGACAAAGATGTACACTACAAGATGCGCGGTGGCCGCACAGCTCAGAGCTTAGTTAAAGTGATGGATATTCGAGATTCAATTTCTATTTGCTCAGACACTTGCGCAACGTGGCGAGTCCCCCCCGCTCATGCAGGCCAGTGCGATTCGCCCCGGTTAGAAACAGCAAGGAACAAGCAGTTGACTGGTGAAGCAGTTGATCAGGTGGCGGCCCATAGCAGCACGTGTCACGGGGAAAACAACTGGGGTTGGTTGTTCGTGGCAACGGCCTACTGCGAATGGGGACCTCGGGTCTATCCGGCTCGTGACTCCTTTCATGTTTTTCATGTTCGAGTGCCACATCGAGTCCTCGCACCAAACCAATACCCGCAGAATAAGCAAGCACCAGGTTGAAGAGAGTCATGCCGACGCCGACTCCATGCTCACCAAAGTGCCGGCGTCATCGCGGTTGTACTACACCATATCACGGACGTGTGTGTCATCAGGGGCGCGCATGCTGTGGTAAGGTCAGCACGGCGACAGGCGACAAGCGACAGACGCCATGATTCATGGGACGGATCTATGGGACGGGGCGGGAAGCGCTAGTTGTGAAACGAAGGTGACGCCGTCTAACTGCCTTAGTACACTAGTATACCACGACGAACGAGACTCCTCCTCCCGGATGTCCCCGGTAGGATTCTGAGTGCCGGCACTGCACTGGGGGGAAGAAGTTCTTCTGGAAGGCCCGGGAAAGCCGGAGCCCCTCCGCGCTGTCTTGGCCGGGTCACGTTGCCGGTTTGGGTAATATAGGCGGCGACCGAGCACACCAAGTGCAAATAACTAAGTGATGTGAGACGGGTGGATTAGACGAGACTGTGTTACACGGGAGAGGCAGGCTGTCCGAAGTAAATCTGTACTGTGTACTGAGCCGGGCTCGGGGCAGAGGGTTGCGAGGCAACACACAGCCGCTAATTCTACATAGTACGTTAGTTAACAAAAGAAATCATCAAGTTATCCCACATCCCACATCGCCACCCCGCAGCCCAGGTTTTACCTTTTTTTTTCCCTTGACTACCTAGGTATGCCTCTAGCATGCATGCAGGTGAGGATCTTTTGTCAAAATCTGGTAACTCACCTCCCTCCTCGGTCGGCCAAGCCCCGAGTTCCAGGGGCACGGGAAACACCACAGGCACGAGGAGCACTAATGCACGCTTAATAAAGGGGAGCAGAATCGGACAAGTCTCCCAGGGCTGCGGTCCTGGGTCCTGCTGCACCGGGAACGGCCGCCGAGCGGGCCCCTGGTAAGGTGTGGCCTCGTTAACGATGCAACAACCTTGGTTCCTTGGATGTACCTGCCTAGGTCGGTGCCTGGGGTCATCTCGTCGCCCACCGGTGGGTGGTGGCCCACCATTTCCAAATTAAATTCCCTCTCTCAACGTGCTCACACCCACGAGACACATGGCCGGGCTTTAACTCTCTCCAATTACCTACCCCACCCGCACCACGCTTTGGAATGTCGGGATCCTCCCTCTCTTCCCCCCCCTCCCCCCAGACCTGTAAGGGCCCAAGGGCCATAACCAACCACCCAACGCAACACGCGCCGGGATGCTATCATCACGATCCGCGCGTCCGACCGTCCGACCGTCCGTCGGCGTTCACTCGATTTCATTATCAGCTCTGCAGTCATGCTGCACTGCCACTGCGGCGGGAGGGCAATATCGCGCCGTCGCGTCGCAGCTGTGCCGCCATGTGCATCGTGCCGCGTGGGCTGGGCAGGGCTCGGCAAGGCTCGTCGGGGGGAAGAAGGAGGTGAGAAGATGACCTCGTGTGGCAGCAGTGTTCTTCGTATACACTAGTTAGGTATGTAGAGCATCGTATGTACATACTGTGTATGTAGGCGCAGTACGAGGACGCAGTTCCTCTAAATTCGGGGTCACAGCAATGCTTCCATTTCCATCACCGAGCGTCTCGGCATCATCCATGATGGACGGCCACACGCACGGCGTTTCCGTTCATCCCATCTTCTATCAGCCATCCATCCATCCATGCCATTAGGCTCCCCGTTTCGCAATTGCGTGGGGGTGTGGAGTGCGAGGATCTAACCTGGAACTCCTTTCCGTTTTGAATTGACAATTGACCACGGACCTCAGATTAGCTACGGGGACCACAGACCACGCGCCCACTCTCACTGTCACTTCATGACATGACGCGGAAATACCAAATTTCGAATCCCATACACGGCAGCACTAGGTAATTGTCTCGAAATGACGAGTGGTCTTCCCACGCTTGCCGCCATCTCTTGCCACTGCGCGCTAACGCACTGATCTTCCCCTGAGCGATCACTCGCGTCCTGGGCGCGCCTTGGGGGTCCTGGTGCCCCATGCGCTAACTGCTGGCTTTTGCATGATCGACGCCATGGCGCGGTCCACTTTAATCCCGAGCGCCATCCCATCCCATGACCGGACCCCCAGCCGCGGAGCGATCCGGTGGGATGGGTCGGTCGCAGAGGAGAGAGAGAGGGTCGCAAGTCAGCACGCGCAGTTAGGGGTTCCGCGTTTGATTCAGAGGAAGGGCACCCACTTCCCCTTCCGACCCGTCCCGCCCAACAATTGCCAATCCCGTCTAACTATTCGCAGTTAACGATCAGACACCCACCCACCCAGCATCCATCACTCGGGCTCGGCCGGGGATCTCAACAAAGACGGCGTGTCGTTGGCGTGTGGTGATCTGTCACAATCCCCATTCATCCATCCGTGCGACCGTACCCCATCTTGCCCCATCACCCTGTGGCCCCGTCTGTTTGTTGGCGCCGGAGGCTTTTTGTCTTGCCCACAAAAGCATCCCCGGCAGGCAGATCCTGCAAGTTTCAGCAAATCCGAGAACCCTTGGGGTTGAGTGGCTCGAGTGGCTCAAGTGGCTCTCAAGTGGGCTCGTTTAATGCAGTCCAGCTGCTTTTGTTCTAGAAACTCCACTTCCTTCCATCCCCTTTCCTAATCGGTGCAGAATTCCCTGGTCCAGACTTTGCACCGTGTCGTGCTAAAGGAGCGAGCATGGAACCTCCACACTTCTGTCTCCAAACGCAAGAACCGTCTTCCGTTTTCCGACTTCCCAAACGAGACGGGCTTGATGCTTTTTTCATTTGTGTCTCCCGTCCCAGGGATCTGGCTCAGACCTTTCCGCTTTTGCTTCTGCCGAGTGATCAAGTTGACGGGCAACACATCATTTTTTTTTTCTTTCGTTTTTTTTTTTTTTTTTTTGCCCACTTACGGGACCGTGCTGCCATTTCTTATTTGCCCCTTGGCAACGGAGCAAACACCAATCAAGCCAGCAAAAAAGAAACACGAGAAAAACAACAGGCAACAGCTCCAAGCCAGAGAGGGTAATTATTTTCTTTGTTGTCCCGACTCAGGGAGCGTAGGTCACATGTACATGTACATGTGTACAACCAAGCCAAGTCACTGATCCCCCCACCACAAAACGGAGGGGTTCCCCTCTCACCTCCAACAACACACACCCACACACGCACACCAACCCAAGTGAAAGTGACATATCCACTCGTTAATTACCTGGTTGGTAGTTACCATCCACCACCACCTCACGTGGGTGGGCGGAGCGAAAAGCATGTCTGCTCCAGCTCCCCGAGAGTGCGATCCCCTCCTACACTAGTTGCTTCTCCGTTTACCGTTCCCCCGGGGTAACTAGTGCAGTTCATCAGTGAGGGATAAGTGAACCCACCCCGGGCTTCCACGCTTCGGGGAAGGTCAAACTCGTTAGGTTCTCCCCTTCCATCCCTCCAGCCGGTCCGGGGAAGGGAGTAGTGAAACTAGGGGTGGCGAGTCAGTTAGTGAGTTTAGTGTAGAGTGATGGGCATGACTAACGAACGAACGAACTCTCCCGGTGCTGCACTACACGAGACAGCTATCCTTGCATGCATAGATGGGGAGAGTTTGGCATACATAGCGAGGTTAGTTTAGATTAGTTTGGTTAGTGAGCGCGCAGTGGTGGTCCACCACGTGCTGTCTCGCCTCGCCTCGCCTCGCCTCGCTTTCCGTCGCTGCTCGCCAATCAGGCGAGCTGAGACATGCTTTTTGGTTTGGTTTGGGTGTCTGGGATTGGGATTCTCGTCTGGGGGGGGGCTTGTGTTCGCTTGGCTCGGGCATATTCCTTTGGTTATCGGCTTGGGTTGGGCTTGGTGCAGCGGGGATAATTAGTTAGCTAGGTGGGTAACTCCTGTATAGGTGGCTGGACTTGATGGGCTTGATCGATTGGGGAGCCACGAGGGCGGAACGGCGGGTTCGTTCCGTCGGTGTTCTAGGTTGTTTTTTGTCTGACCAAGGGGTGGGCATGGGCTGGGATGGCGCGGATCTTCCGCGGTGGATTTCTTTTCCCTGTTCTTTTGGAAAGAGGGGATGTGACGGGTTGACACGGGGGGTTGGTTGGATGTTTGTGGTGTGGCTGTCACGATGTGCCTTGTTTGGTGACCGGAAATGCGTCCATGTAGGGGATAACCGACGTGACGGATTTGCTGACGGCGACACTGATGATGGGTCAGTTAACAGAGCGGGGCGACGGTGAATCCAGGGAGGTGGTTCACGCTAGTGCAGGATTTACCGTGCATAAAGGGACCGGATCTAAGAGCGCCGTGGCGATTGCTTCACAGGGACTGGGCTACGGTCCGGGCGCCAGGGCAAGGGGCAGAGTTTTCGCTCCTGGGAGCCTGGGCATGGGGCTCGGGCTCCGTACCAAAGGGAAGTCCCGGCCGATCGGTCTCCCCGGGTTGGGGTTCGCTGTCAAAATGGCTTGTGGCGACGAGGCCCTGGGCTGAATGAACAGGCCAACACAGCTGAGGTGAGAGAACGCTGCGGAGCTGGGTTCGTCGGATCGGACGCTCGGCTCTGTGTTGGAGTTCTGCAGGTGTTGCTTGGCAAGTAGTATTCAGAGTAGCCAGTCAAAGTAAGAGGAGAAAGGAAGAGAATATTGTAACTAGAGCGAAGAGAGCACTGCTGTCGTATTCAGTTCCTTCTCCAGGGCCCGTTGCCGTTCCATACGGCCGATGATCTTGATGTGGCGTCCGCGCTTTTCCCGGGAGTCCTTCTCCGTGCGTTCAGGCTGTTTCTGCGGGTCACTGAAACCATTTTTGGCTTGCCTCCAGCGATACATGGTCGCATAGGATTTCTCTTCGGTGCGGGCGATGGTGGTTCGCAGCACGTCTTGCCCTTCCTCGGGTAGTAAAGGTGATGGGTGGAAAGCAACCAGTCGAACCCGAATATCGTGAACAGTTTCCTATTTTCTGTCTTGTTGGAAAAAGATGTTATGCAGAATCGTCCTCACTTCAGTTGTCCCATGGCAGCAAATAATGATGCACCATGGTGTTAGTTCGGGGTCAGTTGAATCTGGGTGTATACAAACGGGAAACATAGAGTCAGTTATGATCAATGTAGTGGTCGTATCATGTTTCATGTACCCATTCTGTCGACTGAGTTTGATGACTATGGGAAACGGTGCGCACAGAAACAGCAAGTTCTCTTCACCTGCGAATAAGTTGGGTTCTGTCGGTTGGCGGGATTAGTGTTTCAGTCCAACTCAACATGGTCAAGATTTGGTGATATGGCATCGCCTATATCCCTACTTGTGAGCAACCTGGGCGGTAACGTTGTGTCAAGAAACAAAAATGGGCATGTCAGGGGACGTTAGATGTACTGCGATCAGGAGTCGGCGAATGCTATGTAACGAGATACTTTACGGTGGAAACTGTTTTCGTTAAGAGAGGTTGAAAACTTCGGAGACTGAGCAGAGGACAAGTAACTGCAGAGCAACATCTCACACACCATCGCGATAAACTTGGGGTAGGACCAAACATTGCTTGTTGTGTTTGATACAACTGTGAATCGGGTTGCTCTGCATTCTACATTTAACTGACTGCCGCCTCAACTCTCAACCCAAGCTTGTATTTGAGGTATGATAGTTGTGATGGTCAAGTTGGGATGATGAGGTTTTAGTCGTCGCCAGTGTATCTTATTCCCTCTCACGCAGCACCAAAAGTTGGCAAATGGCAATAAACGATCACTTGTGAGTACCATATGGTGTCCTCACATGTAACACTCAAGACACTCGCTAAGTAGATTTTAGAGGGCAGGCTTCCACGATGGCAACTAAGAGCCAATCAGATAGACATGATCCTTTCTGGTGTCTCTTTTGAGCTTCAGGAAGTCCACCAAACGCGGATAAGGGTTCAGGGACTTCGTTTCTTCTGCGAGTTTTTACCTCTTATTTCCAGCGGCTGATAGCAGTCTTCACATGAACTTAATATCCATTCTTCTCACAAGGTCGACTTACTCCACCAAGACAAGCTTCGAACCATCTATCGTTAGGTCTTCTCTTGGAAATCTTTTCTGCCTGGTGTCGATTAGGTATTCCGCTCTGCCTATGTCTGTTGTAACCATTGAATTAGTCTCCCCGCCACTCCCGATAAAACCGGCCATATTCTACCTCGTTCTCTTTCAGTCTTAGCGATGACCAGGTCGAGGTGATCAAAATGAGGTAGTATTTCAGGATAGTGAGACTGTCCACGGTGCTCGAGCGTTGAAGTGAAGCAGCACTGGGGTGAAGCTTCAATACATTATCTTAGCACTGCCGACAGAAACAACAAGAAGCATGTTTATAGCAATCCTAGTTGTATCCTCCCTTCAATCTTAAACCGGTTCTTGATTCCGGCTCCGCATCCGGCTCAGCCCGGCACCACCCCGACTATTTTGCAGTTCGGTCCGGGCCCGTGGCCGGGGGTGGGGCCGGATAAACCCCACATACAGCTGCTGTGCGGGGCTCAGCAGCTGCTTGCAACGTCAACCCAGCAATTGCGGACTTGCCAAAGCAGGAACCCAACCAGCAGCACCAGTACAAAACGACGAGGAGCAATCGCAACAGCGCAGCCTTGAGACTCGAGACCCAAGAATCATCGAAGCTTCAATCAACAAAACAACCGTCTCTTCCCGGCCCAAACCCGAGCTTTCGCCCGATTGCGCGCACACCCCACCACCTAAACCCTCGAACCCCCCCCAACGAAAGTCCAACACCCCCACACACGACCCAGCACCCGTCCACGCCCACCATGTCCATCATCCGCGAGCACACACAGGCGACGCTGAGCGACGCGTGGCGCACCATCAACATCGACGCGCTGGAGGAGGACTCGTCGGTCAACTTCGACACGGCGACGCTGCACCCGAGCACGGCAGACCCGGCGGCGGCGCTCAGCGAGGCCGACGTCCGCCAGCTGACGGGCCAGGTGCGCCAGCTGCTGCGCGGCGGCGACGCCGAGGGCGCCCTGCGCGGCTGTCTCGAGAGCCCGGCCTACGGCGCGGTCGACGCCGCTCGTGAGGCGGCCCTGCAGACGGTCATCGAGGTGCTGCAGAGTATCAAGGCGAGTGATATGACGCCGATGCTGCAGCGGGTTTATGCGAGCCCCGGGGGGAGTGAGTGTTTGGATGTGTTGATGAAGTATTTGTGCGTGGCATCTCTCCTTTTATTGTCTTACTTTTTCCCTTCTGCTCTATTCTTGTTCCAATGCTCGTTTCACCTTCCAGGCTCGCGACACAGAAAGCTAATATGGGTACGTGCTGGCAGGTACAAGGGCATGGCGGCCACCTCATCTGCCTCTTCCGGCAGCGCGCCGCGCACACCGACCCGCATGACGCCCCAACAGACCGGGTTCAGCCAGATTGGCCCTCGCCCCGGTGCCCCGACCGAATCGACCGGCGCCGCCATGAGCGTGCTGCTTAGCTGGCATGAGAAGGTGGTTGAGGTGGCGGGGCTGGGATGCATAGGCCGGGTCATGAGCGATTGGCGGAGGGTGTAAGGGAGGGATCAATATGGCGTTGGGGAAGCTGTCTTAAGGCGACGTTTAGAGCATCAAAGCAAGTCGGGGGCTATAGACATGGTGGCGTTTTGCTGTGAACTCGGGCATCTGCCAGCCGTCGGTGACACTCCTATAACATGACAGGTCCTACCGGCTGTGACTTGTGGTGGTTGAGGAGGCTCCGGGCGGACTTTCAAGCTTTCCGTGCCCGATCTAGCCATTGAAACCCTGTCGAAGCGGGATAGGAGACCACCGACACATCCTTTGTTGTTTGCACACTACTCCTACAACCAGCCGACCTTTTGGGTTGCCCTATTTCGCCTCCAAGATATCCTTTAGGCTCACCTCCCCGCTCCCCCTCTTTAATGGCTTGGGTTGATTACCCCCCTCCTTCCACCCAATCATGTGAATAATCCTAAACGTCGCCGGCAGACTCCCATCCTCATTCCCATGTAACGCCCGATAAATCCCCTCATTCGCCAGCAGCACATCCCGCCCAATCGCACCCATCTCCCTCCCCAACACCGCATTCCCCTCCCCCATCGCCTGCAGATCCTGCATCAGCGCAAAGGTATCCGGATAATCCACCACCACATCTTCCACATCCACCGTCAGCATCTGGAACCCTGCGCGGCCCAACAACCCCCCCACATCCCGCACGTCCGCCAGCGGTGACACATGCGGCGAAATACCCCCGCGCCGCTCCTGCTCGGCCAGCTGCAGTGACGTGCGCAGCTCGAACAGCGTGTCCCCGCCCAGCATCGCCCCGATGAAGGGGCTGTCCGGCTTGAGCACGTTGTTGATCTGCGCCAGCACACCGGGCAGGTCGTTGATCCAGTGCAGGGACAGGCTGCTGAGGACCATATCGAAGGATGCGGGGGCAAATGGGAGGGTCTCGTCGTCGGCGAGGACTTGCCGCGTGAGGTCGAGCTGGTCGTTGAAGGGGAGGGAGGCGTCGCGGTGGAGGAGCGTGGCTGAGGAGTCGGCGGCGATGAGCGAGATTATTTTGTTGGAGAGTGGGGGGGACGTTGGCGTGGCGGGGTCCGGGTCGGGGTTCTCGCGCGTTAGGGCGCGCGCGATGTTGCACGAGTTGGCGCCGAGGTCGAGGACGCGAGGGAAGTGCCGTTTGATATCCTGCAGGTTTTTGGTTGAGGTTAGATTCATAATTGGAATGGAAGAAGGGGATTCCCGTTGCATTCCAAGGTATGCATGGTTGCTTACCAGTAAGCGTTCACACACGCGCATGGCCACTTCGTCCTTGAGATAGTCGGCCTGGCGGCTGAGCTCTGGATTGGCGGCTGCCCGCTCCTTCTGCTGCCATTTTGAGCGGCTGTTGAAGACCTTGAAGACGGCGCCGCCTGGGGCCTGGAACGCGTAGGTCCGCCGCGTACTGGAAGGTGTAGTAGTCTGTAACCGTATGTATTGCGGCCGACAGGCTCGGGGCAAGTTCAGCCGCATTCTCGGGGGGTTGGTAGGCAATGGCCTGGCATTTCTGAAGCCGAAAGTTCGTGATGTTAGAACTGGTTTTGGAGATAGATGGGGACCTACCCCCCGGTTAATCGATTAAATGGGACATATTTAGGCCAATTACGGACTAGCCCCAACTGTCACTGACACAGAAAAGGCACGGCCCATGCGGGGACTCGGGGCGGCCATTGAAGATCAAGGGATGCAGCAACAAATGCGACAGTGCTCTCCTTTGCTCCATCTTTTTGTGGACAAGGCGACAAACACGTCCCACAGCAACCCCTGAACCACATCGCTGTCGCCGACCATCTCGACGACTGCCGCGCGCATTTTCCGGACCCGATCCTCTTTGAAACCACGACGCGTATCGATTTTCTCGGACGCCGAAAGGGAGATGCAGGAGGACAGGGCGACTTTTGCTCGGTGACCTTGCACGCGCACTCGACAAGGAACAGGTCTTCCGTTGCTCCGCCATCCCCGATTCTCCTGCTGCTCGACGTCTTGATCTTCCCTGGCGATGACGATGATGTACTGAGGAACCTTGGTACATCAATACCACCTCGTGCAGCTGTACTTTACACATCCAACTCGACGGGCTTTGAGGGGGGAGAAGAGCGGATAGCGGGAGGGAACATTGCCCAGCTTTGAGTTCAGCGCAAATCCAGAGGTACCTCTGAGCTATTGGGGCCGTAGGCTTTAGCCATTCAAACAAAATGTCGTCGTCAGGCCCTACCGGCTTCCTGGGCCGGTCCAGCAGCAGCAATGCGAACATGCGCGGACTGGTCCAGTTTATTGCCGATTTGAGGAATGCCCGTGCCCGCGAACTGGAGGAGAAGCGCATCAACAAGGAGCTGGCCAATATTCGGTATGTCTGTCACACCCTTGGAGTACTGTCGAAGTGATACTAAACTCCGGCGTGTCTAGGCAAAAGTTCAAAGGTTCGCAACCCCGGGACCGTCCGCGCTGGGCGGGGTGCTAACGCAGTGTAGACGGTAACTTGAGCGGATACCACAAGAAGAAATACGTGTGCAAAGTGGGTGGCCCGATACTGCAGGATAGGGACGCTGGCTGATGCGCAACAGCTTCTCTATATCTACATCCTCGGTTGGAACGTCGATTTCGGACACCTGGAAGCCGTCAACCTGATCTCAGCGACCAAATACTCGGAGAAACAGATTGGCTACCTCGCCATGACCCTATTTCTACACGAGAAACACGAACTTTTACATTTGGTGGTCAACAGCATCCGAAAGGACCTGCTCGACCACAATGAGCTGTTCAACTGCCTTGCGCTGCATGCTATTGCAAACGTCGGTGGGCGAGAGATGGGAGAAGCGCTGAGCCCCGAGGTCCACAGGCTATTAATTTCACCGTACGTTTTGGGATTCGGATTGTGTCTGGGAGACCATCGCTGACTCGGGGCAGAACTTCAAAGGCGTTCGTGAAGAAGAAGGCTGCACTCACCATGCTTCGCCTTTACAGGAAACACCCAGGCATCGTTCAGCCGCAGTGGGCCGAAAGGATAATATCGCTGATGGACGATGTCGATCTCGGCGTCGGTGTATCTGTGACCTCCTTGGTCATGGCCTTGGCTCAGGATAACCCAGACCAGTACAAGGGCGCATATGCCAAGGCTGCTGGCCGATTGAAGCGCATCATCATCGATGGCGAATATGCGCCAGATTATTTATACTACAAAGTACCTTGCCCCTGGATCCAGGTCAAGCTTCTCAGGCTGCTGCAATACTTCCCCCCTTCAGGTATGCCCGGTAGTGCCCACATCCAACACCGGTCATCTGACAATATTCAGAGGATAGCCATGTCCGCGGGATGATCCGAGAGTCTCTGCAAAAGACCCTGGACCTCGCTTTGGAGACAAATAAGAACGTGCAGCAAAACAATGCTCAAAACGCCGTGTTGTTTGAGGCTATTAACCTCATCATCCACCTCGATACTGAGCATGCGCTGATGAAACAGATCTCGTCACGCCTCGGCCGGTTCATCCAGTCGAGGGAGACCAACGTTCGGTACCTGGGTCTCGAAGCCATGACTCATTTGGCTGCGCGGGCGGACACGCTCGACCCGATCAAGCAACACCAAGAGGTCATTATCGGGGCGCTTAAGGACAGAGATATCAGTGTCCGGCGGAAGGGCCTCGACCTGCTGTACAGCATGTGCGACTCAACAAACGCCCGGGTGGTTGTCGGGGAGCTTCTTCATTACCTGCAAAGCGCAGACTTTGCGATTCGGGAGGAGATGGTGCTCAAGATCGCCATCCTGACGGAGAAGTACGCCACTGACGTGCAGTGGTATGTCGACATATCCCTCCGGCTTATTGCCATGGCGGGCGACCACGTCAGCGACGAGGTGTGGCAAAGAGTGATCCAAATCGTTTCCAACAACGAGGAGTTGCAGGTTTATGCGGCCCAAAACATCCTCCAGTACTGCAAGCAGGATCACGGTCACGAGACGCTGATCAAGATCGGCGCCTATATTCTCGGCGAGTTTGGGCATCTCATCGCGGAGGAGAAGGGGTGCAGCCCGATCGAGCAGTTCCTGGCGCTCCAAAACAAGCTGCCCGCGTGCGGGTCGAGCACCCGGGGCATGATTTTGTCGTGCTTCGTCAAATATGTTAATCTCTTCCCGGAGATCAAGCCACAGCTCATCAATGTGTTTAGCGTCTACAGCCACACGCTCGATCCGGAGCTCCAGCAGAGAGCTTGCGAATACCTCAGCCTCGCAACCTTGCCGACAGACGACCTTCTCAGGACCGTGTGCGATGAGATGCCGCCGTTCCCAGAACGCGAGTCGGCGCTGCTCTCAAGACTCCACCAGAAACACGGCGGCACGAGCGACAAGAGGACATGGGTCGTTGGTGGGAAGGACGCCAATGCAGATGCCGCCGAACTGACTATGGCTAAGCAGGGAGGTCTCAAGAGGACCTTCACGGTGAACGGCCAGGTCGACGGGCGCACACCCGCGGCTAACGGGCACTCAGCCGCCAACGACCTCGTAGGCCTCGATATGAGCAACATCGGGCCGGCGGAAGCCAAGGCGCTCAAGGTTCCCAATCTAGCCAGCGCAGCTCACCTCTCGCCTAACTGGGAGCGCGGCTTCAACCGGCTGCTGACCAAGGCGGATGGCGTGCTCTACGAGGACGGGCAGATTCAGGTCGGGGTGCGGTCCGAGTACCGTGGGCAGATGGCGTGCCTGATCCTGTACTTCACCAACAAGACGCCCGCGCTCATTTCGTCCTTCACCACGACGCTCGACCTCGACGAGTCGGAGAAGGCCAACCTGACCTGGGACGTCAAGGGCCTGCCCGACACCACCATCGCGCAGGGCGCCCAGGCCCAGCAGGTCATCATGTTCGAGGCCAAGCGCGTCTTCGACAAGAGCCCCACCATCCGCATCAGCTACCTCGCCGGCGCCCTGCAGGCCCTCACCCTGAAGCTGCCCGTCACCGTCCACAAGTTCATGGACCCCGCTGAGCTGTCCGCCGAGGACTTCTTCAAGCGCTGGAAGCAGATCGGCGGCGCGCCCCGCGAGGCCCAGCATATCTTTGGGCTGGCCGCTACCGGGGGTGGGTCTAGGGCCGGAGAAAGGGAGATCACCGAGGGCTTTGTCCGCACTGTCGTCGAGGGCTTCCGCTGGGGCGTGCTCAACGGTGTCGATCCCAACGGGAAGAACCTTGTGGGTGCGAGCGTTGTCCACACCTCCGAGGGCGGCAAGTACGGTTGTCTGCTGCGGCTGGAGCCGAATTATCAGACCCAGGTGCGTTTTATTCACTTTCTTTTTTAGTCTCACCGCTTTGACAAGAAGCTTTGTGCTAACTCGTCTGTTTTACAGATGGTACGGTTGACGATCAGGGCGACCGAGGACGCCTTGCCACCGCTGCTACTCAAGATGATGCAGGAGCGGCTTTCTAGGGGCGTGTCGACGGCGCCGGAGAGGTTTACGCCGCCGACCGTGAGTGAGATCTCGGATGCTTTCAGGGGTATCATGGTCACCACGAGCAATAGGTGAGGGGCTGGCGTGACTGGATGGATGAGGGTTGAGGAGTAGATGTAGATGGGGGCACGTGATTGAGGGAGAAGAGGGAATGCATGCCGTACTTGGTGCCTCTCTCGGTCTTTCTCGGGGCACGTTAGTCAGTCACTCCGCCCGGGGGGGGAAGAGAGAGGCGGATTTGAGATTGATGTGAATGCGACGATGTGTCTGCTAAGTATCATTCGCTGGTATATCTTGGCTGGTTGTTGTAGCAACTGTAATGGATTACTCGTATTGAAGTCGACGATGGCCTCACCCTACAGGGTGGCTAAGGAGTGAGTGAGTGGCCGTCGTGTTTCGAGGTCGAGGAATCGGCTAGGAAAGGAGAGGTCGTTGCGGGTTAGGGTTATCCTGTCAAAAGGATTCGAGCATGTGCCAAGGCGGCTCATTGCCCCGCAGCGATGATCAGGTGGCCCAAGCTCCTGACCGCGCTTTGCCAGGCCAGAGCAGGCGTGCCAGGAAGCTTCCATGTCGGCATGTCTCCCCTCGGAAGGCAGCAGAGCTCCGCCTCTGATTTCATTCGACAACATCCCAGCATCCATCTTGAGTAACTCGAACCTGGAACATTCAAAAGCTTCCATTTCCACCGCCAGAACAAGGCCAGGCTGCCACAAGCCCCGGTCACCTCAATCGATTGTTGCTTTGTCATTATTCTTCTGTATCGCACAACACGCACCCACAAACGGCGCACGCATCGTCTCATCGAACCCGGCGTAAACTTCCCAGGTTGCATTGCAGCAGGTTACAGCACCCTCGCCATTCGTCCTCATCTTCCAAACCATCAGACACAGGCATCCCCGCAATCGAAAACGCATTTCTATCGTATCTGACGCAGACACCCGTAGGGGTTGACAATCACCATGGCGGACTTATCGAACACCAAGCTCAACTATGTTACCTTCAATCAGGACCACAGCTGTTTGGCTGTCGCCACCAGCAGGGGTTTCCGAATTTACCACACCGACCCTTTCAGCAAGATATTCAACAGTGATGAAGGCAATGTCACTATTATCGAGATGCTGTTTTCGACCTCGCTCGTCGCCATGGTCCGCTCACCGCGCCATTTGGTAATACAAAACACCAAGGTAAGTCAGACGCAGCCCCTCTGCTCATCTCAACCCAGCTAATGCTGGCCGACCTTGCAGCGCGGTTCCATAATCTGTGACCTCACCTTCCCGACCGCCGTGCTAGCCGTTCGCCTAAACCGGAAAACATTAGCTGTGGTGCTGGAAGAGGAGATTTACGTTTATGACATAGGCAACATGGCCTTGAAGCACACTATCGCGACGTCGCCGAATCCGAACGCTATCTTCGCTCTATCGCCCATGTCGGACAGGAGCTACATCGCTTATCCTATGCCCAAGCCGCGCGAGGATCAAGGCGAGAGGCGGCCCGCACACGCGCCTCCCCTCTCGGAATACGTGCCGCCCACCTCCGGGGCTCTCATGGTCTTCGACACGACGGCTGGAAAGGCCGTCAACGTCATCGAGGCCCACAAAATGCCCCTGTGCTGCATCGCCCTGAATCACGAGGGCACAAAGGTGGCTACGGCGTCGGAACGGGGCACGATTGTGCGAGTCCATTCCGTCCCGGAAGGCCATAAACTCTTCGAGTTCCGCCGTGGGACCATTCCGTCAACCATCTACAACATGTCATTCAACCTCAGCTCCACCCTGTTGTGCGTCTCGTCCAGCTCCGAAACAGTCCACATCTTCCGTCTGGCCAGCGCGCAAAACGCTAATGCCGGAGGCGCTGGCCCAGCCGCGCTGGAAACCCCGGGCAGCCCTCGCGCCAACCGCTGGTCACGATCTAAGAGCATTGACGGCAGCGAGTACTCGCCCAGCGGCGATTCCGACTCATCACCTCGGGGCGAGACGCCCGAGGCCGGGCCCAGCGGTCCCTCGGCGGCTAGGAGGCAAAGCGGGACGTTTGGGAGCATGCTCCGCCGGTCGTCACAAATCGTTAGTCGCAGTGTGGCTGGGGCCGTCGTGCCTTATCTACCCCAGTCGGTGGCCGAGATGTGGGAGCCGCAGCGCGATTTTGCGAGCGTCAAGATTCCCAAGCCGACCAATGCGGGAGACGCCCTTTTAGGCCCGGTGAGTTTGCGTAGCGTGGTGGCTATGTCTAGCAACTCACCGCAGGTCATGGTCGCCACGAGCGACGGTGGCTTTTTTGTGTACACCATCGATCTGCAAAACGGCGGGGAGGGTTGTCTCCTGCGACAATTCAGGTTTGTTTTGTGATGAACTCTTCCCGCGCGCCCTGCCCATGCTAACCTGTATTCTCTAGTGTTTGTGATTTTGGGATGAGCGCCTCTGGATACGGTTCATAGGGGTCGACCGATTCTAATGACCTGGAACGTCAACATGTGCCTCAAAGCCCTCCTCCTGACGACTACGTTGTCGTTGATGTCCCGCGTTCCCCGCGTGGCTCCGTCCTCGGCAAATTGCAGATAGCCGTGGACGGCCTGTTGAGCAGCCCGTTGGAGACGTTTGCCCGGGCGAACTTGGGCTTGGTGGCCGGGACTTCCTCCTCTTCGGAGCGAAGTGAGGGATCCATTTTGGCCCCAAGTCCGGATGACTAGCTGAGGTAGGCCGGGTGAATGGGGGGTTGCTGATTTCTCTCTGCTTAGTTTATGCGACGTACGAGTTGGTTATACAGGTCTTGATTTTACGGAGTATGGGTGGACGACTGAGCGTCATGGGTGTCTCAGGACTCAGGGCTATGGGTATCGGGGCCGGAGCAGGGGAATTTCCTTGTGCATAGCGTTTGGCGTTTGGTTTCTGCGGTAACGGATACTCGTATTTTTGTGAAGCGCTCATGTTGGTAGCGCACTAATATTAACTAACCACTTCTTGAAGCGCCCTCACTTGCCATGCCCTAAATAATGGCACTTTGAGTAGCAATGTGGGTTGTGTGACGGAATCGATGTTTACAGTAGGGCTGTTTCTGAATTTACCATCGGTTCGTTATCTCGTTAACCTTCAACCCCTAGAAGTCGGGATTCACGATGCTAGGGGAGGCAGCCCGGTGTGGCATCTCAGAAGGCAACCAGATTGGAATTGGTCAGAACTCTTCACTTCCCGCTCCGTTCTCACATGAGAAAAGTAGGGGACCGGTCATAAACATGTTTCCACACCCGAACACGTCACCATGGTACCAGGACAAGGCGTGCTTCAATTTCAGAATATCCTCGTTTTCCGGGGTGGTTGTTCCACAATTCCATCCAGAGCCGCCCGAGCCTGCCCCTATCCAAGTCACAAGAAGACCATTGAGTGGACCGGAAATAAACAAACGCAGAACGCACTGATAAAGAAGCCTCGGACGCCAGGTCATCAACCGAATCAGAACCCTCCAAATCGTAAGTAACATCCGCTCGCCTGTCATAGCCGATGCCATATCGTATCATACCTATAAAACATTCCGCCAAAGAATAATGAACAAATCAAGGCCCACGCCTGGTAAAAATAAAGAAATATGGAAGCCGTAGATTGCTTGCTTGCTTGCTTGCCTGCATAAATAAAACCGTATATCAAAGGCCGCAGAGGAGGGAAAGAAGGGAATAAAAACGTGTATCGTCTCGGGAGCAGCGAGACGCTAGTTAGAGGGACAGCGGAAGTAGGAGTGGAAGTGGGAATGGAAGGAAGGAGAGCCCTCCCGCCGGGGGAGGTGCCCATCCCCTTCTTCCCTATCTAGACAGCCCGAGGTAGCTACCTAGCCAGGCAGGTAGCCACTCCTAGGCCGTCCGTCCTCCACGACAAAGCCAGCTCAGCGAGCATAAGGCTTATTCATGAGAGCGATCTCGCGCGCAATCTCGGCCCACTCCAGCTCGCGCTTGAAGCCGCCGCCGTCACCATCAAACCCGCCATCTTCTCCATGGTCACCACCAACCATACCACCACCACCACTACGCAGCAGCAGCTCCTCCCACTTGAGCAGCTCGTACGCGAAGCGCAGGTGCGGCTGGATGATGACGTTGAGGCGGCGGGCGCGCACGAAGCAGTAGGCGCGCGGGAACGACATGCGGCGGCTGCGCATCACTCGGCGATGCAGATGGTGGCGCTGCGGGAGACGCCCACGCGGCCAGTGTACCAATGTGGCGGTGCCGTTGCGTCGCCCGCGGTCTAGGGGGGGGGGGGGAGGGGGTTAGTGTTTGGTTTCGGTATTTGTTGTTTTGTGTGGTTGGTAAAGGGGTTAAGGGGGTGGTGGGTGGATTGGAGAACAAGGAGACAAGAAAAACTCACCAATAAACTCCAAGCACCGCGCAAACTCGTCGGTCAACGGATCGATCCCATTATCCTGCACGCCCTTGACCAGACACACATTCTGCTCGCCCCACGCCTCCAGCTCGCCATCCCTCCACATGGCCGTCTCGCCCACGCTCAAGATCTGCCCCACCCCGAGCGCGCGCAACAGGTCCGGGTTGTTGGCGTGGCCCAGGTTGCCCAGATACATGTACTCCAGCACGCGGCTGGGAAACGACCCGTCAAACCCGGCCCACCACCGCGGCTCCTCCAGCTCCTCCCCTTCCTTTACCGCCGCCGTTCCTAACCCTGCCGTGGCTAGAGCGCCGCGAGCGGGGGACGCCTGCATCAATCGCGGGGCGATCGCGCCCAGTAGGCCGACGTCGGAGGGGTAGGCAAAGAGGTTGCGCTGGCGCGCCGTGTGCAGGTCCAGCCAGGCCTGCGGCACGGGCTGCCCCGTGGCTAGGCTGTGGTAGGCGACGGCGAGGAGGGTGGATTCGGTGTAACCGTCGTTGCAGTGGAGGAGAATTTTGCGGGGGCGGGTTGTGGTCGGTAGTTGCTGCGGTGGTAGTTGTTGGGAGGCTTCTTGGGGGGTGGGACCGAGGGGGCGGGTGCCGTGGGCGAGGTGGTATATCCAGGTGCAGGTTTCGAGGATGCCGTCGGCTTCGGCGTGCGACCAGGTCGGCGCGAGGATGCTGCCTGAGGAGGGGAAGTCGAGGTGGTATTGTTTGGTCTCGTCGTCCGGGCCCTCGGCGATGGTCGCCAGCGCGGCCGGGTTCAGGCGGCCCAGGTCATTGCACTCGATCAGAATGTCGTAGGACTGCTCTTCTTCCGACCCGGCGTCGGGCGTCGGACCAAGCCACACGTTGTGCGAGATCTCCGATGCCCGCGTCATGTCGTACATCTCGCGCCGCTCCTGGTGGAAAAAGTCGAGCACGGTCCCCGTGAGCAGGCCCTCCGAGTTGACCGACACGATCTCCGGGTGCTTCTCCTCGAACTCGGCGAACGGGCTGGTGCAGATGAAAGTGCTGTACCGCGGCAGGTGGTGGCGCATGGCGTCATGCCGGTCCCGCCATCTCTGCTGGGCGGCCGCGATGTCCCAGCCCAGTTTGCGCACGGCCACATCGTCGCTTCCGTAGACAATGATGTCCGAGGTCATGGCCGACTTGGCGGCCTGGATCTGGAAGTTGCGCACCGAGAAGCCCTCCCTCGGATCGGCCTCGATGAACTCGGAAACGGCCCCCTCGAGTTGTAGGAACTCGTCCGGGGAGATGGCGCCTTTTAGCCGGGACACGCTGAGATCCCCGTCGGCCTTGACCACGGTGATGCTGCGGAGACACGGTGGTGTCCTCCGCAAGGCACGCTTCCGGGCCATGAAGAAAGCTTGCTGAATGGCGTTGGACGGGTGGAGGCCGTGCAGCCAGGGGAAGACCTGGGACGGTTCCGGAAGCGGCTGGCGGGCGGCATGGTCCATGGCGGCGGCCACACCATCGGCATCGACCTTGTAGAGAGACAGCCGGCCCATGTCGACACGGGGGTACTTGTCCGGGGGGTGTAATAGCGAGCGGGCCAGCTGACCATCCTCCTTAACCGGCGACGGCGGCGGCGTTGTGGGCTCCTCCTGGGGGATGGGTCCTGGCGGACACACGGGGATGTGCTTGTTAGGCACGGGGACGGGACATTGCGAAGGGTGGCTGTCGAGGGTGATGGTCGAGGTTAGGGAGGTGGGACGATGTGGTGCAACGGGTCGAGATAAGGCAATGGTCGCCATGATGGCACTTCACGGGTTGTCGCGGTCGTTCTTTACGGAGGGGGATGGGCCCAGCATCGGCACGGAGGCAAGACGCGACTTCGACTCGGGGCGGAAACTCGAGGGGGGGTTCGAGGAAATTCCGAGATTCGACCAAAGGAGGAAGATGGAGGGATCGACACAGTAATATATGGGCTCAAGATGAAATAACGTGGGAATCAGTCTTTCAAGATGCGATATGGGTGGTAAAATTCGGGCCCTGTCCGATGAAGAAGGTCCCGACGGAGGGGGTCTTTGTCAATTCCAATTGTTGATCGGGATCGAGAGGGTGGGAGAAATGTATTGGCCCTCAAGTCGAGGAGGAGTGAGGGGGAGCAAGCACACACTGCACACTCACTGCGCACTGTAGCACCGCAGCACAACAGCCTTATCGCTGATCCCTGTTTTATGTGAAGCGAGCTGGATCGAATTGGCTGTCTGCTCTTAATAAAACCACACAGTGCAAGTGTTGGGCGGCTGATAAGACGGTTGTGGAACGGTAATGGCGTCAGTTACCTTTTTGCTCGGGCAATGCAAGGGAGAGAGATGCAGAGACGCAGAGACGCAAAAGACGCAAAGACAGTGGCGAAAGTGCCGAATTGCCCACGTGGACTTGGGTGCTAAGCTAGAACAAAGAAGGTGAAGGTGAAGGTGAAGGTGTCGACATGGAAGGAAAAGAAAATAAACAGAAAGAGAAGAACCTGAGCCCCGGGCAGCTGCGGCTGACGGGTAGCACTGATGGGAGCTTCGAATTGCCAATGGCGGGGGCCAAGCACTCGGGTCCCCCCTCTGGCCACCACAACGGCGATGATGATCTCTTCGGTGGCGATCCCATTGATCAAACACGCCCATTGTACCAAGTATGGCCTGTGAGCCTGTCACTTTTATTCTTTGCTTTTCAACGCCCGAGTCAGTTGATATTTGTTGGTTGCTACAACAAGTAAGGTGCCGTACGTCTGCGAATGCAGCGCGAACAGGAATCCACCTCTGTGTTTCACTGGTACCTGGGGGAACGCGGCCTGGAGCCGCGGGGTCCTTCTTGCCGGATTGGAACCGTTGGGATGATCCACTTAGGAAAGATCAAAGGTCCCAATTTAGCATTCGAATTGTTACTGTTACCGTGGAAGATGAAGGATCAAAGAAGCCTTGGCTGTAAACCCAAAACCATCAATTAACCCATTCGCCATCGCTCGGCTCTCCGTCAACGACCACCTACGAGGATGTTGGATTGACTCGGTGGTGAGCCGATGAAGAAAGGAACGTGGAGTGTGGATGGGTTGATGAGCTCACAGTGTCTGTCGATTTCAAAGAGAAAGCACACTGGGCCCTCGCCTGCCACTAGCGGGATATGGGGTGCACGGCCATGCGACACTATTGGACGATACATCGTTTCGGCCTTTGCAGTCCCACATCCCGCTTTAGCCCCGCGTCCCCTCAGAACATGGGCACGATTGGGGCGAGCCAATCTTGAGCAAAGAACTCCACACTGAACCTTCTTTGCATCCCTGCTTGCCCATCCCACACCACCACTCCTACCACCTTGTGGGTGCAGTCTCCGGTGTGGGCAACGACCGGGCATTTCTTGTCCGAGAGGGATCGGTGGCATCCGGAAGCTGAGCGCTGTGATGCCCACTCTTATTCCATTTTTCTGGACTGCCACGATCCCACCCCGCCGTGAACTGGCTCTTCTCGAGCACTTCAAGCTGGTGATAAAGATCTTTGTTCGCCCGCTCTCGACATTCGCCTTCGAAAAGGCGGCCGCAATGAGCCTACTGAGCCTACCTTGCCTACCAAGGTCGAGCCTACCTAGTAAGCTTGATGTCCATGGCTTGGAACTCGGCCTCGTTACAGGCCCGGTGGTCTCCCTGTCCCGACGTGCCCGAGCAACAGGGCGATCGCGGACCGCTTGGATGTGTCAGCTGCTCGCGCCAAAACCTATCAAGACGCCATGGTTGATGTGCCGTCGGGTACGTATGCTGGCTCCCGAATTACGGCTCCGACGGCACGCCAAAATATTTCCTCGCAGCGGAAGAGGATAACGTTGTCTTGTGGCCGCGAGATTTCCTTGGTACAACCATCACCTGCGACATGGCCCACAGTTTTCTGTTCTCGGGATGCAAACAGCTTGCACCCGGACAGGTTTCCGTTACTAACAGCGCTGTTGGAATCCGACACTGGGCCATCTCACCTGATCCTATACCAATACTGAAATCACGCTTCCCCGAGCGGGTTTGCTAGACACTACGGACAAAAATGTCCGGGTTAAAACTAGTAATGGTGGGATTTCGTCCCATTTTGGGTTCACCGGTTTCTCGGATGGGTGAAGCCGTTCGAGGTCAACATATGCATCAATTGCGTCAATTCTGATGGGTTGAGGCGCCTCTCCTTGGCCCCTGTCCATTGACGGGACTGAATGACACAGTGGAAAACAGGACCCCGTTCATCACCCCGCAGTCTGGTTGGCGCCGTGTCAGTGCGGGGCAAAACTCAGCAGCTTTTTGCGGCCCCGCTCGCCGATGCTCGGCACCGCTTTCTGTTCAGCCTCTGACTCCCCCTTCTTCTTCTTTTGGTCGTCTTTTCGTCTTGTTTGTGTGTGTTGTCCACCCCGTTCCCGAGCAGTTGGGTCCAACAGCAACCACCGGCCGCCCTATCACCATCTCCGATACACCATAATCGCGCCAGCATGTCCAACGGCGTCCCCCCCAACGGGCCCTCCGCGCCGACGCACACCCAGTCGCAGCGCTATCTCAGCACGCGGGGCGATGACAGCGGTGTAGGTTCTTTCTTTCTTTCTTTCTTTTTTACCCTAGCTCAGAATGTCGCGACGTTGCTGCTAGAGAAGAAATCGCCGCTGACGGTCTGAACCACACATTAGCTCTCCTTCGAGGAAGTCGTCCTCAAGGGTCTCGCCTCCGATGGCGGCCTATACATCCCCGAACATGTCCCCGCCGCGGCGCAATGGGAGTCCTGGAAGGACCTCTCGTTTGTTGACCTCGCCTTCAACGTTTTGTCTCTCTACGTCTCTCCCTCCGAGATTCCCGCCGAGGACCTCAAGGATATCATCCGCCGCAGTTATTCCACCTTCCGCGCCGACGATGTCACCCCCCTAGTACACCTACAGGACAACATCCACCTGCTAGAGCTCTTTCACGGGCCGACATTCGCCTTCAAGGACGTGGCCCTGCAGTTCCTCGGCAACCTGTTCGAGTACTTCTTGGTGCGCCGGAACGAGGGGAAGACAGGGCGGGACAGGTATCACCTCACCGTGGTGGGCGCGACAAGCGGTGACACGGGTTCGGCCGCCATTTACGGCCTGCGGGGGAAGAAAGATGTCTCAGTTTTCATGCTCCATCCCAAGGGCCGTGTGAGCCCAATTCAGGAGCTCCAAATGACCACCGTGCTGGACGCCAACGTCCACAACCTCGCCGTGACGGGCAACTTTGACAATTGCCAGGTCAGTAATCACCACCCTTGACTTGAGGGTACATTGATGCTTACACCCCTTCTAGGATATCGTGAAGGCCCTTTTTGCCGATCCCGACATCAACTCGACCCACAAACTCGGCGCCGTCAACTCGATCAACTGGGCGCGCATCTTGGCCCAGATAGTCTATTACTTCCACTCGTACTTCTCCCTAGCCCGCCAACAGCCGGACTCCTTTAAGATCGGCGACAAGGTTCGCTACTCGGTCCCCTCGGGTAACTTCGGCGACATCCTGGCCGGCTATTTTGCCCACCGCATGGGCCTGCCCGTCGACAAGTTTGTCATCGCGACCAACGAGAACGACATCCTCGATCGGTTCTGGAAGACGGGCCGGTACGAGAAGCAGGCCAGCTACGGCTCCGCAGCCGAGGGCGGCCTCGAATCCGACGGCGTCAAGGCTCACGAGGACGGAGTCAAGGAGACCCTCTCCCCGGCCATGGACATCCTCGTGTCGTCCAACTTCGAGCGCCTGCTGTGGTTCCTCGCCTACGAGTTCGCGTCGAGCGCCGGCATGGACGACGAGTGGAACAAGAAGCAGGCCGGTCAGGAGGTGTCGTCATGGTTGGCCGATCTCAAGAACAAGGGCGGCTTCGGCCCCGTCTACAAGGACGTGCTCGAGACGGCCCGCCGCACCTTTGAGAGCGAGCGTGTCAGCGACCAGGAAACCCTCGATACCATCCGCGCCCTCTACAAGGACGTCGGCTATGTACTTGACCCCCACACCGCCGTCGGCGTCGAGGCCGCCAAGCGCTCCGCCACCCGCGCCACCCCTGATACCCCCATCATCTCGCTCTCTACCGCCCACCCGGCCAAGTTTGCTGGCGCCGTCACCCTCGCCCTCAAGGATGAGGAGGGCTTCGAGTTTGACGCCAAGGTGCTACCTCCGGAGTTCGTCGGGCTGGACAAGAAGGAGAAGAGGGTCAGGGATGTGGAGAACAACTGGAAGGCCGTGCGGGAGTTGGTTAAGGAGGAGGTTGAGGAGGAGCTGAAGGGAAAAAGGTAACGGGGCCTGTTTTTTGTGGGGGAAGGGTAATATGTGTGTATGATGGGGGTTGGCGGGGGGGGCGGATCATGATACCTATCTCTCTCGATTGGTCCGTGGTGCAGGCAGGGTTTTGCATAAATACTCTAGAGATGCTCCAAGAGCGAGCTGATGAGTTTGGTACATAGACGGCGCGCGACATATACAGGTAAAAAAATTCAAAACTTCAATGCCTAGATTATTCGTCAGTTGGGTATCCGACTGTGCCGTGAGCAATTCCATTCGCTGTTTAGGCTGTCCCGTTCTTGTCATCGAAAAGCACCGAGAGAGAGATACAGAGAAGGGGAAAAAGCGGAGTGAAAAAGGACCAAGTATGGGGTATCAGAATACCTGCCGCTCATTCCTCATTTTGGAGCCATGCATAATATACAACAGCAGGAGCAGCAACAACAACAACAGCAACAGCAACAACACACAAATAACCACGCAAGTCTACCCATTTGGCCGGCCGTCTCTTTCGTTTCTTTCGTCCCTCCTCCCACCACCAACCCCCCTCCCTCCCATACCACCAACTCACCAACCCTTGCCCGTAAAAACAACAACAGAAAGAAAAGAAACAACTACAGCTTGCGCCCCACCATCCAACCCCCACCCACCAGCAGCCCTAGTGTCAAAGACAAAAGGCAAAAGACAGCCTAAAGGAAGTAATCGCCCGCGCCGCGCCGCCCGCCGGGGATGTGGCGCTGGTCGTCGGGCACGGCCGAGAAGATGGAGAAGCGCGTGCTGGCGTCGAGGCGGCTGTCGGCCGTGGTCGACGGAACCGTCATGATGGAGGCCACGTTGCCGCAGCGGTAGCAGTAGTTGGGCGCCGACCAGACGGTGACGACGGATTTTTCGGGGAAGTGGAACTGGGGGGTGGGGTTAGTTTTGGTGTGTTGTTTTTTGGGGGGGTGGAAAAGGGGCGAAGGGGGGGAGAGGGTGGCTTACCTTGTACCCCTCGTTCACTAGCTGGTGGGCGCGGGCGATGGTCTGCAGGCCGTTGACGTGGTTGAACTCGGTGGCGACCTTGTAGCCGAACAGCCAGCCGGCGCCGCGCGGGCTGATGGCCCACGTCTCGATGTCCTCCGGGTCGCTCCAGACCAGGTCGCAGAAGGCGCCCTCGTGGGGGATCTCCTGCGCGCGCGCCACCACGCGGATCTGGTCGATGGTGCGGATCTCCGGGCTCAGCCCGCCGTGCACGCACAGCACCGTCCCGTCCACGATGGCCGCAAGCACGAGAAAGTCGAATACCTGGCAGCAGGCCTTCCATACCGACGCGTTCCCGTACTTCTGCTGGCACTCCTCGTAGAATCCGTACACCTGTGTTATTTGGCGCGACTCGTGGTTGCCGCGGACGAGGACTATCCTGTCGGGGTATCTGGGCGGCCGTTTGTTAGCAAGGGGTGCCACCGACGGACGGGAACCACGGATTCAAAGTCCCTCACTTTGCTTTCAGACACATGAGGAGCGTAAAGGTCTCCAAGCTGAAGTAGCCCCGGTCGACAAAGTCGCCGAGGAAGACAAAGCGGGTGTCGGCTGACTGCACGCCAGCATCGGCGGGTGGCGCGGAGTGTGCGGTTTCCTCTTGCGGCTCTATAATGGTGTCGTCGCCGCTGCCGCCGCCGCCGCCGTCGTTACCGGCCTCGCCCTCCCCCGCCGCCCCCGCATTTTTTACCATCGCCTTTAACTTCGGGTTCGTGATTTCTGTCGGCGGCTCAATGTCTTCAGACGAAATCACTGTTGTGCTCGTCATGGGCGCCTGGACATTCGACTCGCCGGGCATGCCACCGGCTACGCGGAACAGCTCCAGTAGGTCGTAGAACTGGCCGTGGATGTCGCCGCATATTGTGACGGGAGTGACGACGGGTTGAATGTTGGACTCCTCCATCAGAACCTCCTTGACCATCTCGCAGAGCTGCTTCATGACGTGCTCGGGTAGATAGTGACATTGCTTGGCTTCCTCGAGCCACTCGTCCAGCCCGGCGCCTGGCCGAAGGTTTGCCGGGCCTGGTTTTGGTACGGTGGTCATGGCGCTGGTGCGGTCGAAGGGAGGCGGCATTATTGGCGCGCCTGCGGTCGTGGTTCGACGGGAGGGTAGGCGTGGTGGGCGAACTGGGAGTTGGGTAGGTCGTTGGGTGGGGGCAGGGTGGTGCGTGCGGGTCTTTCGAGATTCAAGGACAACGACGACGAGGGGTTGGTGGAGTGCAAGCTAGACCTGACGGGACTGATAGCTCGATTAATAATTTGGGGGAAAATAATATATAAGAGAAATAGCGCTCGCCTCTGATATTTTTCGTCTTCAAATCTCTAATATTTACACAGCGATAAACAGTCTGGAAATCAAGAGTCGCAGGCCCCAGGAACAACAGGCTTCAGGGTGCAGTCAGCCAGTGTACAGACATAGGTAGCGAGGTACCTATGGTTGAGCCGAGATTTATGCGCCTCGAAAGGCGGTTCGAGGCCCCTCTTCGTCGCTTGTGCCTTGGGTTATGCCAAGAATTGCGGGCGGGTTGGTGGGCTGGATAAGGCCGCCCCACACCCTTATCGCCATTCGAGGTTCGAGTCCTCTGAGCTTTGAACAGTCGAGGCGCGCTCTTGCTCATCATTTATTTACCTACCTAAGTAGCCATCATTTCCCGACGCTCATTCACTCTTTACCATTACCAAACCTCGATATACCCCCCCCCGAACGCAAGATTCCCTCTTTGTGCGACGACAAAGACAAAGCGAGCAATCATTTGACAGCGGCACAAACGCAGCGTTCTCACTTTCGCCCATCGTCATTTTCCAACCTCCAAACCCCGCTAATCCCGCAGAAAGACGGCCATCTACAAAACCAACCAATCCACCTTACAAACCTGTGGAGGGATCAGGAGTCGACATGGCCACCCCCCAGCTGTTGTCGAGGAAAACAAATGGTGTAGTGGGCGGTCAATCCTCCAGCGATGCACCGAAAGCCCCGAGAACGAAAGCGCCAGCGCAGGGTGAGAAGGTGGTGGTCAGGCGCTTGCCGCCGGCAATGACCGAGGAGGAATTCATCACTATTTTGGGAGAGGAATGGAAAGTTGGGCGAGGCAAGGTCGATTGGTTCTCGTACTGGCCCGGGAAAGTATCGCAACAGTTAGTCAGGGCCCCCTAATATATGTCCTTTTACCATCATTAACTCGTATTCACCCTAGTCCGTCAAAACCATCCCAGCCGTCGCGAGCATATATCCACGTCACCAGGAGAGACGAACTGGTAGCCCTGCTCCAGCACGTGCAGTCGGCAACATGGGAGGACGCGAAGGAGACCTACAACGACCCTGCCCTGGTGTCACCGCCCACCGTCGAGTTCGCCACATACAAGAAGACGCCCGGAGAGAAGAAGCGTGTCGACGGGCGGCAAGGCACCATAGATCAAGACCCCGAGTTTATGGCATTCCTCGAGGCGCTAGCGAACCCAGATGCGCAGAAAGAGGCCCAGGAAGGCGATCAGGGCGTGGAAGAACTTGGTAAGACGGAGAAGACTACGACAACGCCATTGGTAGAATATCTTAAGGAAAAGAAGGCAGCCAGGGCTAAGGAGGTGGCAGCGGCGAAGAGCGCAAAGCATGCGCGTCAAGACTCGCAAGGGACAAAGGGTAAAGCCATTGCTACACCTACTGAGGAGCCCAAGAAGAGATCTCGAGATGGCAGGGCCGAGAAGGACAAGGCAACGGAAAAGGCGGCCGAGAGACCTAGAGAATCGGTCAAAATACTCACTAAGAAAGCCGCCGCCGCCGCAGAAGCTGCCGAGGCTGCAAAAGCTGTCGCCGCCCAGATGAAACCGACCCCTTCCTCAGGCTCGCAGTCCGGTGGCCAGGAGCCGCCGCCTAAGAGCCGCCGGGCGGGAATAGCGGCTGCGGCGCGGATTTTGCAACGCGATCTTGGCCTTAGCCCGGGCAACGCGCATCGCAAAGCCCGGCAAGAAGCCGCCAAGGCAGAGTCGGACACCAAGGCCCCGACCGCAAAAGAGAATACAAAACCGGGCCCACCGGCCGGCCCCGAGCCCGCGCCGCCTCCTACTCCAACTGAGCCCCCGGCATCGCCTGCTCTGTCGAAAACGCAGCCGTCCGCTTCGAACAGGTCCCGGAATAGAAAACGCGGGGTTGGTGACGACGGCACGAAGGGTAAAGGGGAAAACGGTGGCGGGAAAGCCGCGGAAACCTCAGCAACCTCGGCCCTAACACCAGCAAAGACGCCTATCACGGTATTGAAAAAGAGGGATACCCAGCAAGCTTCATCACCACAACCCGCACCCACCCCTCCCCCGGCGGGGCCCTCCAAGACAACCCCGTCAACTCAAGCAGCGACAGCAGCCCCTCCCTCGGGGCCCAAGTCTGCATCACAAAAGCAAATCGGGGCTTCTAAAAAGGCAAACGCCCTGGCTACGCCGTCCTCGGGCGCTACTCGCGCTTTTATCAAGCATGCCAATCATTCTCAAGGAGTTACCGATGCCTCTTCTCAGGGAGAGCCTCCAGGTATTCGGCGCTGTGACGAACGTGGAGATTGACTGCAAGAAGGGGTTTGCCTACGTCGACTTTGCTGAGCTCAGCGGACTCATCAAGGCCATGGCTGCTAGCTCAGTGTCGGTTGCGCAAGCCACGGTACAAGTTCTCGAGCGGAAGGAGATGGGCAAGAATGGGGACAGGTTCGGGTTCAGCATCAGGCCCAGCCCAAGGGAAGAACCCACCTGCATCGGCCGCCGCGCCGCACCCTGCCCCGTCTGCGGCGAAGACGCAGGCCACTCCAGCCGCGGAGCCGAATTCGGCGCCCTCGACCCCGGTTTCCACTAGGCCGGCAACGGAGAAGGCGGGCGGGGAGCAGAGCAAGCGAGGAGGGAGGAGGCGCGGCGGGAGGGGGAGGGGCGACAAGGACGCTAAGGAGTCGCCCAAGGACGGCGGCGCGAAGAAGGGTGACGGTGGGGGTGGCTCTACGGCGCCGCCGGCGACCAGTTGAGGGGTTGCTTGGGTCCCCGCTGGGATCTACACATAGCGTGGGCTAGTTTGAGCTTGTTACGGTTTGACGCGGGATTTTGCGCCTGCGGCAATTATCGGGCCATATCATGAGCGATTTGAATTTTGGGGGGGCATTTTCTCCCCAACCAAGCCGAACCTGATAATACATACACCTTTCGCCAAGTTCACTGCCACCGTCCAAAGCCGCACATTGCTTTCATGGAGGTAGAAGATAAGGGCCCGTAGGTTGACCAAGTATCTCGAATAAACACACCAGCCCCAGACCGAAACGAGCAGCTCCCTCCCTCCCCCAATCCCCCAGTAGCTGCTTACCCATCCGCCAGAGCCTTGCTGTGCCCCCCAAGCTAAAGCTGCTGACACCAGCACCAAGCCGAGACAAGATACAAGACTAGACAAGACGAGACGAGACGAGATGAGAGAAGGGAATCTCATTTCCTGCGTGCACTACATACTGCACCACCCCCGACGCCCCCCCGATTTCCCACCTGTGCTCTGTAACCTTTGCCCTGCCTGCCCTGTGTCTTGTGACTATCCGGACGGGTGGGAAGGGATAGGATGGGATGAGAGGGATGAGAGGGAATCCCACCCATCCCATCCCATCATCATTATTATTATCAATCATCCCACCCGTCGTTGCGGGCGGCGCGCAAAAATGTGGGTGTCGGGCTTGCAGGAGCTCGGGAGCTTGGATATGCGGGGTTATCCATGTGTGTTTGTGTGACGGGGGAGGGGGGGGCGCTGTCCCGGGAAGCTGGGACGGCGTGTTCGTGAGCAGGGCGGCGCGGGTGGGCTGAGGTGACGGAGGGGTGGAAGAGGGCGTTGTATGTTGTGTGCCGGGTGTGTGTGCGTGTGTGTGTTGTGTGGAGGGAAGGGGGTGGGGATGGCTGGGTACGATGGGTCGGTTTATTCCAAGCTCTTCTTCCTCCGTGCCTATACATAGCCGGAAGTGCTAGTGATTATTACACAGTAGCTCCCTCCCTGATAGGGGGATTTGGTTGATGAAATTCCATGGTTGGTTGGCCTTGATCCTGGGGTCGAGCTTCCCGCTTACGTCCAGTCCAGTCTGTCCCGGCGAGGCCGATCGGGGCATAAACTTGGCAAGCGGCTAGCAGGAACACGGAGGCTTAACGAGGACATCCTTGGATTATGATAGATACCTTGGGATAGAAGCCCGTAGGATGCAGGGGGTGTTTGGATGTAGACCGTGGTGTATGGGGAGATAGTTGTTGTTTCGAGTTGCTTGCCGTGACATTAATTAACCAAGGGGCACAGCTTGATACGATCATCCATCCACATCACCATGTCAGCGGCGAGGAGCGGAAGAAGGCTACCCCCCAATGCATGGATGTCTGTTTCCCATCGTTCGGCAGCATGGCATCAACATGAATGGCATCGGTGGATCTGGTTGCTTTCAAAAAAGTGCATTTCAACTCCTGCGAGTCGTGGTCGCATCTATAATCCCAATCCCCATGTTCCCACCCGTCCAATGCCAACGGCATGATACAAAACCGAACAACATTGATTGTCGTACAAAAACGCAAGCCGTTGCCGTGGGGACAAGACGAGACATGACAAAAAAGGAAAAAGTCTATCTAAGCTCTATCGATGCAACCCAAAAAAAAAAAATGATCCCGTATACCCTTTGCTTTCCCTGCAAGTGATCCATTCATCAATGCCTACCCAGACCCGATGATGTTGAACCGATTCCATCTTTCCGTCCCGTCGTCTCCACCGTACATGCCAAAACGTAATTGTGATTTGATACAACACAATAAACAACAACAGCAACAACTACAACAACAAAGGGGGTATATGCGGGAAGAAACATCCAAGAAGAGAAGAGGCAACAAGAGAGAAACATGTGACAAAAAGAAAACAATACCAATGAAAACCTGCAGCCAAGGTGGACTCGGAACCCACGTTGTTGTGGAAACTGCGGGGTGCGGCCACACCCGCCGGATGGAGTCGTCGGTGGGGCCTCCCGAGCCGCGCCGACGCCATGGAAACATGTTCCCGCCGGGAGTGGAGCAGCAAAGGTTCCCCATGCGATATATTGGACGAGGCGAGATGCGGTCCGCTTAGTGAAAGCCGTGCTCGGCCCAGCAAGGCGCGATCTGCTGATTTTGTTCCGAAAAGGGTTGTGGCTGACGGCGAGCTGAATGCGGCGCAGAGATAAGCGCCACCCTGGTCGGGTTTGTTGAATTTGCCGAAAAAAGGGGAGGCCGCTCGGGGGGTTTCCAAATTTTGTGTGGTGCGTGGTGGTGTGGTGCTGTGATGTGACATTGGGGTTCCGGAAGAATGTGGGGCTGCGTTGGGCAGCGACGAAGCAGAAAAAAAAAAAAAACGCGGCCCGATGGGAAGCAAACCGGAATTGGCAGGAATTGGTCGCATCTGCCACGCTCGCAGCAGCACATCGCAGGGCTGCAGGAGGAAGCTATGTTTGGTGCAGGTACCGCCAATCGGCGCCTCGCTGTGAGGAATGCAAGACCGGGACCAACCGAATATCAGGTTTTGCCGCCGCTTTTGTCGCGTGCTAGGCCATCCATCGCGGGTGGATTACCTCGCGTGCCGGGTAGACCGGGGAAGAGGGTGGGCGTAGGCGGGATCTTCGTCGTCCGCTGCGCCGTAGTTGTTGTAGTCGTCGGCGACGTAGACGGCGGGGTGGAGCGAGCGCGGTAAGGTCTCGCGGATGCTCGCGTAGGCGGGAGTGGAAGAGTAGGCAGTCGGCGCGGTGGACGCCGGGTATGCCGAGTATGGCCGTGACGGGGAAGCGGGAACCGCGGCCACAGGCCTCGGAGCGCCGTGGCCGAGGGGCTCAATGTAGCTGCTCTCGTGGCGGCCGCGCTGACTCTTGGTGGCCGTCGTGCTGCTCTTGGCGTCGCTCTCGTCGCCGCGCGTGTCGAAGCGCTTGCGCAGGCGATCTGTCTCTTCCTGGAGGGCGCGCTGGCTCTCCTTGTGCCGCTCGCGATCGCGCTCCTTGTCCCGTTCCTTATCCCGGCCACGGTCGCGCTCCTTCTCCTTCTCGGGTCTCGAAGACGGGTCCTTACGGCGCTTGCTGGCGCTGCGGCGCACCTTCTTCTCGTCGGAGGATTCGGAGGCGGTGGCGCTGGAGGCCGAGGGCGAGGAGGCGCCACTGCTCTTGCGGTTGGCCTTCTTCAGGTCTTTGACCGTCTCCTGGAGTTGGGCGTTCTGCTCGACGAGCTCCTTGTTGGTCTTGGTGAGCGCCTCCTTGGCCTGGTTGGCGATTTCCATCTCGTTGGTCAATGCGCGCATGCGCGCCTTGGTCTGCTCGAAGTCATTGCGGACCTCCTTGAGCTTCTCCTCGGCGTCCTCGGCGCGCGCCCGCCATTTTTCGCTCTCCTGGCGAGCCGTGTCGAGGGCCTGGCGGATGCTGTAGAGGCCTTGGTCCTCGAAGCCCGGGGCGAGGTAGTCGTGATCGGGGTTGGAGGCGCGGCTCTCGCAGTCGCTGAAACCCGAGTCGCTCCGTTGGTGGTCGTAGCCGTTGGGCGAGGCCCTCCGGAATTTGACGCTTCTGCTGCTCATATCGGCAGTAGAGCGCTGCTGATGCGCGAGGCTGGGACTGGATGTAGGCTAAAGCAGCAGGAGAAGATGTGTTGTGTGCTGATTTGACAGTGGGTGTGAGGAGCGCGCTGCACCGGTGCCCGACTGGCAGGGAGGGTATATAAGTGAGAAAAAAACTTGTGCGGGCTGGGCCAAGGGGTAAAATTGGGCTGCAGCCGGGAACGACAGGGGGCGGAACGGGTGGGAGCAAGGCTGGGCGAGGAATGCTAAGTGGTTTCGGGTTGGGCGTCAATCGTATGGGTAGAAAGAGAAACAAGGTTGGTATCACCCTTTGGGGCGGGGAACGAATTTCGCTTGTTTGGGAGGATGGAATGTCCTGTGCAAAATCCGGAAGATGGGGGGAATGAAGAATATAAAGGAGCAGGCAGAAAAAGGCAGACCGACTGTCGGATTGTTGGACAACCACCAGTTTTAATTACCAGTTATTTTTGATCCAGGACTTTCTTGGGGGTTTGGAGGATGCGGCTGTTCCTTTCATGACAATGCGAGGAGGGCAATGCAAAAAAAAAAGCGGCCGCTGGAGAGTGCCCCGGAGATGGAAAGGAGGGGAGGGCCCGGAGATGGGAGGGGGGGGGGGGGGGTCGAGATATCAAATCTTTCGGGAAACATGAAAGAGGTGGGTGGTGGTGCGTCAACAGGCACGCGGAGAGCAATTGGAGTCATGGCAGAACTAACTCTAGGCACCCCGGCCGCCGCAAGGCTCACCGAGGACCAGAGGCCTGGAACTTCGCCGTGGACTTCTGGCGGCTGGCTGTCCTACGCGTCCTCTCGAAGCAGGAGGGAAAGAGGGCACGACTGCGGCAGTGCTGCACTCCTCCCAACAACACCTGGCGCCTCTGGCTTTCCCACAAGGCATCCTGGGGGGTTCTGGGAGTCTGGGCAGGAGCCCCACACATAGTGCCAAGATTCCATCCGGATGCCTCCTTCCACCGAAAAATTTGTGTTTTGCCGTAAAAACTGGGTTGTGTGGAAATTGCACCCTTGCGGTCTCGGCAGCACCTCGCTGTCTTGGGAAGAATGGCCCAGGGTTGTCCGGGTGTTGTACGACAGTTCTCTGTTCTCCCGGCGTTCCAGCCGTCGCCATCCGCAACAGTTTTGACAGACTGGCAGGCAAGGTTGCTGCCAGCAATGCCCGCTGTGACTTCGTAATTGAATCTGGATGACCACATCGAAAGTTGTCGGTTTTGGTTTGCTGGTCTGCAAATCCCCAAACTGCCCGGGTCCCACGTCAACGAATAAACGTGGCCCGAACTGCTCACCTGGCGCTTGTTGGCGGTCGCGGGCCGGTGAGTCACTCCCTGGTATTCTCTGCGTCTGGCCAAATTGGGGTACCCAGGGGGCTTACCCGATGCCGACAAGTCGTCCAAGTCCTGGCTCTTCAGGCAAGGACCGAAGCGCGCATCTGGTGGGTTCCCGACCACTCATCGGATCTTGTCCACCACACCATCAACACCAGACGATGATGGGTGGTAGTCGTCTTGTCTCCCCCCCCATCCTTCCCGCATTTTGGTGGTCTTGCAGGTGAGGCCCTTCATGGCCTTCCCCAATGCGGAACCCTTCAAGCTGTCAAGAGACGCCCTGTCTATCGACACCCCCCAAGCCCAAGCCTGGGCGCATCTGAAACGGTGCAAGCCATCATCTTTCTTCTCGCAGCTTCGTGAGACTTCGACAGCGGCGTGCCGATGATTTGGTAAACCGATCTAGCTGCTGCCTCCTCGATAGCGCAGTCTAGTTCTCTTGCTGCGGGTAATCACGTCATCGGTATCTGGGCGAGCCCGGATGTCCTGCTGCACATCATGGCGGTTATTCAGATTCAGGGTCAGTGCAGTAGTTACTTCGTAGTTATGGAGTGCCTGGGTATTCATCCAAACAGGCAACATCGAAGAATGGGACGAACGATGCGGGTCCAGCCCTACCACACAAGCAATCCCCAACTACTCCACCGCGGACGGACAAACTGGAGACGGGGCCACTCAAACCCACCACCCTTCGCCGAGAACGTCGAAGCAGTGGAGGAGGCATGGCGGGATTCTGCACTACTGACGAGCCGGTGAGGTTGCCGCCATGGGGATCCACCATGCTCAGCAGCGATGGGGACCCTCTCTCATGGGTCGGTCCAGTCACGAGGAGCGCTCCGACGGGTTGAGTCCGAAACCGGCCAACCCACAGCAAAATCGGGAGAGCCAAGTTCGGGGAGCTCAGGGGAGATGCCGGCTTTGCTTGTTCGCCGCCGTCGCAGACGATCATTGTGGATTGGCGCTAGTTACTTGAAGCGCTCTGCGCTGCAGTCACCCACCAAGTCGCGGCCGCCCAGTCAGGCATCAACCTCAAGACTGCGGGGCCGCTGCAGGCTCTTTATCGAGGTTGTGCTCAGATGAGCATTTGAGTTTGGTGTGGAGGGGCAGATCAGTCCACGATGCGCAGGCAGACGGGAGACTTGTCCGCTCTCCGCTATTGCGCACCCGGGGGCAACCGCAACAACAACACGGCAGGATGCGGAGCCTTGGGAAATCATATCTCCTTTACCCGGCTGGCATTATTGGACAATGGCAACATCTTGAGAACAGAAACCGGAGGCCGGTGACGGGGCGGCAGCCGGGCCGGTTGCTCGGTTGATGAAGGCGAGAATTTCCCGTCTGATAAAGCACCACCCCCCCCCCTTCAAGACTCGAAAACCACCCCTCAACACCAAAACCTGTGCGGGGGAGGGGCCGAGGGTGTGTGTCTTGGCACACGGAAACGGAGATCTCTCCGCCAAGCTTCCTGGCCAAGCCTCTGTCCAGAGACTGCGCAGCAGTGCGCAGGCAGTGCGCGCACCGCAAGAGGTAAATGGTGCAGCGAGAAAGAGGGAAGAAGTAGGGGGCTTGTACGAGTTAAACGCAAAACGATCTGATCCGGATGTAGCTAGCGTGCTAAGGCCCTATAGGCCCAGTGCCTCCGGGCGAAATAAATTCCATCCATCCATCCAGTGCGCGCACCACTGCCGGTCTGATGCCGTCGCCACCTGCGAAGTAAGGTACATACCGGGGACCCCTTGAACCCGATTTATTGGCCGGAAAGACATGTTTCGGCGCCGGAGCGCCAAAGCAACGGTTTGACACCTTGCTTCGCTCATCGCCAAGACACGCGGCCATCTTTCGTCATACGGTCCAGGGTTGAGAACACCGGGGACCGATGCTGCGGCAGAGTGCGTCGACGAGAGCGCCGCCATGCCGTGGAGCACGGTGAACCAAGACAAGAACCCGGGCATCCGGAGCTTGGAACGGCGACTCTCGGTTAAGTCGCGAGACAACCTCCGACAAGACAAGACAGCCGCCATAGAAAGTAAGGCAAGGCAACAGAGAGACAAAACGAGTTGATTATCTCAAACCGTCCAGCCTGGCACAAGAACTCTGCATCCATCTCGTCGGCGATCCCGGCCACATAACTCGGGACAACAGCTAGAAAAGGAAGGGAAATCTCCTAAACCGATCAATCTCGTTCCGGCTCACCTGGCAAGCCTGGCCACCGAGGCCACCAAGGTGGGAGCGGTCGGCAACTGCGCGGGCAGTATCGACGTACCAACGAGATACGTACCTTCAGATCTGAACCAGTAGAAGACAACCTGGAGAGAACCGAGAAGGCAGGGCCGGACCGCACGCCTTGCCCCGCTTTATCCGCCAAGCAGACATGGAACAATTTATATAGGATATGTGGTACGTGGTACGTGGTACTTGGGAGTTTACGACCCAAACAGGACGAGCCTCACTTAGACGCCACAGGAAACATGAAACGGGACGAGACCCCGAGGCCAGATGCGCCGTCATGGCTCGGCGAAGGAACAAAGGCCACCACCACCACCACCATGGCACGCGCCCTTTTTCGCGCATCACTTTGCGACAACACAGCTAACTGTCATGACCGAATCCTGACCAAGCAACTGGGCAAGGAAGGAACCAAGCAAGCAAGCAAGCCACCATGCCTGCAAGACGCACACGTGTAAGTTCCATGTCAAGAAAAAAGGATTCAATACACGCCGCATTCCGTAATCACCACCTTCTTCGCTTTTGGGTTTGCCACCCCGCCGCCGCTCTTCCCTGCCGAGGCCGGGGTAGGGTGGCAGGGTAAAGCAGCCAGTCGGTGGCGTCTAGCGAACTGTCCATTTTTGCTTGCGCAAGGCTGCAATGTAAGGTATGTTGGTGACTCTGCTGCAGTCCCGCACCGCACCGCATGCGTGTATGTATACCTCCCTACCTAAGGTCGGTAGGTAGGTAGGTAGGTAGGTAGGTATGTATGTTTGTATGTACAGATCACATACGTATCATCCAATATGCCCACCCTTGTCTAACAAAGCAGCAACAAGCTCCATGACTTGCATGCACGTGGTGAGACAGGCATGTATGTACCTAGTGTAGGTACGCCAGCGGGGCGGCGAGGGGATATTTCGGGCATGGAAAGTTTGGGGTGGTAGTGAGAGTTCAAACCTAGGTCTATTGTTTCAATCTGCTTTTTTATGGGTTTGTGTGCCATGTCGATTTCTTCTCTGTGTTGGAACGGGAGATATCTCTATGATCATTTGGAACCGGAACCCCTGGTCGGTCACAGTCTGAGTTGCCTTGGTGAAGGTTCAGTTGTTTGGTGGCCATTCTTTGTTGCTGCTGGTATGAATGCTGATGACGGTGCATAAAAGTAGAAAACAATGTTAAAAAGTAAAGTAAAGAAGATAAAAGTTCTTGATCCAAAGATAAGAAACACACTCGGGAATTCCAAGCCAAACAGAATGCCAACCCAACCCAACTTCAACCGAATCCAAGCCGCCCATATCCCCCTGCTCTACCACAAAAGAAAATCCCATTGGTATCGCTGAAGCCCCGAACCAAGCATTCGCCGATGCCGTTTGTTTGCTTCCCAAGACCGAATCCGGAACCCCCCCCCCCTCCCCTTTTCCCTTTCCCTGCCCCTGAGAATTCCCCAACCATACCCATGTTGCGAAGTCAAAATCGATAGTGATAATACAGGTAGCTCCGAGTCTAGTGCCCAGCCGTTTGCGGCGGGTAGACCGAGACAAAGAAGATGATGGTAGATTGTGGATTAGAATAAACGTCCTTTTGTTTGGAAGGGGGGTGAGGGCGATGGTGATGTGATGTGGTGGTGGTGGTGCCAGAATGCCGTATCCGTATGCTGGTATTTTGTGCGTAACTTGTACAGGCTGTGAAGAGAAAAGAAATGATGCCCTTTTTTTGTCTGGTTTCTTTATTGTTGCTGGTGCTGTTGTTCTGGTCGTCCGCCCTTGACCTCTGAGTGGGAGCTTGGCTGATCTGATGTCAGGCGGGACTAGAACTGGGAAAGAGGCTAACGATTCTTAACGGCGGCAGCGGTGCTAGCGGGTGGTGTATGTATGGCACTTAGTAGTGCCGACGGCGGAGGCGTTCCTCGAGCTCGCGGCCGCGGCGGAGGGTGGCGTTCTCTTGCTCTAGACGGTCCCTGGCGGCCTCGACGAGGATGATGTTCTGGCGCATTCTCTCAATGCGGCGCTGGGCGTCTTCTTCGCGGCGCTTGGTCTCGTCGTATACCGTCTTGACGTCCTCGTAGAGCTTGCGCCAGTTGCCCGCCTTGCTCTTCCACTCGGCTAGCTTGGTCCTGAGCTCGCTGGCCTCGACCTCGAGCTTGGCGTACTTCTTACGCAGCTTGGAGTCCTTCCGCGCCTCGTTGTTGTCCGATGTGTAGTCCGAGGACCGCCGCAGCTCGCGGTTCTCCCGCTGGAGCTCCGCGTTCTCGCGCCGGACCTGGTCCGCCCAGGCCCTCGTCGACTCGAGATCCCGCAGCTCGATGGTGAGGTATTGGTTCTCTCTCAACAGCTGCTCGTAGGCCTCCCGCCCGACTACCCGCTCGCGGCCCTGCATGTCGGCGTCGTCGTAGATGCTGTGGACCCGGTCCGCGCTGAGGCTTCGCCGGCGGTTCTGGCTGTGGCCCCTCGTGCGCCGCGTCTGGGTTTCCGTTTCCCGGACCTCGTCTTCAAAGTAGACCCGGCGGGAGCGGCTAGTCATGTGAAAGCGTATTAGGTTCTCGTCAGTGCCGTGGTTGATGTATGTTGATGGCTGTTGATAGCTGTTGAGCGTGTGATGGGTGATGGTCTTGGTGATGTCTCGGCGGTTATTGGTGTTTGTGTGTGCTTGTGGTGTGCGTGTGCTTGTGCGTGGGTGTATGTGCGTGTGTTGCAAGTCGTATGATGAGAAGAGAGACGTGGAGAGACAAGGGGAGGGTCTAGGGTATTAAGTAGATAGACACCAAAGACGTTGAAGGAGGAGGCCTGATAAGGCTGAGTGGGGAGGTCCATGGGTGGGGAGCATCCTGGTTTGTGTGCCTGCAACCGATCTTGCATAGGTAGGTAGGTTGTAGGGATGTGTGACCATTAACGCATTGGAAGTAGCCCGGGGTCTTGTTCAAGCGGCCGGGAGAGGCTTGATCTAACCAAGGTACCCAGGCACGAGTTATGGCGAGACTTCTCATCCATGGGAGCGTGGGTACGGGGGGACAGCCAGCGAGGGCGTGTAACGACGGCGCAGAATACTTAAACCACGTGGGGTGCACTAGCACGGCCACGCCAGGTTGAACTCGAGACTTGACAGACTGAGCAGGTCGGAAGCAGAGAGTTAGTCATGGGGGACACAACCTCAGTCCTAGATGCAGCCGGAGCGGCCGCTACTAGACAGACACCACCCACCCCTGGTTGCCCCGGCTTTCGGGAGAAATGGACCTTGATGTCTGGTATCTCGTTGCCTGCTGCGAGAACGGAACTGTTAAGGGAGGCCAAATTATGAAGTTTGACTAGGGCAAGTGAATGGCTGAGGTGAGGTTCTCCCACAAGGTTAGAATCAGTACCCCGTGGTGCGCGAGCCCTGCGAGTGTTTCCGGGACGAGGCCGCATGGGAGGCCGCGGGTACGGCACAGTCAAGCGAGGAAAGAGAGAATGTGTATGTGTGTACATATGTAAGGTATGCATGTGTGTCAAGCATTGCAGGGTTACCATCTAGGATTTTAGTTAGCTTAGCCCGATGCTGTACTGTGCATGGAGGGGCAATGGAGTGGCAGAGCCTACTCTTTCCACGGGAAACAGCCGGTGGTCCTCCGGGAAGGGGATGGATGGTGCAACGGCGCTGACAGAGCAGGTGTAACCAAGGAGAGGGAGAGAGAGGGAGGGAGATGGCGGCTGTGCGCTTGACGGAGTGGAGAGAACGCGGCAAACCTGCCCACCATCCCCGGAAAGGGAACTGCTGAACCCCAATCGTGCCCCGTGGAATTGACAAAGCTCCACATACGCCGGGAAATTAAGTACTGTGTATCCATTCGCCAGCCAGACGCCGACAGCCATTCAAACTCGGCAGTCTGAGTTCGGATTGGATGGGGGAGGCCTGCTCCGTGCGCTGCGCTGCCAAGGGGAACAGGGGAAATCAAGGAGTCAGGGGTCAAGGGAGCAGGGGGTTCAGGGGTCTGGGGCCAGACTCTTTTTTTGTTCTTTTACACCACACAGCACAATGTGCCCCGCTGTTTCTTCCTTTGCTCTGCTTTCTCGGACTCTGTTTTGAAAGAATCCTGCCTTGCGGCCTTCCTTGTCGGCCGCTGGTGTATGTGTCAGCACCCTCAATGCGGCGACGCGCCATCTCCCGAGGGCGTTTTTCTTTGTTTATCTCGTCCCGCTGTGGTCACACGTCGAGAACACAAGGAGATATCATGCGGTGGCCATTCCTACCCAGCAGATCTGTTCTGCCGCGTACGGACGGCATGGATGCAGACACAATTGTGCCACCGGGAGGATTCAACGGGGTTGAGGGGGGAGAGGGGGGGAGCATGGACTCGGTGCGAGGCTTTGGTGTGTGAGCCTTGGGGTGCTCAGCCTCAGCCGCGGCTGGACGTTGACGTATTGGGCCTATTTCCTACTGTGTATGTTCACATTCCTTTTCCTTGGTCCATCCGACGAGGCTACGCCTACAGATCGAGCAGACCGCAAAGTCCTGCTGTGCCGTTGCCACACATATCATCAGCCGAGCAAGGAATGACAGGCAAAAAAGAAGAGGCCGCCTCATCGTCGATTTTTCGCACACACCCCCGTCTTCTCCGTCTCCGTCTCTCTTTCCTGTCGCGGGTGACGTCGTTTCTTCACAGACAAGAATTGTTTCAAGACCCCGATAGTTCGGTCCTTGTTTACGACCCGAAGACACTCACTGGCTTGTGGTCTCGTTGACTGATCTCACCATGCACAGCCACCTCTCTTCTCTGCCCTTCTCTAACACTCTCTGCCGTTCTGTGAGAAGTTTCTTGGCCCTGTGACCCTTGAAGTGGGCTTGACGACCTTGAGTTGCCAACACAACGACCCCCGATCGACGGTTGCCCGGTTTCTATCCCCGTTTCCCCCCGATCCTTCGTCATTTGACATGTCGTACCGGACCGGACAGGCATGCCATCACACAGCAGCTTTGCTCTTTTGACGTCAGCCGACTGTTTCGTTTCTGTTTCTTGTTTGCCGTTCCGTCTTCGCCCGCAAGGCGGAACACGGGGCTAAGGGACGGGGGGCGGGAGGATGGATGTGAAGTGGATGGATCAATAACACCAACCGACGGCATGGAAACCGTTCCAAGGTCATATCGAGCCCAGAAGACCACGCACTATACTGATCATCAGCACCTGGCGCGACTTGGGCTCCGTGCATGACTCTCGCCGCCCAGAGGGCCAACCGCACCGATGCTCCCTCGGCAAGCTCCTGTTAGCACAGCTCACCGAACCCTTGGTCATACCGGTCGCCTCCATCACTCCAGAGCATAATGACGGCGACCCATACGCGTCACCAGCCCGGTGTACATTCTCGTTGCCTGGTCTGTGGTCTGGCCGGCCCTTTCACCCCGCCCCCCCCCCCCTCCCCTCCCCTCCTGCAACGGCCAGCAGGGGTCCCTGATGGCCACCCAACCCATGGGGGTACGGAAAGGAACAACGTTTGGTCCATTGACCACTCTGGAAGGGGCGGAGTCTCCGAGGGCATGCTATCCCCGTTCCTATCCCCATCCCACTTCCACCTCCACCCCTCTGCGCGAGCAGCCCGTCGGCGCGCAAGGCAACCAACTGCCTGCTATGCCCACCCGCCAGGGCGTGACGTACGGCCGGCGGTCTTCGGCTCAAAACCACGCATGCATCTAACCCGCCGTGGTCCGCGGACGGCCTGCGGGGGAGCGAGCAGCCAGGCTTCGCGCCGCCACCACCGCCATCGAACCCCCCTCCTCTCCCCTCCCCTTGTCCGCCGTTTCGTTTCCCGAATGGAACGGTGTGTACTGAACTCCAGGCGCAAGGGCAGCTCACGCCCATTCTTGCTCCTCCCGGCTGGCCCTCAAGCTGCGTATTCTAGCCAGGTAGGTGGTAGGTGGGTGGGTGCCAGGCAGGCACGCTCGCCCGGCCCATTGTCCCACAAAGAAGGGGCCGCTGTTGCAAGACACCTCGGCGCCCCGAGGGGAGGTTTCTGTTGGGGCCTTTAGGGGCGGTCTGTCAGCGGTTGTTCGCCACACTTTGTTGAGTACCCGCCGGTGTGTGTGGTGTTGTGTGCGTATGCACCACACGGCTAGGCAGGCAACACGTCGGAGCCAGACCAAACTTCCTCCCCCCTCCCCCTCCCAACCGAAACCCAACCCGCGGGTTGATGTTGTCCAAGAAATCCCGATGTCGGTGCACTCGACTCGTCTCGTCTCGCCACCAACCCACCCATCGCCTCAGAGGATGCCCGAAGTCCCTCCTTGCTATCGTGGCTCTGGTCGAGGGAGCGTGTTAATTCTCACCCGAATCGTCTTTTGTTGTCACGGGGCCGCCTCTGATGCGGTATGGATAGCTACACCCGTCCCCTGGGTTTCGACTAGGCCCCGAGGCCCCGAACAGGGATAAGACACAGAAAGGCGGAACGGGGCCACGGCCTGCATGTATCATCATTACTATTCACCATTATCCACTCTGGCGGTGTCGTCGCCGTATTACCATATCGCCGTATCGTCTATGAGAACAATCTAAAACCCTCTATATGGCAAAAAAAAAAAAAAAAAAAAAAAGAGAAGAAAAGAAAGAAAGAAACGCACCTTGCTGATAAACCACTTGATCTCCGGTGATGATTCGTCAAGGCGGTAGCCAAAACTCGATGGGGCCTCCTTCTTCTTGACCCCGTCTTGGGCCGGCTGGATTTCCAAGCGCTGCTTGTTCTCGTCTTGGACCAGTTGGATTCCCCTCAAGCAGGTGCCCTTCTTGACGGCAATTTCCCTACGGAAAGGGCGTGGTCAGTACAAAGTATCCCGGTCAAGCCTCTCCGGACAAGTCCTCACCCCTCATCGTAGGTGAAGACAACCTTGTCTCCAAACCGGCGTCGTAGCTCGGCTTGGACCAGGACGTTGCGCCCAGAACCGCCCACTACGACGATCCGCTACATGATAAGCCCTTGTTAGTTGCCGACCGAGCAAGCATAATAACCACTACGGTTGGGCCAATGAGTTGATGGTGGCCAACCCTGTTCAGACGTACCGCTACTTGATGGGCAGCCTGCACTTGCTCTTCAGCGAAAGTTGCAATCTTCTCGACAGTGGGTAGAAGTGATTTCTTCATATTAGCCCTAGAGTGAACGACCATGTTAGTTGATTCCGAAGCAGTTGCGGTTTGGTGAAGGTGGGATGGACCGTTGAAGGGGAAAAGGGGGGGGGGGGGCTCACTTTGTTATCCTCACAGCCGTGGAGCCATTCCCGCCTGTATGCGGAGCGTCCAGCCAGATTTTGCCATGATGATCTTCGGTCCAGATGCTGTCAATTCTCCTCTCCAGGATTTCCCACTCTTGGTCGATATTGGAATCCAGTGCGGCGTGGTCAAGTAACCAATGGTTATGGCCCATCTGAGCCTTGACGTTCTGCTTGGTGAGAGAGACGAAGGCGCTTTTCATGAAGATGGAGCCAAGAAACCTTCCTTTCTGGGGCCACGCACTCCTTAGGTTCCACGTGGTTCGGCGAGAGGGACTTGAGCTTGTACGCAACATAATCCTGGGGACAACGGACCGACCTGTTAGCCGATCACCCAGCCAAGTACCAGAGGGTGCCTGCGGAGGGTGAAGTGGCAATGGGGCAGGGAAATAGACTTACAACGGTACCGCCGCCGCAGTCGAGGATGAGGACTTCGTCGTTGACCTAGAAGGCGCGTCAGTCGATGTCTTCTCAACAAGGCCGTCAAACGACTGGGCAGGGTACTTTCTATGGGAGAGGCCGGGTAATGTGGAAAGGGGACACGTACGTTAAGCCCTTCATCGCGGACCACGTCGGGGAGTGCAGCCAAGGCGGCAGCCACTGGCTCCGCGACAAAGTCAAGAGCGGCAGGTGAACGACAACCGAATGCAAGAATGCCGGATTTCTTGATGGCCTCTCTCATCTTGTTAGCATCCTGCTTCCAGACAGCTGGGATGCCAAATATGAAGCGTGCTTCCACCTGGTGACGTCGGAGCTGATTGTCGCTCAAGTAATCCTCCACGCGCCAGGATCCATAATCCCATAGGCACTTGATGTACTCGGCCATCGCGTCAATCTCGGGGTGGCGAGCGATCTTGTCAAGGGGCAGCCGTATGACCTCATGACCCTGTGGATGATCCTGGTCGCAAAGTTCAACAGAACTCAGCATGGAGAGCTTCATGAGTGTGAACTTGTTCTCGTCGTCTGTGATGCCCCTGCCGTAGGTATAGCCGGACTCGTCGAGACCCAACTCGGTCGGTTCTAGATCGAACGGTGGCTCACCGTTTGTACCTCCTCGTAGCCTTATCAGTTTTGGCTCCTGGGGGTTGTTGGTCGCACCAGGGTCTAACAAGCAACATGAAATGCCGCTGGTTTTGTGCGGGGATAATAAATCAGCTACCGGGCTCGGGATGGGAAGGGGAAGGGGTTGAAACTCACGAGACGCCAATGTCGACACCGACGATGAGAATATGAGCCGGTCCCATCCCGTCGTTGAGAGGGGCTGCGCGTGGTGCTGAAGGTGGCTTTTCGGGCTGCGTAGATGCCGAGCGAGGTGCGGAGGTCGAGGAGAAGTTCTGGTAGGGATTGTGGCGAAGGGCGAACAACGGATGAGAGTCTAGAACTCTAGATGCCCGCAGCAGGAATGGAAGGAGTTCGATGGGAAGTTCTGGCAGAGGGTCGAGCAATAAACGATCGGGCGGTTGAGGAGCTTGAGATGAGAATAAGGGGGCACTGAGGGCGGGTTTGCAACAAAGGGTAAGAAATGGCTGACGGCTGAGCAGAGAATAAGCAGCTCTCTAGGAGAACTCTTGACGAAAGGTAAGCTAAGATTGGAGATGGAGAATGTGAGAGGGGAGGGAGAAAGGTAGAAAGGGCTTTCTGCGCCCAATAGCGCCCCACCGACCTGTTTGAACCTCTGTCTAAGGGGTGGCCTGACCAATCGACGGTCAAGCGCAAGGAAAAACAACATGAGATGATGGTGACAGTAATCAAGGCAAGCAAGTAACTACCTAAGCTCGCACACGAGACAACCCCGAGTACATTTCGGTTGTTCGTCAAGGCCAAACCAACCCCCTACCCCAAAGAAGACGCATATGTAGGTCGAAGTTGACTCCGTCAAACCCAAACTGACCGGGCGATATGAATCCAGCGCCTGTGTGAGTTACACCACGGAAATAGCTCCGCCCGAGCCCCTGAGCGATGAGATCGGAGCGGAGCCACTCACCAACCCGCCGTTCTGCGGCTCATGGCTTGACACCACCTGTCATCTCCGGAAGGGCTGCTGCGGCTTCCCGCTGTCTCCGGCGTGGCGCCAGTGGCGTCGCCGGAACCGGTTGGTGACCGACCAGGACGTCTCGTCTCGGTTTGTTGTGATTTGAAAGCCGCGCTGTTTCTTTCCACTGTCGAAACACCAGGCCAAAACAACCTACAAAGGTGACAGCGACAAAGAGCAAGCGATCGCACAAGTCCACGAGGTCGCAACATTGAGACCCTCGAGCGTCTCCCCCGTTTCCACCGCCCAAAAGGACCAGCCCCAGTATTGAGCATCCAGCCCCATCGCAGCCCCTTCGTTTTCTTGTTTTCTCGTTTTGAAAAACCCTTCCGTACAAGGACATCATGTCTCGCAACCAGCCACCGGACAAAACGATTGGCGACGGGAATATTGAGGCCATCCATCCGATCCCCAACTCAAGCGCCGGTTCTGCACCCAGTGTGAAATGCAATAGGACGTGCTGCAGAATAAGCGGCGAGAACTGGTTTCGCTACCATCACCGGCTGACGAATTACCCAAATGGGCCAGCCCTGGACACTCTGTTCTTCCGCGGCAATGGCGCGTGGGCTGAGCTGGTGGCAAGAATCCAGGCCACCGCCGAAATGCTCGAACACTATGACGGCCTCGCGTGCTGGCATGATCTGAGCCTCGGCGTTCGCGAGAAACTGGAGTCGTGGTCCCCAATGGCTAAGGAGCTTTGGAAGTCCGACTTTTCCAGACACCAAGAAGCTCTTGTCAAAGTCTGGATATGGCGCTATGTCGAGAGAGCCCTTTTCTTTTTCTCAAGCAACACCGCATCGCCCGACGGCGACGTCGCGTGCTGCTCCCCAGTGTGGGAGCGCGTACGAACCCATGCTAGGGATTTGCAACGTAAGCTGCGACTTGTACATGCGCCTCCCGACTGTACCAAGACATTCTGACACGCGGCCCGCTAGCTGTGCGTACTATCACGGACGACGCCTTACGCAAACATATCTGCCGCGTCCAGTTCAACGAATGGCGTCGCATAACCGACCATCTTGTCCGGATGGGCTTAGGACAGAAAGAGTTTGCCACGGCGGCGGTCCTAATGGCGCACTGCAAAACATCCATCCGTCAGCTCCTTGTCGATGGCGAAACTAGGCTCCCAAACCTGGTTCATGATGCGGACTGGAAGGCCAAGGGCGACGAGCACGACGAAGCAGACGTCATAAGCCACCATCTCAAGATGGTGCTCCATTATGCGCTCCGGGTGCAGCACTGCTTCCATAGCCTGGAAATGACCTGCAGTCTCCGACTCACCCCTATCGACTCGGATAAGCTTTGGGGCTTCCCGTTCGACGAAGGACAGATGAAGTTGTTTAACCCTCCGGAGCTTCGACGTCCGCGGGACGATAAGGAGCTGCCATCAGTGCAGCTTGTCTGTGATCCCATGTTGGTGGACATCGGACTCCATGACAAGGGCAACGGCAAGGTCCTCACTCAGCACGCTCCGATGTCTGTCGTGACACCCTGGGTCTACGCCGGGAACGAGGCCGAGAAGTACACACGGGACCACTTCAAGGAGGACGTGGAACGACGCCGTGCCAAGAGGTATCAGCGAGAGGTCAGGAGGGAGGCGGGGCTGCCGGCCGAAGAGGAGATCAAGGGGGGTCGGAGACGGGGGAAGACGGCCAGGGTCAGAAAACTCGAGAAGCAAAAGGTGGAAGCGCTGCGGAAGATGGCGAACGACTTACTGGCCGAGCAAGAGAAGAAGGCGAAAGAGTTACGGGACGAGCAGAAAAAGGAGGCAGAAGCACTCCGGGCCAAGCAGCAGAGGAAGGCGAAAGAGCTATGGGCTAAACAGCAGGCCGAGATGAATAAAGCAAGTATGTTTACAAGTAGGTCGGTAGGTAGGCAATGTATGGGTAAGTGGGATGGGTAGATGGGATGGGTAGGTGGGTATGGAGGTGAAGTTGTGGAAAGACATGTCGAGAGGATGGAATAATAAAACCAGAGGGGAAGAAGGCGTGGGCGATAGGAGAGCGGGGAAGGAAATTGGGGTTCGTAGGGGTTCAAACTTGGAGATTCAGATCTGGAGAGTGGAGGGGCCCGGGTGCGAACAGCGGTTGCTGTCAAGAGTTGCGCATCTTGTCTCTTGTTGCATAGACACTGTAATTTCAATTGAATTCAGCCTTTCAAGGTTACCTACGAGTAGAAAAAAACCGCTTTTTTGCCAAAAAAGCGGTTTTTAAACCACTTTGCTAAAAATCCGCTTTTTTGACACGCCGCCCATCACCACCGCAACAGCCATTTTTTGTCGCTTCTACACCCCGCGAACAGCCTCACTATGGCTCGATTGATCGATTCAGAGATTCGTCATCATTTTACCCCAGACAACGCCCGTGACATTCGGATCCAGTTAATGCAATTCCGTCACATCTATCTTCCAGACACCCAATGATGCAGAAGGTTGGATCCTCGAGCCCGCCAATTATTGGCTAGCCATTGGCGCAAAAAATCCAAGCTGCATCTTGGTTGAGCCTGCTCTTCGACTATTTGACTGTTTGGCGAATTCCGTTCCGTCAGAGCGTTCTTTCAGTTATCAAAACCTCATACACAACAAGGTACGGAATAAGTTGAGCCAGGAAAAAGCAGACACGTTGACATTCGTGTACTATAATTCGAGGGCATTGGAGAGGTCTCTAGTTATACCAGCAGAGTACAACAGTGGGTGCGAATCGTCTTAGTGTCACGGGGCGTGGTCAGGGGAGTCGCGGGACAGGGTCAGGTTCTGGCTAATGACTGAGTTGTGCGATGAGGAGAGAGGAAGCTCTCGCAAGGGGACGCTAACGGAGAGGAGATACTGCTGCCCACGTGACCCAAGCAGGTCAGGCTTGGTGCCGTGACACTTAGGAAAATACTGCCTGTTTTGTCATACCTTCCTAATTGGGTCACCTAACTCCCCTAGATAAACTACCTAGTGTACGCACAGACTGCTTTTTTGCTTCAAGAAAGCGGATTTTAAACGGTTAGTAACCGTTAGTAACAATTGTTTTTTAGCAAGGGCGTACCCTACCTACGAGCCTACCTTACCTACCGACACGGCAAAGCGCCAAGGTATGGACGCATGTAATACGGTATGTTACATCCAAAAGCCACTGGGCAGATAAGATAACGGCTTCCAGTGGCATTTTATTTTCTTCGGCGATCCATCCGACTCGTCTGCATCGAGGGGAACATCAGCTTGGAAGTCGCAGCACCGACCATGCCGCCAGAACAGGTCCGCGCTCGGAAGACGCCCAGGTCGTGGGGTGCCCTCACTCCGAGTCTTGCGCCATGGATCCTCGATTACCTTTCGTCAATGGGCTTTGAGCAGCCCACGCCGGTGCAAAAATCATGTTTCGACATCTTCCGTGGGAACAAGGATGTGGTTGTCGAGGCAGTCACGGGGAGCGGGAAAACACTCGCTTTCCTGATACCGGTGGTAGAGGTGGGTGCGCCTGCGATTATGCCGCCCGAGGTGATTGATTGATTGCCTTGCTCATCAGATTTGCGACGCAGAGACTTCTACGATCCGAAGACCCAGCAAAGAGACACCACGTTCAGGCCATCATCATCTCCCCTACCAGAGAGCTCGCGTCCCAGATCTACAACGTCCTCGTGTCCTTCCTCAAGTTCCATGCGCCATCTGCCCATCTCCTGCCGCACGCCAAGGGCGACGAGAAGCGCCCTGCGACAACGGAACCCGTGGTTGTGCCGCAGCTCCTAGTCGGAGGCACGACGAAAGCTGCCGAAGACCTGAGCACCTTTCTCCGTCTGTCGCCAAACATCCTTATCGGGACTCCCGGCCGGCTCGCAGAACTGCTGTCCACCCCCTACGTCAAAGCACCCTCTTCTTCGTTCGAGGTCCTGGTCATGGACGAGGCCGACCGCTTGCTCGACCTCGGCTTCTCCCAAGAGCTTACACGGATATTGGGCTACCTCCCGAAACAGCGCCGCACCGGCTTGTTCAGCGCCTCGCTGAGTGAAGCGGTGGAGAGACTTATCACTGTGGGCTTGCTGTACCCACACAAGATCACCGTGCGGGTGAAGAGCCTGAGAGATGGCGGCATTGTTCAGGAGAGGAAGACCCCCATGTCATTACAGATGTCCTACATCGTAACACCCGCAAGCCAAAAGATCCCAGCCTTGTGCCAGCTTCTAGAAAGGCTCGAGCCCCGGCCCTCCCGCTCCATCGTGTTTTTCTCCACGTGCTTCGCCGTCAAGTACTTTGCCCGCGTCTTGCATGGGATCCTCCCGCCGGGCTTCTCCATTGTCTCCCTCCACGGCAAGCTCGAGCCCCAAGTCCGCGAGAAGAACTTCGAGCGCTTCGTCAACGCCGCCTCCCCGACCGTCCTCCTCACCACCGACATCGCCGCCCGCGGCCTCGACATCCCCCAAGTCGACCTCGTCGTCCAGCACGACCCGCCCACGGACACCAAGGTCTTCATCCACCGCTGCGGGCGCGCGGGCCGTGCGGGCCGCCGCGGCCTCGCCGTCGTCATGCTCCAACCCGGCCGCGAGGAGGGCTACGTGCAACTGCTCGACGTGCGCCAGACCCCCATCAGCCCGCTCGCCAAGCCGCCCGTCTCGGTCACGGCCGCCGACGCCGACCTTGCTTCGTCCCGGATCCGCGCCCAGGCCCGCGCCGACCGCGACATCTACCAGCTCGCGCAGCGCGCCTTTGTCAGCTGGGCCCGCAGCTACATCGAGCACCAGGCCACCTCCATCTTCCGCGTCGCCGACCTCGACTGGGCCGACCTCGCCCAGGGCTACGGCCTGCTGGAGCTGCCCAAGATGCCCGAGGTCCGCGGCTTGGACCGCTCGCTGGGGCTGGCCATCGACACGGAGAGCATCCCGTTCCGGGACGGCGCGCGCGAGAAGAAGCGGCTGGCGGAGCTCGAGCAGTGGAAGAAAGAAAAGGCCGCGCGGGAGGCGCAGCGCGCGAGCGGTGGCGGCGGCGACGCGACGGACCCGTTAAAGCGCAAGAAGAACGAGGCGTGGAGCGGCAAGCACGAGCACGAGGACGTCAAGGCCGCGAGGCGGGAGAAGAAACGCCGGAAGAGGGAGGCCCAGCGCCTGGGCGACATGACGGAACCGGAGCGGGAGGAACAAAGAAAACTGGATGAGATGATTGCCGAGGTGCGGAGGAGGAATGCTGAGGCCCCAACACCAGCCGCGCAGGCGGCTGGTAGTGGTGGCGGGGGTGGAGATGAGTTTGAGGGGTTCGATGATTAGAGGGGACGGGGCGGCACACAGAAACCTGATGATGGATACCCGTGTTCTATAGAGGACGGACTAGGACGGAGAGACAGGCTTGAGAAGAAGAGATACCCTACCATGCCACCACTGCCTGGACCTCTGTGCTGCCTTCGTGAACCAAGAAGCTATATCTGCCCATCTCTCTACCTCCACCGACATCTGTCCCATTGCCCATTGAACGCCGGCTCATCTCGCCCGCCAGCCATCCTACCAGCCATACCGACAGCCCCCAGAAGCTCACCCCCTGGCGTTGGGGGGTGGGGAGTGGGGCTTGGGTAGGGGGCGTGGTTGGTAATTTGATAGCACTCGCCTGTCGCTCTCCGGGTCCGTCAACTTTGGTTTTTGCGACTGGTGCTACTAAGCCAGTTAGTTGCAAAACTTGTCTGTATGTACGAGGCTTTCGTGGTCGGTTCGCTCACCCGGTGAGGGGGGAGGGTGGAGGGGCGTTGGTGGCGAGTCTTGTTTTCTGGTACGCCCTGGCATGGGTTTGACAAAATGGTCTCCATCGAGGTTGTTGGTGTTTGTGTTTGTGCTCCTTCGTCGTGTGGTTAACTCACTCACAGGGCGAATAATGGCAAGCATGGAAAGATAGGGCGGGACTTCATGATACCATGCTTCGCGAATTCGCCTTCCTGCGGGTGGCTGGTGGTCGGTGGTTGGAAATGTTGCTTGCGCGGTATGGCAAGTTGGGCTTGTTTGGCTTCTGAGCGCCAGAAGCAAGCGCAGCACACAAACACAGATCACTCGCTCCCAAGTGTGAGCAGGGACGGGACAGATTTGCAAACACAAACGAGGGTGGTATCATCGGGTATGTACCGGCCAGGTACTTTCACAAGCCAAACAAAAAATAGTGCAACAACAGAGATCCATCAGCAGCCCGAGAGTCAGTCCAGGCCCCCCCTATCCCTCCCACTTCCCCATCCCGCCTAACGAAAACCAGTAAAAAAACAGGGTATCCCTCGTGCCGGCTCCCTTCATTCTCACATCCCTCCACCTCCGTCGTGTGCGCGATCGCCAAATATGTCATTACCGTGCCAGACCCAGCAGTGTGTGTTGGGGGGTATAGTTGCTATGTGGTATCAAAAGAAAAGCCTCAAAATAAATCCGCGTGGTCCCGGGGAAGAGGGCGTGTGTTGGGTAAGGAATCGATCGCAAATGAATGAGACGGTGGTGAAAAGATTATTCCCGCCGAGAAGATTAGAACCGATAGTGTGCGGGTGCATGTGTGTTTGTGTGTGTGTGGCGCAACGAATGGTTAAGCGTCGGGGTGGCTTCTCCCCTCCGCTCAGAAAAACACCACTCAGATGTTCTCAATCACCCTGGCGTTCATGGCCTGCTGGAAGCCCGGGTCGCCGCCATGCTCGGCGGAGCTGCTGCCCTCGGCAAAGGGGTCGCTGTTGTTGGCGATAGCGGCGTTCATAGCGGCCGAGTTGGGCATGGTCTGGTTGGCGGCGGGCAGGAAGATAACCTTGCTGTTGGCGCTCTTAGCCATGGCCTGCATCGCCTCGAGGTAGCGGATCTGCATGGCCGGCGCGGACGACAGGATGTCGGCGGCCTGACGCATCAGCTTGGCGGCTTCGACCTGATCGGTGGGTTAGTTGTCGGCGTTATTATTTGGGAGGTGGGGGGGGGGGGGGGGGGGTGGGGTGTTGCAAAGAAAAAAAACATCTGCTCTTTGCGGCAATGATCTTGCTCTCTCCGATCCGCTTGCTCTGAGCGGCCATGGAGAGCGACTCCTGAAGTTCCTGGCTGAAAATGATGTCCTTGATGAGCATGCTCTCGACCTGGACCCCCCAGCCAGTGGCGACATCCTCAATGATCTCGCCGATGCTCTGGGCAACCTCTTCCCGACGCTCGATCACGTCCTGGAGCACGCGAGCGCCCACGACGTGGCGGAGCGTCGTCTGGGTCCGCTCAATTAGGGCTTGGCGGATGTTGGAGATGCCGAAAGCGGCCTTGTGGGGCGAGACGATGTGGTAGTAGATGACACTTGTCAGGTGTAGAGTCACATTATCCTTGGTCATGCAAGTCTGCTGGCCGACTGTTGAACGGGCGTTAGTTTAGTCTAAACTATGGATGGGAAGGTGGAAGCGGGGGAGGAGAGGAGACGCACCTTCGACGATCTGGATTTTCACGTCAACAGACGTCAGATGCTCGCTCAGTGGGTTGATCTTGACGAGGCCCGGGGTCGACGGCCTTGTAGAAGCGGCCGAACTTGGTGACGAGGCCGACGTTGCCCTGGTTGACCTTCTTGAAGGGGTTGGGGCAGCAGATGCAGCAGGGAATGGCTCCCAGGGTGCCGATAACCTCGCCGAGACAGTTGATCATGGCGCCATACCAGCCCGGATAGTGGACCTCCTCGACGATGCTGGCGTAGCTGCGTTGCAGGTCCTCGGGCTTCGGGGGTTCGACCTTCATGTTTGCTTGGGCCCGGAAACCGCCATTGCCGGAGCTGGGGGCCTTGCCCTTGGAGGAGCCCTGGTCGTCTGATGTGTGGTTCATGGTAGCAATCCGTTGAGTTTTTTCGAGTTCCCGATGGTTGGAAAATGCTAGCGTGATGGATCGATCGGATGTGTGGTGGGCCGATGCCTCGTTTTATGTTGTTTCGGGAGCGCGAAACATGGCAGCTCAGGGTAGCTCCCAGGTCAGGCGGGTGCCCTGTGGGGTGATGGAGCATCAACGCGTGCAGGGCTGCAAGGGCTTTCTGAGAATCCGTCAGGGTGCAGCGCCCGTCCCCACGCCGGCCGGTGGGAGAATTGATTGGTCAAGCCTCCAACCAAGCCAGCGCCCAGACAATACGGTGGATACGACGGGACACTGTGGGGTACTGCCTGGGTGGTGAGGTTGGGTGGGGTTGCAGGCTGTGTCCCAACCTGGGAGCCTGGAATTCTAATGGAAATGTGAAATATTGCAAACGGCATTCGTCTTTTTTTTTCTTTCATTTGGAGTTCCACGACCAGAAGTAAACCTCATCACTTTTCCGTCTGGTGTAAGAAGTCGCCTTTCTAATTATCCGTACCTATGCGACGAAATGCGACGACGAAAGTACCTCATACCTACCTTGCCTACCTATCAAAAATATCTCGCTCCATCCGCTTCTCGATGAGAAACAATCGGGTGATTGGGTTATGTCGGGCGGGCTTGGGGGTTGCCGCTTGATCAGTCCGCTGTCACCTCTCCGGGGCTGTGTTTACCTGGCCGAGCCTTGGTGCCTTTGATGGCTCTTGAATCTCCGTCGGTTGTTGTTGCACGGCAGTGCCCGCCCGGAAATACCGGCTTCTGTCTCGTGGCACTCAGTTCCCCGCTGACTTTCCTAGTCCGGAAAAATAATGACATGATGCAAGCCACAGAGCGAAACAACATCGCCCGTTAAGATTCCTCGGCTTACCACCCGGTTCAATAATACCCACAATACCCACGCAGGTAGGCATGGACGCATGTGTTATCCAATGCAACACGGCCGCAAACAGCCCGACACTCGCGACTGCAATGCCACAACACGGCACGCTTGATCCGACTCTCAAACCTTTCCTTGACGGCAAGGTAGTTTCGAACCCAACAGTTCTCGAGAATCCCGTATGACGTCAATCGCTCCACGATGGATCGGCAAACAACCCAGCACAAAAAGGCGCATGGAGGTCACGTCTCTCCACCGAAACATTCCAGAATCCTTCTTCATAAGAGACGGTGGCTGTGTCCGACCCAGACGCCAGACAATGTGAAGGGGCCAAGTGATAGGCGAGGCACTGCAAGGCTAACCCCGAGGCAGTCTCTAGAGTTATCGAGATGAGCTTTGGGCTTTCGACGGGCTTTTCGACGGGCCTAGACCCCAGCTTGCCCAGCAAGCGAAACCTTCCCCATCTGCCTATGGCCCGGCATTTACGTAGTATAGCATTACGTAGATGGACGTAGACAGCTCCTCTGATTTGACAGAGCCCCCGGATTCGTGGTTCCATCTCCCGGCCCCCAATGTTTCCCATGCAGGAAAGTATTCATACCCGACATGCGTTCTGCAAGTAACCCAAAAACCTGGGCTACGGAAGATGCCCGCCGTCATTCCAGATGAGAAGCATTCACACGTCAGAGTGTACATCCATTTTCTTCTGGTTATCCCCTTCTGCGGCTTGCCCAGCTCTTCCCCTCCTCCCTTCTGACTCGAGCTCAGGGATCAGCGGGTCCCCCGATGTAACGCGGCGCCACGAACGCGTTGTCTTAGTCGTCTCTATCGAAAATGTTTTAGGGAGTGCTGCTGTTGACGGGATCGTCACGACGTAGACCCGGCCATCAGGTCATGGCGTGAGGGAAGAATGGACCGGTAAGTTGGGATCCGCCCCGATGTCTAACAAAATGGAGAGTGCTGTTCGGCCGGCGTTGCTCCTCTTGTCCAGCCATACCTTGGGCTTTGTGCTAATAAGCGCCGGGAGTATCTTCCAGTGAAGCTCACATGCCCAGTGAAGCTGTGTCCTGCCGTCTGCGTCTTGCTAAGGATCATCATCAGCAGGGAAACGGTGAATTAGAAAACAGGTCACGTCTTCCCAGTCCTTGGACATACCGAACACGTAGGTGGGAAACCGGATCTGGACCCGGACAAGCCGCTCCTTCACACCATGGTGCGCGTATCGTTCAAGAAGGCCGAGTCCGCCCTGGTCAACCACGATCGCCTTGGATAAGCATCTCGTGATAATTCCGTCCTCGACTTCATCTCAACCAAGCGAGGCGACCCTGTACAAGTACGAGCTGGGGTATCCGGGCGAGGAAGGAACAGTAGAATGCTCTGTGACAGTACGAATCGTAAACGAGATCAATTCGGTTGGCTATCATATATTTGGTACTGGAGATATCTTGGAGATACTCTGTAAGAAGAACACCATGGGCACTCGAGTGACCTACCGCCCCTGTATCGATTCTCCCAGCTGGCACTGGCCTTACCGTACACCTGCCCACGGATGTCAACAACACCCTTAGGCACCCAGCCCCTGAAACTAACCCGTCGCATTTGTTGGCAGTTTATAGCAGCCATCCGTAGGAAACCTCTCCCCTTGGTCCCACTAGAAACACGTCAGTACCTACCCAGCACGCCGTACTCATCTTTGCCGGATCAACCGATCTCACTTACATGCTCATGAACACACCCTCCCACCCAGCGCCATCTGTCCACAGTCGAGTACCGGGCGTACGACATGTTCGTGCTGGCATCAAAACACCAGCTGGTGCCCTGCTCGGTTCCGATCTTGCGCCCACTGCAGAAAAGGGGCCAGATGGCCTGCGGGCCGCTTGCGTATCCGGGGTTGTGTTGCTTGATATCCCACCGTCTCAGTCTTGCATCATGCCAACCACTACCCAACGCCGACCCCAAAAGACCACAAAGGACTTACCAGATAGACATCATCAATAAGCGAGAACATGGTCCTCGGATCGCCATCCACCACAAAGGCACGGTAGAACTGGTACGCGCGGCGCGCCGTTTCCTCCACCGTGATCGACGGGTCGGGCGTGCACAGCTGGGGCGGCTTCTGGAGGCTGCACAGGTTTTCTCGCGCGTACAGGGGCTGGAACTGGGGCACCGAGGCGGCGTCGCCGGCCGGGGCGGCCAAGCTGCCGATGGGCGCCAGGAGGGCGGCGGTTGTCAGTGCGGGGAGGAGATGCATTTTGGAGAGAGAGACTTATTTGTTGATGTAGAGTCTTTGGTATGATAGGGAGGCAAAAGGAGATGGATATGGGATGGGGATATACATATGCCCGAAATGCGGGTGCGCCATGGTCGTGTTTCTTCAGGGGCACGCACCGTTCCATCCGGAGCTTGTCGGGTAAATACTCAAGACCAAGACGCCCCGATCACCAGACAATCTGGATTTAAATCTCCAAGTAATCTATATGGTTATGTGAGTCCCAGACTTGAGTGCCGTTTCGTGCGGGGTTCATTGTTCTTCATCGACAAATGGTGAGTCTCGTAGGAACGACCAGCGGGCGATCAACTGCCACCGTGCCAAGTTCTCTCGGCGTTTGTGTATATAGATAATGTACCTACTGTGTACTCCGCGCTCTGGTTGCACCTGGTTTCTTTAGAATGGATGAAGGGCTCGCCAGGTGCGAGGGTTGTGTCCGCTACCATGGTTCATCCGTTTCGACCGGGTGTCTGGGCTTGGCTATATCAGCAAACTCTTGCGTTGCAGCCGGCACTTACGTGCATCGCATGCGGTGCATTTCTGGAGCGTGCTCCTTTCCTTCTGTATGTACTTGTTCCGCTTGTAGGGCTAGGGAGAAAGGGAGATGCCCCGGGTAGCTAGCCGTCTCTAAGGTCCTTCCTACGGAGGAAACAGTAAACTAGTACAACTCAGCTGGATTACACGGGACCGTGTTTAGACGATAGATGCTCACACAGAACCTAAGGATCCATTTAGTACCTAGACTCCAGAGGTAATATCCTCCATCCTTACCACACCCCGCCCACCTAGCACCCATCAAGCCCAAACAAAACAAAAACGCCCAACCCCCCTTCCAGCCCTTATTCATCATCCCCCCCTCCCCAACCCAGACCCAGACCCAGACCCAGACCCAGACCCAACCCCAGGTGACCTATTTCCCCGCCCCCACCCCCACCCCCATCTTCCGTAGCCCCCCACCAAACCCGCCAACCCTCTATGCCCCCAAACTCAAACCCAACCCCGACGCCGGCCTCCTCTCCTCCAACTCCACCTCCACCATCACCACATCATCACTACTGCTCCCCTTGAGCGACATCCCCCCGACCATGCGATGCTCGTCGCTGTTCCTGCCCGCCCGCGGCCCCAGCCCCAGCCCCGAGATGCTAGCAGTAGCCGGCTGGTGCCGTGACAAGGAGTGGCGCCAGGAACGTAGGTTTGTGGAACGTGATTTGGGGGAGCGGGTGTGGTTGTTGTTGTTGTTGTTGTTGCGGTTGGGGTGGCGGTTTGGTGATGTGGTGGTGGGGGGGTTGTTACTGCTATTGTTGTTGTTGGTGTTGGTGCTGTTAGCGATGGTGGTGGTGGTGGTGGTGGTGCCAAAGAGGCGCGGGAAGAGGCGGGTCATGGGGTGCTTGAGGATGGGAAGGCAGGCGCTGATGATGCCGAGGTTGGCTTCGAGGAGGGTCCATACGACGCGGTCGACGAAATGGTAGGTTGGGTCTTGCCGGTTCTTGGGCGTGTTGTGCACGGATGTGGTGCGCAGGATGGCGGCAATCGTGACGCTGGTGGAGGAGGGAGGTTAGCGTCTTTCTGCTGTCTCTTGGCATCTTTTCTTTTGCAGTCGGGGGTGGTGGTTCTGGGGGGGGGGAGTAGATAAGGAAATAGGGGCACCCACAAGGCGGCCATGACAAAGACTCCGCAGAGCAGCAAACGATCGCGTAAACTCAGGTGTAGTTTCAGGATGGGCCAAACCGGCAACACCAGCACCAAGACGTCGGTTGTGATGTTCAAGACAGCATACGCAATCCAGGACTTCTCCGAGTCGATGCAAGTTGCGCCCGAGTCCCGCACCCATGCCCCTTGGATCGGGGCACACTCAAAGATGGTGGCGGCGATGCTGCCGATGCTGTACCCGACGATGACGGACAAGAGAGTGAAGGCGGCAGAACGGAAATTCTTGGACACAAATATGCGCAGGCACAGTAAGATGACCGAGACCTTGTTGAGGCATACCGTCACCTTGTACGGCGTGAGGGCGATAAAGTACCACTTCAGGGCACCCTCTACTTCTGCCCGGGTAAGATCGGCCCTGTGCATGCCATAGCCGTGGATGACGGCCAGCTGGATTGCTATGGACAGGACGATGGAGGAAGCCTCGAGCGGACGGCGTGTTAGCAAACCGCGTGATGGATTTCATGGGACATGTCGGGCTAAAAGGAGCTTACCAGGGAGACGACAATGGTGGCATCATCCCATCCAAGGGTCCGCCTTACCAGCCTTGTGATTAACCTTGCAATCACAAATAGGCCGGCAACCAGGATGGTGACCAGCGAGGTGATGTACAGCTTCCAGCCTTGATCTTCGGACCCACCGTTGGAGAAGGCGACTCCACGGTCGCGCATCCTAGGCTGTGGGAATGCGGACTATCCCTTCGTGTCCTGGGGCTTCCAGGCTTGAGAAGGGTACACGACCTGCAAAGTCAGATAGGGTTGAGTCGTGCACCCCCGGGGCCATGGGATGGGGTTCGACGTGACATGTCACTGAAAAGAAGGCAGGGGCAGTAAACGAGGTGGAAAAAAAAAGTGAAGTCCCGGAAAGAAGGATTGATCAAGGATCTGTGTTAATTATTCGTACCAGGGTATCATTCCTTCCCCTCGATTTCGTAAGCTGATCTCGGGAGGATGCTTGTTCGCGGCACGGCCAAGGTGGCCCCCAAAGACCCTCATGTGAACCCCTGCATCTTTTGATGTTTTGACCATGGGTCGGCAATGGCAAAGTGATATCCTCATAATGGCAATTGGGTGTTATTTCCGGTTCGAGTGTGTTCAGGTTTTGCATTACACATGGTATCTGAACGAGAGTATTCAACAGCCAGGCTCGCCAGGTTTACCATTGAAAACCATGGAAGTGGTGGTGCGGGGAATGGGGCGACTCGGGGCCATCAGCGGCAGATGGCATGGAGATGCATCCATGCGGCCCGAGATCCGGAAATGTCATGCATGGCATGGGTTAGAAAACCTTACAGCCAATTGCAGTTTTTGTTGGTGGCGGAATGAGGAAGGAGGAAGTGGAGTGTTTCTGGTCGCCGGCTTGGCCCCCCGTCGCTGTCGGCCTGGGTTGTACGTGAATAACGCTGCGTCGGATAGGTATACGATTGAAGCCAAAACCAGGACTTGGATTCCGGCATTCCTTCAGGTCTGTGGCGCCGTACAAATAGGTGCCTTGCTCAACAGTCAAAGATCAGGGGCGTAACTACTGAAAGGCTGTAGCACAAGTACATTGCTTTATCTATGTGATGTATGGAGAACCTAGCAAACTAGATGTAAACTCCAGCTTCTGATTTAAGTTGAGTGCCGGGCGAGCCCTAGACAGGTTCAGGCTCAACCGTGGTCGGTGTTGTTGCAACGGGAGTGGAGTCGGCTGGGGGGTTGGCCGGGACAGGTTCTGAGCTCATCCCAGCTGAGCCATCAGGGTTCTCTACACTCTCGGTACAAACCACGATGTGTTGGAAATGTGGGAATCTGGTTACCACACCTTTGTCAAGGTCATCGTGTGTTCGTTGCCCCTCCTGACTCAGGCTGGCTTGGGATTTCTAGTGAGGAACCGCTGGTGAGGGCAAACATTGAAGTTATACGTGTAGTTGAACTTGGAAGTGCTGGATTAGCAAGAATTCAAGCAGCTGGAAAATAAAGCTGCAAGTCTAGCATCTCGGGACGGGTGGGATACCGACAGGAGAAGCAGAGCCAATGGAAGATGTGGTGTTGCAAAGCACCCTGGGCCGACCTCGCCTATTCCGACACGGTGGCCAGGGGTGCTGATGGGTCTCTATGCAGGACATCCCCTCCTCAAGCACCTTGACGGCTAGACCCCGACGTGGCAGACAATATTGGCCAAGGTGTGGCCAAGTATAAAGATTTCAGGAACCTCAAGAACCATGCTTAGCTCCTTCCCCTTGACTATATGGCTCGCGAGCACTTTGAATCTCTGGTATATCCTGTGATAACGCACATATCATGGCGGTTGTTGGAATGTCCAGGAGAAACGGCTCCCAGCCAAAAGGGACGGTCCAGTACCAGCCAAGGCTCTTCCAGTCACCCTTCTTTCTGGCTTCCTGGTACGTCACCTTGTCCCCGCTGTCCCATACGCACTGGAAGTCTCTAATGTGGGATGCCAACTCCATAGGGGAGTGGCAAGACGACACTTCTCCAGCATATTCTGAAGAGTGAACATGGTCTCAGGATTGCCGTCGTCGTCAACGACATCGGAGCGTACGCACCAACCCATCCTCTCCCCCCTCCTCTCCAATCGCCAACAACCTCATCGACCCGGCCCCAAGTCTCTAACACACAATTGCCCTACATAGCATCAACGTCGACGCCTCGCTGATCAAGCAGACCCACCGCGTGACCAAGACGCAAGCAAAGGTCATCGCGCTGCAGAACGGCTGCATCTGCTGCACGCTCCGCGGCGATCTCCTCGAGGAGCTGCTGCGCCTCGCCGAGCTCGAGCAGTTCGACTACGTCGTCGTCGAGAGCAGCGGCATCAGCGAGCCCGAGCAGGTCGCCGAGACCTTTGACCAGCGCCTGGCGGAGCAGATGGCTGCGCTGGCGGGTGGAGAGGTGGGGGGGTTGGATGCGGAGATGGTGAGCGTCTTGGAGCGGCTGTGAGTACCTACCTTACTTGATTGGGGGAAGTGGGTGCTTGGTGTCCGAGGTTTTCAGCCCCCGCCTCCTGTCCTGACTTGATGGATGCGTGCGGCCAGTCCTTTTGGGTGAACAAGTTGCTGACTAGATTTACAGCAAGGCCGCTGGCGGGTTGGAGAAGTTTGCCCGCTTGGATACCACTGTCACGGTGATCGACGCCTTCACGATATATAACGACTTTGAGACCGACGACATGCTCATTCCCCGTCGCGATGACGTTCAGTTGGAAGACGAGCGGACTGTGTCGGATCTGATGGTGGACCAGATTGAGTTCGCTGACGTGATTGTCCTTAACAAGATGGATCTGGTAGGCGGTCGGGTCCTCGAGGAGTGGGTGATAAAAATGCCATGTTGCTTACGGCTGGTAGGTCGACGACGAGACGCGAGTTCGTATCAGGGACTTGATTGGCAAGTTGAATCATCGAGCCAAGATTCTCGAAGCCAGCTACGGAAGACTCGAGGTCAGGGAAATCTTAAACACAGGCATCTTCAGCCTGGAAAGGGCACAGACCGGATACGGATGGCTCCAGGATCTTCACGCCATGACGCTGCAACAGGTACGAGGGGCACTGCGTCTTGATATCACTCACGTCCAGACTGGCAATATATGCTTATGCAATCACCAGGTCAATGGCAGAAAAGTGATCACCCCCAAGCCGGAAACCGAGGAATACAACATCCGCAACTTTGTCTACACACGCACCAGACCGTTCCACCCCCAGCGCCTGTTCGAGCTCCTCCACGACAAATTCATTTTGCAGCTCGAAGTTCCCGATGATGATGATGACTCCGACTCTAACTCGGACGACTCAAACGAAGGCGACTCAGCCTCAGACTCAGACTCCAACACGGCTATGGAAGACGACGACGACGACGACGACGAAGAAGAAGACGAAGACGCCGCCGCCACCACCAGCGAGCTCAGCCCGCCACCCAACGACACCATCCTCCGCAACAAGCGCGCGCACCCGCTCTTCCGCCGCCTCTTCCGGTCCAAAGGCGAGTTCCTGCTCGCGACGCGGCCGCAGCGCGCGGGCGAGTGGTCGCAGGCGGGGGCCATGCTGACGCTGGCGGGCGGGCGCCCGTGGTTCTGCACGCTGCCGCGGGAGCACTACGTGACGGGGGACGCCGAGGTGGACCGGCTGGTGGCGTTTGACGTGGCCCGTGGCGGGCAGTGGGGGGACCGCAGACAGGAGATTGTGTTTATTGGGGAGGGGCTGGATGAGCAGGGGCTGGCGGCGGTGTTGGATGCGTGTTTGTTGACGGACGGGGAGTGGGAGGCGTGGGAAGAGGTCATGAGGGAGGTGGGGTTGGGTGAGGAGGAGAGGGTGGAGAGGCTGCGGGCGTTGTTTGAGGATGGGTGGCCGGATTGGAGCGAGGATGCGGCTCATGACCATGATCATGGCGATGGGGAGGGTCATGAAGGGCATGGCTGTGAATGATGAGGGCTAGGTAGGTACTTACCTACCTACCTACCTTGTGCCTATGGGGCAGAAACATGGATTCTACCGCCCTGAAATTGGCACCACACACAAGATTCCCTATTTCTTCTTCGGAACTGAGCGATTGCTTGGTGTGAGTGGGTGTCACTGTCTGGGCGGGCATGCAACGCAGCCCAACAGAACGTCCGAGGCGAATGAGGGCCTCTACGGCTGAGCCTCAGGGACCTTCGGTCACGGAAAGCCATAGGACTATAAGGGCGAGTGAGGTGGCTGTGGTGGTTTTTCGGGTGGCGAAACACCATCACCGTTGAAGACTATGGGGCATAAATTAGCAGGAACTGAAACTCGGGTTGGGGTAGTTAGATGGTTGACCACGAGAGAATACAGAGTCCCGTGGGCTTGATTCGAGTATATATTTGAGGGAGGGAGACGATCCCTACCTAGGTACCTACCTATGTTCATGCTCATGCAACAAGGTCAAGCTGTGTCCCTACCTACCTATGTTCTCACCCCGCTCTCATCCCCACTATCATTCTGTCATCATCCCACCTCGTAACATCTTCATCGGTCCCAATCCCGTTCTTCATTGCTATTTCACATAAACAAAGGCATCGATGCCATGACCTAATTTCTTCTTCGGAAGAGCGCACATTCCGCTGTAGTTGGAGAGTCGGAGCTATCAAGCTCAAGAGGGTCGATGTGGGTACTGGCCATCAAGGTGTCCGAGTCAAAAAGGGGGAGTCGAGGGGATCTCGGATACCGGGATTACGGACCGGTGGGGCCAGTGGGCGCAGGGATTCACAAGCAGTCCATGTAGCAGAAGTCTGGTACCAATAGCCCAACATTACCTGACAAACCATTGCTATCGTAAGGCTGAGATCTAGACCCTAGTGCGTGTATACGGGATTGAAAGTTTTGCTACCAACAACACAGGTGCCCGAATAAGACAGACACCAGATGAAATGTTGCGATGACGTGACGGAAAATATACCTGCAGGCTGTATTCCACTCTGTGCACCTTGCTGGACACGGTCATCAAGGTACGCGCATACATAAGCGTCTTTCTTCAGACCTTTCGTGACATCTCATCCTCCAGTTATTGAGTCATTTTTATGTTTTTGCAATTTCCTCGTTGCCGTAGGTATACTAATAGGACTCGAATACCGACTGGACAGCCTCTCTCATCCTCATCCTTTGTTCTTCAATATACCCATTATACATCATCCCACCTACAAAGGACGCCGTGTTAAGCCGGCTCGCAACATGGCTCTCATCAGCAATGACCTTACGGTGCACATCGCCGAGCACGTCGATATGGATTCCATGGTCTCTCTTATGCTCAGCTCGAGAGCCAACTACCGGCTCATCAGGGGTTACGAACGGTCCATTGTGAAGGCCAAGCTTGCAAGGATGGCTCACGACCCCATACTGAGACCCCCTCTCGGGGCGCTTCTTTCATCATCAACTGTTCCGGGCAAGCCGGGGATGGGATCCCCCCACCGCAGTGTCTTGGAACCCGAGAGCTTTGCCGTCGCCGCCGAGCTAGACTTGCGAGATCGTCGGATCAACGACCTTTTCAACCCCAAATCATCAACAAGTCTTTGCGCCGGCAGGCCACTCACAGAAACCATCAGTCGGCTGTCCCTTTTCCAGAACCTCCCGCCAGACCAAATGGAGCGCCTGATCGACGGCCTCAAAGACGCCTGCCGAGTAGCCGACCGCATCGCCGACTGCGCCGCATCCGTGCATCTCGAGCAGCAGAACAAACCCACCACCACCGCCCACCTCAAGGACAACAACCATGCACCCGGCGAGGACCCCAGAGCCATCGACCACGAAACCCACCTCACCCGCCAGCAATACATACGCTCGCTGCCGCCCATCCGCCTCGCCTTCCTCACCCTCCTCGCGAGCCTGCTCGGCGCGGAATACGCTCAGCAGCTCCAACAATCTCCCCACCCGGACCCGTTCCAGTGGGAGCGGACCACGGCCTTCAAGGAGGCCTTTCTCCGCCACGGCACCGTCCTCGTCGCCGCCCTGCTGGGTCCGTCCGAGAGGTGGATTGAGAGTGAGACCGAGAGCAATCCTGAGGCCACCACGGCAAGTACATGCGGTGGTGGTGGTGGTTTTGTGGCCTGCCAACCGGATGCGCCCCGCACCCGGAGCGGGTCGGCGACGCGATACTACACATCGCAAGTCACGGCTGTGTTGATGGAGCTGCTGGCGTACGAGGGGGGGCACTGGGGCTTTTTGCGACCGGCTGGGGATGAGGGCGAGGTGAGGCCGGTTTTGGATGGCTTGCATATGACCATGTTGCAGGCGTTTCGAGTGGTTGAGGATGAGGATGAGGAGGTAGACCAGCTGTTGGGAGATGCCGAGGGGGGGGGATGACGAGGAGGATTCAAGTTGGTTGTTCAATATTGATGTGGTGGGTGGCGACACCGGAGACGTTGAAGATGGGCCATCACCACTGCCGGAAATCAAGCCGGACCAGAGGGAGACTCTGGTTCTCAAATGGATTGCGCAGCGATGACCGGCCCCGATCCAATGAAGCCGGCGACGATGGCCACCTATAGACTAGACTACAGGTAGACGGTTATGCTGAATATACCTCCATGATGTCGGACTTGGCCGACACAAACCTCCACTACAAGGGGCCAATATGACATTCTCCAACTTCATATGTTGCTGCATGGGTGTGCATGAATGGGCATGACGCCATGACCTATCGGCCACCATACAATGGCCGATATGTACAGCCTGTTCCGGACTCTCACGTGGGAGGGTCGGCAGTTGCAAGGGCGAGGGAGATCCCAAGCCATATTGAGACAGTATAGCAAGGTATGGTCTACTCAACGATTGAATATCACATACCCCCAAGGGGCCAAGATGGCGGGGACGGATCGAGAACCCCCGTACGGTGCAAGAAGTATATTGATGCCCAGGAAATCCCACCACGCAGACCGGTCTTGGCTGCTTGGCGTCGGCAGTGGTCGAAACAGAGAAGTGGTTGTGTCCGAACAGGGTGGGATGAATGCCCTGCCGAACCTTTGCCAAGGGTTACTCTTTGCCGAACCTGTCGATTGAGGGTAGACGTATAACAGGGGACGGGGGATGATGACGAAAAAGGAAACTTGTTTCCACCGTGCCAGTACCGGGGTCAAAGGGTACGGATGCTATGATTGACTTCTTATATATTCGGCCATTAACGGCGGGGAATAGCCTGAAAGTGGACCAGAGGCTGTTCGGGCTCCCCCTTTTCTTTGGATTCATATACCGACTGGAGGTACCTATCTAGACTTTGGGCAGACATCCCTCATAAGAGCCCCCATTAGGCGATTTGAATCGATCAACCGAGTGAACCCTCCCTCTCGATTACCTAGAAACGCACAATACTCCGGGGAACAACACACCCCGGCCGACAAAAACGATGCATCTAGGAATTTCCATCACCTACGCGCTAGCGTTGGTGACGGGTGCTTTGGCCGTCCCACCGCAGCCCCTGGCCGCCCGCCAGCAACCGTTTAAATCGACGCCCATCACCGACCACTCCGAGCCCTGGGCCTTCGCCTTCCTGCCCGACAACCGCATCCTCGTCACCGAGCGACGGGGCAACCTCCGGCTCGTCGACCCAGCCACCAAAGCCAAGGGCACGGTCAGCGGCGTGCCCGCGGTGGCCTACGGCGGGCAGGGCGGTCTGCACGACGTCGCCCTGCACCCGGACTACGCCAACAACAACATCATCTACCTCAGCTACGCCGAGAGCGGCTCCGGCGGGGCGGGCGGGGCGGTGGCGCGGGCCAAGCTGACGCTGGACTCCAACGGCGGCGGCGCGCTCTCCGGGCTCGAGGTCATCTGGCGGCACTCGCAGCGGGCGCAGGGCGGGCTCCAGTTTGCGTGCCGGCTGCTCTTCAGCCCGGAGGACGGCGCGCTGTGGATCTCGTCGGGCGAGATCAACCAGATGACCCCCGCGCAGTCCATGACGGCCAACCTGGGCAAGATGATCAAGCTCTACGACAACGGCACCGCCTTCGCGGGCAACCCCTTCGCCAGCCAGGGCGCCGTTCAGGCCCAGATCTGGTCCCTGGGCCACCGCAACCCGCTGGGCATCGACTGGGACGCCCAGGGCCGGCTGTGGGAGGTCGAGATGGGCCCCATGGGCGGCGACGAGCTCAACCTGATTGAGCGCGGCGCCAACTACGGCTGGCCGTTGGTGTCGCAGGGCCGTCACTACGACGGCCGCACCATCCCGGCGCACAGCACCCGTCCGGACTTTGCCGCGCCCAAGGCGTTTTGGGTGCCCGTCATTTCCCCCGGCGGTATGATTATCTACAAGGGTGATTTGTTTTCCGGCTGGAAGGGCAATGCTGTCATCAGCGGGCTCAGCTCGCAATCAATTGTGCGCGTGACCATCGCTGCTGATGACACGGCCAAGGAGACGCAGCGCATTTCGATGGGCAAGCGCATGCGCGGCATTCGCGAGGACAAGGACGGCGCTATTTGGGTCATCGAAGATGGTCCTAGCGGCCGGCTGTTGAAGCTTACCCCGAACTAAGCCTTGGGTTGGCGAGAGATTCGGTGGGGTTGGGATACCTGATATTTAGCTGGTGAGGAGACGGGAGAATTGTGCCTTTCGAAAGCTTCCATGATCCATCTCATACCAGTACCTACCCTTATTACCTATGAATGGGAAAGTCTGGTAGAAGCTCTTCACTCCTCGGTTTCCGGCCATGCGAGCAGCGAATGTGATGGAAGCTGAATTTCCGTTAAGAGGTCATATCATCTGAAGATGGTAGTATCATGACTGGCAGATTGAAGTGATTACAATAAGATTGGTTGTAGGTACAACCAAGAACAGAACGACAAAGGAAAACAAAACGAGTGTTGGTTTGAGGACCTTCATGTCGCCGCCATCCCTCCTTAGACGTAGACATCAATGCCAACAGCTCGCGGTTCCGTTCGATTATTGTTTCGGCGACCCCGGGCGTGTTTCTGTTTGAAATTCGTTCCTATTACAAGCGTAGTATCAGAAGCATTGCCAAATTAAACTTGTTGGATCGTCAGAAAGCACGTACCCGGGGCGCGATGTCGTTTGGCCCGACTTCTTTTGAAAAGATCCCAGAGGATGAAGACGGCTGAAGGGAGATTAACCAAGACCCCAATAATGGAAATGATGGCTTCGGGAGATAAAGGCATTGTTGGTGATGACGGCCTGCAAGGCCTCTCCGGGAGATGATTAAGTAATTATAGGAACTTTTGTTGCAACTTCGGAAGTCCAAGGATAGTTTGCCTGTATCAGAGGTTCAATTTTCGGGGGCATCTTTTATGTGATACAGAATCGAGCTAATGTGGCGGCGAATTTTGGTCATGGTGCATTTCTTCCATGTCATCCTGTCACGAATATGCCAGCGGATGGGACCGCGGGGCACGGGACGCCCGGGCCAATCAGGAAAAGAACCAATCAGGACGGTGATTACGGTGATTAGGGTAATTGGGATGATTAGGGTGATCAGTGAGCTCAGTACGCTAAGTCCAGGCTGAACAGACTGAGCACACTGAGCACCGAGGCCTCACGTCAATTAGGATACGAGGAGAGTGCTTAGTAGGAAAAAGAAGATCAGTGAGCTCAGTGCCCACTGAGCTTCTCATCCGGACTGGGAACACTGAGCACTCAGGAATCAGAACAAGTATATAGACACTCGTTCTGGAGTAGCTCTAGGAGTTTTCTCAGTTAGCAATCACTACTTCAGTTCGTTACAAGCACGAGAGCCTACTGTTGAGACAAGCCTTTGCTGTGCCCCCTTTGGCTGCATCGAACCTAAGCACCCTTGAGAGACTACCTTCGACCGAAGCTGAACCCTAACAGGGCAGGGTCCTGAAGTAGGTTCGTCACACGCATACAAGATGCAGCATATCTCCGAGCGGCATCGCCGTCCTCCCGATTCTGGAGCCTGGATGTTTAATTCTGACAAGTTTCGAGCCTGGAAGGACTCCAGCGTGTCGGGCACGCTCTGGCTCCATGGGATACCGGGGTGTGGGAAAACCAAGTTACTGTTCAATTGCGTCTGGGCGTGGAAAGCTCTAGGTTGGCGATCAGTGTGCTCCAGATCCTTCTGGTTGCGTTTCGGCCGCTCTCATGGGATGAGTTCCTGTATCTCCTCGTCCTTTATGACGATGGACTAGAGCAAAGCATCACTCGGGACGAAGTGGTGCACATCACCTGTAACTTCATCGAGGAGGATCCAGAGTCCGACCGAGTGGCATTTCCCCATCTTTCGGCTTGCGAGTACCTGGAGAAAAGGCCAGAGTTCGACAACTCTGCTATGCACATCGCCGCATCCCAAATGTGCCTGCGCGGCATCAAATACCCAGAGCCTCCTGGGCTTTCGAACATCTAGAACCGTCTTTATCTATTCAACCCTATATCTGGGCAGCTATCTCGCCAAGCTGGCCGTCTCAGGCCGGCGGACGGTCAAGCTTCTCCACGGTTTTCTTTCCAATCCGGCCGAATTTCGCCGGTATACGGACAGAATGAAGCAGATTGCTAAATTCGCGGGTAGAAGTCCATCACCTGACGACTCGCAAATTCCCACAACGGTAGCGTTTTTGTGTTCTGATTCCCTAGCCATGATTTGTCTTTATGGTCTACAAGAGTTTCTATCCAGGGAATTGGCAAACCACCATGGCACAAACGCACGGGCGGCCGGAATTGTTAGGACCATCCCTTTTGCGTCTACTGCATCGCGCCTAAAGGGCCGATCCTACCTCGAACTCTGCGTCTCGCTTGGGCACGTCAGTCTGTTACAAGAGATGCACTCCTTGGGCATCTCTTTCGGTCACTGCAACGATGACAATGGCATGGCGCCCCTTCATGTTGCGTGTAGCGAGGGCCAAGCGGACATGGTTCGGGTCCTGTTAGAGTTAGGCGCCGATGTCAATCAAACGACAAAACCAGTCCACAAGCAAGAATCCGTTGAATCCTACCGCCGACCTTTGACCGCATTAGGCTTTCGACTTGGAGATTCAGGGGCACCTGGGGTGTCGCCCTTGGCTTTCAGTTCCAACCAGGAACTCCAATATCCCATTCAGCTCGCGATATCTGGGCCCAAAAGCATGGCCTGTGTGAAAGTGCTTGTCGAGTTTGGCGCTGACAGCGATATTCGAACATCCAATGGGACCACAGCGCTACAATTGTGCTTCGAAATGGGTGATGGGACCGAGGAAATTGTCCACTTTCTACTGGGGCGGGGTGCGGATCCAAACGCCCAAGTCGGCATGAGCCGGACCATGCTTCACATGGCCGCCGCTATGGGTCTCGTGCGGGTTGTGCCACTTTTGCTTTCTGCGGGAGTAGATGCAACTCGCTGCGACTCGTTTGGCCAGACCCCCTGGGATAATGCCACACGCTATGGACATGGCGAGATTGCCGACGCTCTAGCAGAAGCAGGAGGCCGCCCAATAATATCACAGCACTCCCTGTTGGATACTTATCAAGAAGGTTACCCTGAGACGTTGGAAGACTACGAACACCATAGTCCAGCAGGCAGCATGGAGCAACCACCTTATAGCTCTGTTATGCTGACGGTAACCCTCCGGAAGACAGTTGGACAGGGTTACCACAGCAGCCAAGCGCTGCACCCATAACACAGCCTGGGACACAAGGCGGGGAGAAGCTCTTGGGGAGGATGAAGAAACACTGGTCAAGACTGAAGAAAAAGCTGCGATAGTATGGAGACAAGTCTCCGGTGTATAGAGCGGTAGGCGATCCGCCCTTTGCACGACGACTGTTCCTAGGCACATGCACCAACATAACTCGGCCATTGGAATGCTGGAAATAAGCCGCTAGCTGCTCCCATGCAGCTGCACCGTTAGAGGCACCAGAGGCTCTGAGTGGGACGAGAAGAAGAAGGTGATCATTGGCTCTAGCCTGTAGGGTTGGGCTGCGTCGTATGCCAGCCCAGACGGCTCTCTCGGAAGTACGTACATACATACCGATGCGGGCGAGTCGCCTGAGCCGAGTTTCTCTAGGATCGATGGATTAGGTATCTATTAAGCCATAGCGAATGCTCCCAAAACGCCTATCTAATGCTGCTGGTACTTGATGTCCCTGTATCCCTTCTATTTTATGTCTTATTACTCACCTCTTCTACTGTTCTAGTCCACCGCTTCCACAACCTCCTTAGGCGTGGCCGACGAGCCGATAGCAATCTTCCTTGCCGTAGCCACAATGGGAACCGCAGCCATGATGTCAAAGACGGTCACCTGGGCAGCACATACCTTGAGAGCCCAGTTCGCCATCTCGATAGCCACGAGCGAGTCGATGCCGTACGAATGCAGATACCTACCAGTATCGATCTCGCTCGCCGTCGTTTGAAGCATCTTGGCCACGCGGTCCACCAACGCGTCCGTTACCACTCGCGTCGCTTCCTCCAGCGTCTTGGCCTGGGACAGCTGCCCGCGAACATCGTCCACGTTGCCCGCCGTCGAAGCCTTACTATGACCCTTGAGCCCGGTCCGGGCCATGACGGCAAACTTGGGATCATCCAAGTACCAGGGTGCCTCCAAACCACTCGCAACCACGCTGCCACCTGTCGCAATGCCGCTCACGATCTGCGGCGAGCCTCGGCTCGAAATGTCTCCCGAGATGGCGAGCCACACCAACTCAGCCACCTCGTGCTGGTCGAGGCCGTAGGGGCCCGCGAGGTCCTTTAGTGCCTGCGTCATACCCGTCTCGGCGAGAACGCCCGCGTCCTTTACAATGCTGACGTCGACCGTGGTGGCGTGCTTCCCTTGCGCGCGGCGGAAGTGCGCGATGGCGTCCTGGTATGTGCTGCCTGCGGCGTAGTTGGCCACGCCCCTGCTGCCGAAGATGGCCGTGAACGAGGCCAGGCTGATGAAGAAGTCGACGTCTGGAAGTGCCGTGTGCAGGTTCCAGGTGCCGTGAATCTTGGGCTGTGTCGATTCGGTCCAGTCCGAGAATGTCATGTTGCGGAAGAGCGCGTCCCGCAACACCATGGCGCACTGGATGACGCCGGCGACCCGCCCGAGCTGCTCGGCACACTGGACGGCCGCCTGGCAGACGGCGGCCGCGTCGGCAACGTCGCAGGATAGCACGAGCACCTGGACGCCGCGATCTTCCAACTGACGGACGAGCTCGCCGGCTGTAGGGCGTTCGGCTGCATTGGCAGAGCGAGATAGGAAGCACAGCTTGCGAGCTCCGTGGTCGACGAGCATGCCCGACAGGCTGCGTCCCAGGCCACCTAGGCCGCCAGCAAGGAGGTACGCGGCGTCCGGGTCGAGTTGTACTACCGGCTCGGCAGGTGACCGTGGCCGCCACAGCGGAATCATCTGCTGACCGTCCTCAAAGGACAGCACAATCTTACCCACATGCTGTCCGGACTGCATCAGCCGGAACGCGCTCTCAACCTCCCCCGCCGGGAACACCTTGACAGGACTGACGGGCTTCACAGCTCCCTCCTTCAACAACCCAAACACCCCCTCCAGAATCTCCCCCATCAACTCCGGGCGGTCCAACATGACCCTTCTCAGATCAAAGAAGGTAAACGTCGCCCCCTCCAAGAACGGCTTCATCTCCAACCGCGCATTGTCCATAATGTCCCTCACTCCGATCTCGACGAACGTCCCCCCAGGCGCCACACAATACCACGACTCCCGCAACGCCTCCCCAGCCAGCGAATTCAGCACCACATCCACACCCCTCCCCCCGGTAGCCGCCATCACCCCGCTCCTAAACCCAGCGCGCGGGTCCCCCCTCGAACTAAAGATCCTATCCTCTCCCACCCCGTACACCTCCCTCACCACCCTCCTCTTTGCCTCAGACCCCACCGTCACATACACCTCCAACCCTAGCCACCGGGCCACCTGCAAGGCCGCCTGCCCCACGCCACCCGCCGCGCCGTGAATCAGCACGCTCTGGCCCCTGCGCGCGCGCGCCAGGCGCACCAGCGCGTACCAAGCGGTGCCATGGGCGAGGGGCAGGGTGGCGGCGTCGGCGAAGGAGAGGGCCAGGGCCGGGTCGCCGTCGTCATCGTCGGGGAGGACGTGCACGAGCGGCGCGCGCGCCCGCCGCACGCGGGTCCGGTGCGACCCCGGCCGGCACACCGCCACGCGCGCCCCGGGCGCGTGCCGCGCCGACGTGCTGCGCACCACGATCCCCGCCGCGTCGAAGCCGAGCTCCGTGGTCGGCAGCTGGCCTAGGGCCGTCATGACGTCGCGGAAGCTGGGTTGGTGGGGGGGGAGGAGGTTAGTGATGGGCTGCTTGTTTTCTTTTTGTTGTTTGCTGGGGGGATGGAGGGGTTCAGGGGTTCAGGGGTTCAGGGGTTCAGGGGTTCAGGGGTTCAGAGGTTCAGGAGGTTCAGGTAGTAAGAGAATGAGGCGCGTACTTTAGTGAGGTGGCTTTAACTTCAATCTCCACCTCGTCATCGCCCAGTGGCGTGTCAGGGAGGGTGTCGGCCTCAAAGCAGAGGGTGTCCAGCAGCCCTGCGTTGCGGACACTTAGTTTGACGGGGGTGCCGACATTCTCGAGCGGGACTTGTTCCACGGTCGACGTATCTGTGCTGGCCACCCCGAGGCTCTCCAGTAGGTCTGCGTTCAGCTCATTGTCTTCGACAATCCTGCTCACCTCGATGACACCTCCGTTGACTCTGAACTCGTTTTCTCCGCCGGGGGTGTGAAAAGCGCGAAGAACTAAGCTAGATGATGACTCCGCCTCCTCGTTGGGAAGATCGAGCTGTAGCGTGTGGAACACGAGACCTGGCTCCTCACTTCGCACGACGCGCGCCAGACCTGTCACTATGGCGCTGCCAGGGTCTGTCTCTGGAGACGCGCCAACCCACAACACTTTTTGCGCGCCCAAAAGCAGGGCCTTGAGGAAGGTGAAGTCGTGCTCGGTGAGTTGTTGCAACACCGGACGGTCCGCCTCGACAAGCGATATGCACGCTTTCCCCTCGACGGTAGCAGTATCACAGACGCCCCATGTGTGTAACGAAGCGGGGTGGCCCGTAGATGACAGCTGTGCCACTAACGAGTTGGCGAGATCCGCCGCCGCCGGCGAGGTATCTGGAGACTGGAGGATCACGACTTCAGCATGGCCGCCCACACCGTTCGGGGCTGCCTCCGGTCTGTGATGGCCAAGCAACACGGCCGACTGGGCGTCGGAGCCCACGCCGTCCAACCTGAACCTGAACCAGTCCTGGACACCAGCTGCCCGGCCGCGTGCTTCAACGTCGTCGGCCTGCTCGGCAAGTGTGGTGACCAACAGGCGGCCGTTGCTAGCTAACAACTTCACAGCGTCCTCGACAGCGGGCACGGCTGGAGTCTCATGTAGAGCCTGGCTTGGGATGGTAGGGACAATGACTACGTCAAAGGTGCCGGATGCCCCCTGCCGGGTTGGGTCCTGCACCACGACGTCCACGTCGGCCGGTGTCATGGCGCTTTCTTCCACCACTTGTTTTGTGGCTGCGTCGGGCACGTTGATAGTATAACTCGCCGTTTTCAACACATGTGCAATATCCAGAGTGGAGAGGACAGTCTCGGAGCTGCCCGCATTGAGAAGCTCGGCAATTGATGCCTCGGGCTTGTTGTGGTGGGTGAGTCTAATTATCTGGCAATATCGTAAGCAAACGTCGCGGCTAGTTGAGCAGAAAAACGGTTACTCACCTCAGACAACACCTCTGAAGTGAGAGTTGAAGTGGCAGGGTTGACAGTCATGGCTGACTTGATATGAGCCCCCAGTTCCTTCAACGTTAGCAACTCCAAAGCCGGCCGCCAAACCAGCTTGCTGCAGATGCTTCTCGCCGTTTCCGCGGCGTGCTCCTCAGTATGAGCCCCCGCCAGCTCGGCACAGCACAACCCAGTAATCTTGAGCACCGGCTGTCCCCCAACATCTTCTTGCATCGTCATGTCGGCCATAATCTCGTTATGTCCGTGCCTCGACACAGTCGAGTAGCCGCTGATCTGTGTCTTGGGCTCCTTGGGAAACTCGGTGGCTATGACGACCTCTTCGATCGATTTCGGTACCATCGCCTTGATGGCCTGGTTTGAACCGTGCCCAAGGGCTGTGAAGGCGAGGTGGAGAACTGCGTCGAGCGTTGCCGGATGGAGCACCACGGGCTTCTGTGCCCCGGTGCCGAGTCCGATCTCGGGGACGCTGACGGAGCCGTAGCTCTGCGTGGGCGTCGTGCGCGCCGAGGTTAGGTTCTTGAACGCCGGGCCGTATTGGAGTCCCGCGGACGCCATGCGCTGGTAGAAGTGGTGAACCTTGACAGGGGATTTGCATTGCTCGGAGGCTTGTCGTAAGCGCCTCTCCCACGCTTGTTGGTGGGCGTCGACCGGCTTTGTGTCGTTCTCCTGGGCATCTTGTTGTTTTTCGGAGTGGTACTCCAGCTGGATCAAGCCGATGCAATTCCTCTCGAGGGCCTTGCCATCCGGGGAGCTCGAGATAAAGAACTCGGACCAGTCGGCCGACGTTGCTTTATTGGTAGTGAGGTGAGGCCGCAGAGAGATGGAATATTCGATCGACGACGTCTCTTCCAAGACCAATGGTGTTGTTATGTGGATGTCCCTGAGCCGGAACTTGGACACCTCCTTGCCGGTGTCAGCGGTAAACAGGGCAGCTTCTGCAGCCATGGCGAGGAACCCCGCTGCAGGAAACAGAACCGTGTTCTGAATCTTGTGGTCTGCTATCCAGGGTTCCTTCGCCAGGCTGAGATGGCCCCTCCAAACGTGCTCGCCGGCGACGAGAGCCGGGGAGGTAGCCCCGAGTAGGCTGCCAGTTATGGGCTCGCGGAGCCGGTACTCCCTCGCCACCCGAGACTCGGCCCAGTGGGCGCGGGAATGGTCCCACGGGTATGCGGGAAGATCGATCAGAGTTTGAGTTCGCTCGGACGTTTGGTTGACCTCACAGAAGTTCAGGGGGTATCCCCTGGAGAATAAGTTGCCGGCAAGCTCCAAGGCCGTCTGTTGCCCGTCCATGTCACGCTTGAGGGCCGAGTAATATTGCACGTCGGTGATGCCCACGGCCTGCAGGTTCTGCGATGTCGGTCCTTGTAGGGCAGGGTGCGGACCGATCTCCACAAAGACGTCGGGGGCCTCGCTTTTCCTATCTGCCAGACGCTGCACGGCAGTCGAGAACTTGACGGGCGAGATGAGGTTCCTGACCCAGTACGCCGGGCCCAGCTCGCTTGCGTCGTTCACCTTTTGGCCCGTGACGCTCGAGTACATGACGCAGCCCGACCCGAACCCGCCCTCGTCCTTCCCCTTCATGTTGTCCTTCCCACTCCTCTTCCCCACGTCCGCAATCGCCTCGAGATACTCCCTCGCAACGGCTTGCATGTGCGGCGAGTGGTACGCAACGTCAACCCGCAGCCGCCTCGCAAACACCCCCCTCTCCCTCAACAGCTCCTCCAACCTCTCCACGGCCTCCTTCTCCCCCAGACACCGTCACGCTCGCCGGCGCATTCTCACACGCCACCCACACCTTCCCCGCGAACCCTTCCTCCTTGATCCACCCCCCAACCACATCCGGACACAACCAAACAAACAACATGGACCACACAAGCACACCCTCCATCACAAGAAAACATAGACAAAAAAAACAAAAAATATAAAAAAAAAAAAAATAAAAATCCTCCCGCGTCAACACCCCCCGCGCAGTACGCGGCCGCCGTCACCACGCTAGAAGCCCCGACACCCGCCGACGACCTTCACCCCCCCACCCCCAACACCCACCAACACCGCCGCCGCCACCACCACACAACATATCCACCAGCGCGACCTGCAGCACGGTGCACAGCGGCTGCGCAAAGCGGGCCACGCGCAGGCGCGACGTCGACCGCGGCCGCGCCAGCTCCTCTGCTACCGACCAGGCACTACTACTAGTACTACCGGCGCTGCCGCTGCCGCCAACGACGGCGAGCGAGACCAGGTATGCGTCAGCGGCGAGCACGCTAGCGCGGAAGCGCGCGTTGCTGGCGAACAGCGCGTGGCCCATGCCGGCGTACTGCGCGCCTTGGCCAGGTGAAGATGAAGGTGAGGGTCGGAGGGTGCGAGGTCAGGGTTGGGCGGGGGTGGGGCGAAAGTTGTTGTTGTTGTTGGTGAGGTGGTGGTGAGGAGGGTGTTGAGGAGGGTGGTTAGCGTGGGGGCGACCGTGTACGTCTTCCATTGGTGGTGGGTGCGGCGCGTGTTGAGGGTGTTGGCGAGGGCGTGCAGGTAGCGCTCTTCTTGTTCTTGCTCTTGTTCTGGTTCTTTTCCTGGCTCTTGCTCGCGGGATATGGTGGTTTGCTTGGTGGTGAGGTAGGCCTTGAGGGCGTCGGTAACGCGCGCGATGCCGGCTCTGTCTTGGGCGCTGATTGCGAAGAGGAGAGGGCGGTTCGCGGGCTGTGAGAGGCCGATGGCTGTGTCTGCTTTGTCGTGTGTGCCATTGACGCCGTTCCTGCCGTTGACGCCATTTGCGCCGTGGCCGTTGATACCATAGCCGTTGGCGCCGTGGCCGTTGGTGTTGTGACCGTTGACGCCGTTCCCTATGTGTTTCAGCGGAGAATGACTGTGCCCACGAATACCCCTCTCGGCCAGGTAGCTCTGAGCATCATCCAGGATGACATGCGCATTGGAGCCGCCGTACCCAAAGGAGTTGACACTAATGCGTCGGAGGCCGTCGGTGGGCCACGGCATAACCGCACAGGGGACTTGTAGGTTCCACTCGTCCATCTTCAGGGCCGGATTGGGGGTGTTGAGGTTGATGTTGGGCGGGATGACACCCTTTTCCAACATCAAGACGCTCTTCACCACAGCAGCGAGGCCGGCGCCAGCCTCGAGATGGCCGATCTTGTTGGGAGCTGTTAGTATGTGTACATGTATGTGCAGGTACATGTGCGCTTGGTGGCCTTGGGCACTCACATTGGATTTGACAGAGCCAACAAGCAGTCTTTTACCGCTGCTAAGACCAGCGGCAATGGTTTTTGACAGAGCTGTCGTCTCCCCCAAATCGCCAGCCTTGGTTCCCGTTCCCTGTCAAGTGCGAGAATTGCTCGTTAGTGCGCCAATCCAAAATATAGAGCCGAGTGCCACGTACATGTGCTTCGACGTAGCTGGTTTGGCTATAATCAAGACCGGCACGGTCATAGACGTCTTGTATCAGCGACGCCTGGGCTTCAGCGCTCGGCAACGTGAACCCCTTGGTATGTCCGTCTTGGTTCGAGCCAGAACCGCGGATAACTGCCCGAATCGGGTCTTGGTGATGGATAGCGTCCTCCACACGTTTGAGAATCACCACAGCAAACCCCTCGCCTCGTCCGTAGCCGTCTGCCGACGCATCAAACGTCTTGCACTTTCCATCAGGAGACAGAAATCCTTGGCCGCTCTGGAAAATAAACATACTCGGGCTGATCATCAAGTTGCAGCCGCCCACGATGGCCATGTCTGTTTCCCCGCTCCGGAGACTCTCGCAGGCCAGATGCAGCGCGACCAGGCTTGACGAGCACGCCGTGGCCACTGTGAAACTCGGCCCCCGCAGGTCAAACAACCACGAGACTCTGTTGGAGAGCGACGTGCGCTGCAAACCCGTCATGGAATAGGGGAGCGACGTTTCCGGGTCGCGGTTGACCACCTCTCGGTAGTCGTCGGTGAACTGACCCATGAACACTCCCGTCTTGGTGCCGGCCATCTCGCTCAGCGGGTGGCCTGCTGCTTCGAGCGCCTCGTAGACGACTTCCAGCATCAGTCTTTGCTGGGGATCCATTGCGCTGGCTTCGTCGCGGGAGATGTTGAAGAATTTGGCGTCGAACAGTGAGATGTCTTCCTGGAGAAAGTGGCCGCCCTTGGCTGTATTACCGGAAAAGGCGTCGGCGTTGAACCTGTCGCGGGGGATGCGGGACCAAGCGGCTGTTGAGCACAGTTAACAAGTGTTGTAGGTAACTACGTCCAAGTCTGCGGGAGTTCACTCACATTCGCCATTGCAGATGGAATCCCAGAAACTCTCCAAGTTCCTGCCGGCACCAGGCATGCGGCAGGCAAGTCCTGTGATGGCCACCGGAGCCGAATTGCTCTTGGCCTCAACCATTTTCGCTGATGTGCTGCCGAGATCTCGATCTGGCAGACGGGTAGGAGCAATTCCAACGGGGGGGGTGAGACGATCGGGGTAGGGATAGTACTCTTAATAGAGTAACACTGGTTCAAGCACGTAGTAGCTTTACATCGCCGTCGTTTGTGCAATGGCTGTGTCTGGCATGCATTTGCTGGTAGTCAACTAGTATTAAGTAATTACCTTATGTAGTACTAGCAATGGCCAAGATGCCCGTCTGAGTTCTACTGCCGAGTCCTGTCGGCTGACGGTCGCAGTAACGGCCGGAAGAAACACCGAGCTATCGCCATCGCGGGTTTCATCGATAGCCGCCATCATGAGACCGGAAGACGGGAATGCCCCGGTCAGCCAACCCAACCCGAGTCAGCCCCGAGCGGAAAGCCGCTCCGTAGCCGGTAGCCGACACTCGTCTTGTCGGGTAATTTTACCGTTTCGGCCGCGGAAGCCGTGCTTTCGGTTGGTTATTTGAGGCACGCATGCGGAAACGTTCCGAAGGAAACATAAGACTGGATTCATGAATAAGCCGGCCAGTAGTTACCCATAACGGATAAGATCTGCGGGGACAATTCAACGAGCCATGCGGTTCCTGTGTATGCATGGGCGTATTGAATTGCATGCATAGGTGAGGTGGGTAAGCCGACGTTTGAACCCGGTCAGACTATTATCGCATTCATGGCCTGAGGTCCAAGACTATCCTGTCTTTGGGATTTGGCAAGAAGTACGATCTTGTTCGTTATTGACTTATTGTTGACCAAGTTGTCCTAGTTTCAGCCAGGAACTTAACCTTCAATTGTTACCTTATAATCCTTATTCGCAAAGGGTCGGTACCTAAGGTACTTTAACAATCACGTTCTGCGTCTCATACATGTACTGTTGGACTCAATATTATTACGTCTATTTGTTTACACAGACACAAAATGCGTTCTACACAAAACGAAGACATCCCGAGACGGGTTTTTCAAACCATTGCCAGCGAACTGCATGTGCCAGTGGACGAGTTCGAACAAGGTGATACCGAGTTCTCCGAGTTGGGCGTCGACTCCCTGGTAGCACCCTCCATCATTGCCAAAATAGCCCGAGCCACAGCAATCCAGCTTCCAGAGGACATATTCGAAACCACCGAAACCGTCGCCGGTCTCAGACAGCACCTGGCCACCCTAGCACCACCACCACCACCACCACCACCACCACCACCACCACTACCACTACCACCAACATCCACCCCCACAGTCAGCCCCCCAATCCTCATCCGCAGGGCCACCATCACCACCACTAAAAAGCCCAACAACACTAACACCAACCCCAACACCAACCCCACCCCCCCGCGCAATCTCTTCCTCCTCCCCGACGGCAGCGGCGCCGCCATGGCCTACGCGCGCCTGCCCGCCCTCCCCCACACGCACATCTACGCGCTCAACTCGCCCTTCCTCCCCACCACCACCACCAACACCAACACCACCACCACCACAGCCTACACCTGCACCCTCCCGCAACTCGCCGCCGCCTGGGCCGCCTCCATCACCGCCCTCCAGCCGCGCGGGCCCTACCTACTGGGCGGCTGGTCCGCCGGCGGCTACTACGCGTACGAGGTGGCGCGGTGGCTGGCGCGCCGCGGCCAGGTCGTGCACGCCCTGGTGCTGGTCGACTCGCCGTGCCGCGTGCGCTTTGGGGCGCTGCCGCTGGGGGTGGTGAGGTATTTGGCGGGGAGGGGGTTGATGGGGGATTGGGGGGGCGTGGGGGGTGGGGGTAAACGTGGTGGTGGTGGTGGGAAGGGGGGGAGGGAGGGGGCGCCGGAGTGGTTGGTGCGGCATTTTGAAGGGACGTTGAGGGCCGTGGAGGCGTACGTGCCGGAGGGGTTTGCGGATAGGCTGGGAGAGGGGGTGGTGGTGCCGAGGGTGTATATCATATGGGCTTCGGAGGCGGTGGTGGGGAGGGGGGAGGTGGAGGCGGCGGGTTTGGATCCGGATGTTGAGGTGACGAGAATGTTGCTGGAGCCGAGGTCAGATTTTGGGCCTAATGGCTGGGACACGCTGTTTCCGGATGGGACCGAGCTGGTGATAGGCACGATCCCTTGCAACCATTTTGATATTGTGCATCCGCCGAATGTAAGTGCCCGCTCTGCTTGTTTTTGGCCTCGCGAAACACGGGGTTTGTTGTGAGCATCATGATCCAGGGCTGACACTTGTGGGTTTCTACGGCAGGTCGAGATGTTTGGAAGCCTCCTGGGGGATATCGCCAATCCCAAGGGTGAAGCTGCGTGGGTAAATGGGTGGCGAAAACTTACTGGTGGTGTGGTTGAAAGTCAAATGTGATAAAGTCAGGAGTGATGCTATTTGGCGCGAGAGTGCCGTTGGGTTGGGGCAAAATCATAATGCAATTGATATTTACTATACTAATACTGACTACCGTACCCCTTAAAAAGACGCATCTTGATTTCTCACTTTGCCCAATAAAATCATGACTGCGAGACGTCGGTTCTGGCGACATATACATGTACCCTCCCACCTACAACACTCCCACGTGGTGCCACGGCCCGTTATAAAATGTCTCCTTTTCCCATCGCATTAGCGGCGACTCCGCCACGAGACCGTTTTCCCTTTTGGCCACCGCATCTTTGAGCTGAGAGAAGGACAGCCTCTGTCCCTCAGGGGCGGAGGCCGGCATGGAGGAGCCGCCGGTAAGACGTGTATTTGGGGATGTGGTCTGTGTATTTCATGTCAGGAGGGGATCTCCGGAATATTAGAGATACAATGGTCCTTACCTTGTCGCCGAGATTCGAGACAATGGCACGATTGCTGGCTTGCGAGGGATCCGTCGAATACGGCATGACCACTGGCGCACAATAACAGGGAGAAGGACGCAGTTTCCAGGGGAAGAAGGTAACACAACGGGTTCGATGGAGATCAAGAGAATGGCCCAATCTTGGGAGTCTGGAAAGTGCTCGCAGCCTGCGGCGCGTGAAGAACACATATCAATGCCTCGGGAGGAGAGGGACGGTCGACATAATATAGTGCGGTGGCTCTTCATGGCGGAGCGACTGTAGGAAAGGGTCTCCACGTACATCTTGCTGATCAAATTATTATCCGCATGGTTGATCATTTGCACTGGGTTTGCAACCTTGGATTGTCCTGCCAAAGGGTGGCGGGCGCCGAGAAAGGGTGGTGGCTGGCGGTGAAGGGTGGTGTCCGAAGGGTGGCTTTGCTAACTGCCAGTGGTGTGTACTCCATGGTGCCATGAGGCACCGAGCGTCGGCGTTGGCATGTCTCAGAATAGGTTGTCAGTAGGTAGGCGAACGGTTGAATGATGCAGCTGGGGACCTCTCCATGTAATGTGGTTCTCCCGGGTACGGATTTCTCCCGGTACCTGGGTACCTGCCTACCTAGGTAGTTTACTGCTATGTAGGTACCTTGCCATCTCCACACTACGACCCTGCAAAGACAGTTTATCTCAAAAGCTGCCTGTGGTCACGATTCCGCCTCTTGACGAGCTGTGAAGGTCTCTCCCATTTTATCCCTCGCCTGTCGATCGGCACCTCGCTCCAACAACAGCCGTATACATGTGACGTTCACCCTCCGAAATTTGGAATAGACACCGAGATGCAGTGCGGTTCGCCCTTCCCGGTCCACCGCATCGATCTCGGCACCTCGGTCCAACAGTAGGCGCACAACTTCCGTACATCCCCCAAAAGCAGCGTAGTGCAGCGCGGTTCGCCCTTCCCAGCTCACCGCATGGATCTCGGCGCCGCGGTCCAACAGTAGGCGCACAACTTCCGTACATCCCTCAAAAGCAGCGTAGTGCAGCGCGGTTCGCCCTTCCCGGCTCACCGTATGGATCTCGGCGCCGCGGTCCAACAGTAGGCGCACAACTTCTAGATGCCTGCCCGAAACAGCGCGGTGTAGTGCGATTCCCGTCATCCAGTTCACTGCATCGATCTCGGCGCCTCGGTCCAGCAGTACTCGCACAACTTCTAAATACCCTCCCCCAGCAGCGCTCTGCAGTGAACATGAAGTTATGGAAGCGCCGTTGTCGAATAAAACTCGTACAGCTGCCTCACATCCCTGACCGACGGCGCGATATACAACTGTTTCCCAGCTCCTGCGCAACCGGCAATTCTTATCGATTTCCAGCCATTTCTGAACCACCAACTGCAAGATATCCTCGTGTTGAAGTTTCGAATCCAACAACATCTCGCAAAAGGTGTGAGCTCCTAGTTCGCGTGTTTTCTCTAGCAAGGTGCTAAAAATGCCGACATGTCCCCATTCGGCAGCTGCGATAAGAACCGAAGTGTGATTGACGACCGCTCCATTGGCAATGAGGAGCTTCGTCATTTCTTCATCTCTATTGTTCACAGCCCAATGTAGGGCCGTCCGACCCCGCAAATCAGTATAATTCATCGTAACTCCCGTCTGGAGGCATCGCCTCAGCAATTGGAGATTTCTCTCTTTGGCTGCCTGAACGAACACCTCCGGTCGAGTTCCGTTTCGCAGGTTGATTACAGCGCCCCCGCCGATCAATAAGTTGGCGATATCATGCCGTTCATGGACCCGTGCGAGCCAGAGGGCGGCCGGACGTGGGTCGTCAACCGGGCACTCCGTCTCAACCTGAAACCCTGTGTCGAGCAGTATTCTAACCACCCCTTCGTGCCCGTTTGAAACGGCCAGGAAAAGGGCCAGGTCTCCGCTTGGGTCTTTTTCGCGGGCGAATTTGGTGTCAACAACAAGACATGACATGACGGCCTCCTCGTCACCGGATGCAGCTGCCGTACAAATGCCGCCTTTGTGGATGGTGTCGATATGCCGTTTGAGGTTGTCTATCCGTCCAACGACGGCATGGCAGTAGTGGCATTGGATCTTTGGGTGTGCGGCGTGTGTACGCTGGTGTCGGTTCAAATCCCTCTTCGTGGCGAAAGCAACGGGCGGTTCCTTGAGGCCGCACTGTCCATCATAGCAGACATACTTCTTGTTATGATACCGTCGGTGTTCCCTGGTCACTCGTTAGTACCCATCCACCCAATCCGTAGGATGTAGTAATTAGTAGGTATCCTAGGTGACCAGGCTCGCCCTTACTTCAACGCATTTTTGGATTTACACACCCGATAGCACTCCCCACACGTCGCTGGCATGGATTGAGCCATGAGACCCCGATATTACCTTACTTAATCAGAACTGATCAATGGGAGGAGAAAACTGGGTGCGCAGGTCGCTCGAAAGCCTTGATCTGGGTCACCGAGAGAAGCTCGGTAAACTGGTGGATTTCATAATTATGCGTCTGAGACATAACTAGATAATGTGGAAAGCCGTGGCCTTTGTTGATTGGCCATTTCTTGGTAGGGTGGTGGCTGAAGAGAGTAGGGTGGTGGTGGTGGTGGTGGCGGTGGACTGGTGGTGGCTGACCGCCTCTTTTGAGGCTCTATCCACGCGGCGACGCCTTGTTTCTTTTTTCCAGAGAAGTGTCCCTGAAGGGTCTGACTGTCCGATTGATCAACGCTGCCGCCACCCAATCTCTCCTTCTTGTCGTTCCTCATCAGCATTCGTCTCACGCTCTCAGTTTGCAGTGTTGCACGTTAGAGGTATGTACCGTATGCAGCGAATGCTAAAACCGTGTCTCATGGCTGATAACCACGAATTTGGTAGCGACCGCACCCGAAGAATCATTCGCTAGAGCCATCTGCCTCTACTCGTTCAGGAAGATGTCGCATTCACAAGATGGAGATGCCCTTGGCGCAGATGAATATGCCTTTGGTGCAGATGAAAATGCCCTTGGTGCGCATTCCACGACCACGTGAGTGGCATTCGGTTTTTTTTTTACTAACCCCACTTCGGAGGCCACCCGTGGGGCGAGGACGCATGATCCCGCACTGGCAGCTGCCGTCCCACTTTAATACCGAGGCCGCCGGGCGACAACTCTCCGACGACGATTGGCTATCCGGCTTTTCCTGGGATCAGTTCCCAGCCCCCACGATACAGCAACAGGACGCTCTTGGTGCTGGCCCTTTGATTGATCCGGCCACGCCCATCGATGCTCTGCAACCCCTGCTTCCGGCCCGGAGCGGGGTTGAAGTTGTCGAACCCGCTCTTACGCAGCACACCGGCCATGGTCCTGCTGGCAGCCGTGGAAGAAGAAAGCTTTGTCTCTGTGGGAGGTCCTACTCTCGAACGGACGCCCTGACTCGACACATTAACACCACCCCGGTTCCAGGCGGACCATCCTCGGGTGGAATGCGAACCAGAAGGACCTTTCCATGCCACTTCTGTGACAAGTATCGTGAGAGGGGTGGCTTCTTTCGGCGTGACCATCTCCACCAACACTTGAGGACTCACCACAAGTTCGACGACAAGAGCATTAAGATTTACTTGGAGACTATTTGAAGTCTAGAAGTGGTACCGAATGGCCCTTTGAGCAGCGGGGGTCGGAAGAAGAAACATGTTGGGGCTAGCTTGCTCGAGATTTTGTATCGTCCCTTAGATCTTTTTTGTTTTTGTTGCTGCTGTGAGATCGTTGTGGCTTTGCATTTTTGCCTGTCATTACCGGTTTGCACGCCTAATAGTTAGCTAGGTATTGATATTTGATTTTTGCGTGTTTCTGCTTCAGGTTCCGAGCGTGCTGATCCCTTGACCTGAACGGAATGCATGGTATTGGGCAGCATACGAATAAAGTGGATTGTTCTGGTCACCTTGTTCCCGGTTCACATTCGTGAGTAACTCGCGTTATATTATCCAATTCGTTGAGGAAGCCCAGATGCGTGATGGTGAAGCTAAACGCTGAAATACATCTCGCATACTCCTATCTCCAAGTCTCAACGTCTCCTCTCCGCCTCGTGTCATCTCCGTTGCTCCTACTGACAACCCTACTTGAGCATGGCGACGATAATCGAGTTCTTGGTTACGGGCCCGTACATCTTGACCTCGACAATCTTCAACCCGACCCGGTCCAGCAAGGCAGCCCAGTCATCCGTCCGCCTCTCCATCCCCCCAAACAACAACATCATATTCAGATCCTGCCCTGCCACCAACACATCGGCGCTCTTGTCCGGCACTACCATCTCATCGATCAAAACCCGCGAGTCCTCCACCATCGCCGCCGCCACATTCTTCAAAATCTCCACCGCCTGCGCATCCCCCCAGTTATGCAGCACCGAGCGCAGATAATAATACCGCGCCCCTCGCACCGGCTGCGGCTCGAAGAAGTCGTGCGCCAAAAACGCAACCCCCTTCGCCGCCGGCGCCGCCGCCACCGTCTCCGGCAGGTCCTGCACCACCACCCGGCCAGCCAACCGCGGATGCCGCTCCACCAGCCGCCGCGCCTGATGTCCCACATTCCCACCCACATCCACAAACACCACCCGCTCCGAACCACCACCCCCCTCCCCACCCATCACCAAGGACGGAGAATCAACCCCCTCAAAATCCACGCACCCCACCCAATCCCCCCCGCCACGATCCAGCGCCATCAGCTCCTGAAACGCCCCCAACATCTCCGGCCTCCCCTTCAAATACGGCCACAATCCCCTGCCCCCGCCTTCTACCCCCGCACTCCACGAATCAAACACCGCCGGCTCCCCGGCGCGCTGCACATACCCACATTTTGCCAGCGGCGACTCCGGCAGGTACTGGGTCATGGGCGCGATCACGCCCTGGTAGAATGTCGCGCCGCCCGCCACGCCGGGGAGCGCGAGCGAGTGCGTGGCCTTGGTGGCCACGAAGAGGTCCGGCCCGGCTTCGCCGATGAGCCGGTTGGCGGCGAGGAAGACCAGCACGCGGCGGATGAAGGTGGGCGCCGCGCCGGGGGCCGGGCCGGTGCTGGTGAGGGTGGTGAGGGGCACGGGGGTGGGGGAAGCGTTGCTGAGGGTGGCGAAGAGGTTCAGCGTGTGGGCGACGCGGATGTAGGTGAGGAGGCGGGCCTGGGAGGGGGGGGTGATTAGTAGGCTTTCCTTTTTTTTGTTTTTTTTTTTTTCCTTTCTTGCTTTTGGGATGGAGGAGGGAGAAGGGGGGAAAAGGGGGGCGAGAAGAAGAGAGGGTTGACTAACGGAGTTGCCGAGACGCATCACGAGGTCAAAAGGGGTCTCGAGGTTCTCGGCGGCCTCGTGGAGCGTGTTCATGAGGGCGTGCCGCCCAACGTCATCCAGTTGGGCAGCTTGTCCGTTGATGGGCGACGCAAAGAGACCGGCTCCGTTGGCTGCGTTAAACGTGGCTTTGGCAGCCCCGTTCATTCCTGAACCATTCTCGTGGCCGTTCGCGTGTTCTTTGGTGTGGCCATTAGTTCCATTGGCCCCATTGACCCCGTTGGTGCCATTGGCCGCGTTGGTATGCCCGTTGGCCTCCCCGTTGCTGTGACCGTTCGCGCCGTTCATGGATTTCGCGGGTTGCACAACCCTAACACCGGGGCGCTTGCCCTCGAGATAGTCCGCCGAATACAAGTGAGCCTTGCTGAGCCTGGCTGCCTGGGACTTAGCGAGGCCAAGCTTTCCACGCTCCATTCTAGGTGCCAACCCGTCAATGGTATCGAGCGTGAAGCTGTCCATGTTGTAGCCGTCCTCTCGGATCATGCGCCTGCCGCGGAGGATGTTCAACACCTGCAGTTCATCGGGCGTGAGGCTCTTCTCGATCTCGCCCAGGGCGTTGTCAATGGTCTCTTCGTCGCCTGCCTCGGCGTTTGCGCTGAGCTTCCTCAGCTTGTTTACGACGGCGTCCTTTTGCTCCGGGGTGACGTGGGTAAAGGCCTTGAAACAGAACTCGACCGTGTTGGAGATCTCGGACTGCGTGAGTTTTCCGTTGTGATGGGCATCGACGGTGCCTTGAATAACTATCACGGCATCAAAAAGTCAGGGCCTGTCCTTGTAATTGGACTTGATCAACGAATAACACTTACCCGGCCGGAACAAATCAAAGGCCCTCTGGAAGCCCTCCTCGTCCAGGTCCTGGATCACAGGGTCCTCCTGCATGCGGATCTGCTTGAGAGCGCTGCTCACAACTAAAAAGAAGCGCGTGTAGCTCTCGGCCGTCTTCTTGGAGTGCCACGACGCTGCCGCCTTCTCATCGCAGTCCCCCCTGATAGAGGCCGCGATAGTGACAGCCGCCGAAACACCACCCAGAACAGCGAGGTGCACTCCCGAGGAGAAGAAAGGGTCGATAAAGGCCCCAGCGTCGCCCGCGATGCGCGCGTACGGAAAGGCGTAGGTGTCGGCGCTGTAGGACCAGTCTGAGGCCGACTTGACGTCCGAGACCACCTCGGCCTTGGAGAGGAGCGCCTTGATGCCCGGCGCGAGGTCCAGAGATTGCGTGTAGAACTCCTTGGTCGAGGGGGAGCCCGCCGCCCGTTTCTTCTCGGTGGCCATCTCCTGGTTCTGTACAATGCCGATCGAGTGCGTGCCGTCGTGGAGGGGGATGAACCAGCACCAGCCGCTGGCGTCCTGCAGCGCCTCGAAAAAGGGCGAGCCGGCCTTGTGTGTCCCCTCAGCGTAGATGCCACCGCCCTTCCAGTAAGCCCAGTTGGCGATGTTCTTGAGGCTCTGGTTGAATTTACGGTTTTTCAGGTACTTGGTGCTAAGCAGGCCGTATCTGCCGCTGGCATCCACCATGTACTTGAACGCGATGGTGCCGGTAGTGCCATCCTTGCGCTTCCACGACGCCGACACGGGCCGTCCGGGGCCCGCTGTCTCTCCATCGCTCTCCTCAAACTGCACGGCGTCGACCTTTGTGGTTTGAAAGGCGCGCACGCCACAGGACGCCGCGTGGTTGAAGAGCAGCTCGTCGGCTTCGGACCGCACCACGTTCCAGGCATGGCCGTTCGGTCCTCCGGCTGCAATAAAATCGGTAACTAGGGTGGGATAGTTAGTACCAGATGGTTTTCCCTAAGCTCGCCTCCGCTAAGCCAAAAGGGGTCAAGGCCCGCTCACAAGCTTCTGGTTGAGTCTTGTTCAGCCGGAAAGCTGCGCCGTTCTGTCGCAAGATTAGCCACGTGCTGCTTCAGCCAAATACCGCTGCTGCCCTACCTTCTTGATAAACCCATGGGCGTTGAATTGCTCGTAGCAGTCAATAAACTCGAGGAAATGGCGCATTGAAGGGAGCATGCTCTCTCCGATGTGGTATCTTTAGATGTGTGTGAGTCTATGAGACACTAAAATGATATAGAAGAAGTCGGTACCTAGGGTGCTTGTCTGCCTCCAGCATCACAACATCGATACCCTCACGTGCCAGGGCAGCCGAGGCGAAAGAGCCCGCGGGACCACCTCCAACGACGAGCACCGTGCAGCTTTGTGGGATAGACATGGTGGGCAGAAAGAGAGGCTAGGTCGTCAAATGTGATAATGTGAGATTGCCCTTGTCAAAGCCACTGTTGACCAAGGTCTGCAGAATGGAGAGAGTACAAGTGAGAAATAGAACTCTCGTAGCTGTACCAGTTCTCTTGCTCACTTCGCTTGCTTGACGTCCCGACCCCGTCTTGTAAAGAAAGAGAGGGTCTCTCACTTTGTATACCCGCGTTAGCCACATCCAATATTCATCCGCTATCCTAGACACATCATAGACATGACGTTTAGCTAGGTAGTGACCACCACCAAAGCCACCCGATCAAGCTCTGAGCCCGACGGCATAATCTGCGCTTGCACTCCAATGGCCCGACTGAGAGTGTGTGTCTCGTGATCCGGAACCTTCTGCTGCCGATAACCGGCGTGAATTAGGCCGTCAGATCTCCTAACCGGCGTATTCGCCGACGTGTTTTTTTAGCCGGGCAGAATTGCCCGATGCGTGGCCAAGTCCGGCATGGCCGGCTGACAAGCAGATCTCCGATGCTTGCGGCACAGTCCGATCATCGATGGGTCCAGCGTGCCGTTCCGGTGGCTCCCGAAGGGATACGCGCTATTAAGCGGCAAGCTAGCGGCGGATGGAATTAGTACGGGAATTGCATGACAGCGAAGTGGAGGAGGTAAGGACCTTGGCGGACACCGAACAGAAAATAAGCACTAACTAAGTTAAGGTTATTGAAAGTGCC